TTTGCAATGGAAAGTCCCCTCGCCCTCCTGATTCAGTTTTTTAATTGTAAATTGATAAACACGAGATGAACCGGTTCACTTGCGTGAATTGAGTAATCACGTTTCTTGCTCTTACAACTGACGGATATGGTCATTGCTTGCTCGTCACGGGCTCACCGCCAACTGAGGTCAGGTACCTCGTTAGCATTTCAATTAAAAGAATGTCCATAAATTTACGGCCCTGTCACTTTCATTCACCTAATTTGAAGAAGCGTATTTTTTTGGAGTAGCATTCTTTTTGCAAAGTAGCACTAACGTATCGTAATAGAAACATACCTTTATCTATTTAATGAATCTATTTTCCTATTGCTTCTGTCACGTATATTTAATTACGTGATTTATTAACATAAAATTAATTATGAATGATCACCTGAATTAATACTATTAACGTTATTTATCAATTCGACATCGATGTTAAGACTGAGACTAAACACAATTCAATTTGGTTATATAGAGAAACCTGGGACTCCTTGGTGCAACATTCTACCATAACACCTCGACACCTTTATAATTTTGTCAAAAGAGGAAAACGTGGTCACTATGGTATATGCTGAGTGCGGTTGCACTTGGTGCTTCTTGGGGCCGCTAGCTTACGATCTTATGTAACACAACCCGTATGTCATAGCATATGGATTCTACAGGCCACATTCTATAAGAAAATTTTTTTTTCCGGGTCGATCTGAGACATTTTCTTTTTCGGGGCTCAAAAAAAGGCAGTGTATAACCTTCCTTTTTTACCAAAACTCGACTGCACCAAAATTTCTCGGGAAAACACTTTTTCTTATTAATTTTGGTGCGTAGAATCCAAAACAATTCGTACTTTTTCGATCAGACTTCTCAATCAAAAGTTATGGACTAGAAACCAATTTCGAAAGAAAATTCAAAGGGCTGTAACTTTTGAACTAGTAGCCCAATCTTGGAACTGTTTGAAATTATGGATTCTACAGGCCACATTCTATAAGAAAATTTTTTTTCCGGGTCGATCTGAGACAATTTTTTTTCGGGGCTCAAAAAAAGGCAGTGTATAACCTTCCTTTTTTACCAAAAATCGACTGCACCAAAATTTCTCGGGAAAACACTTTTTCTTATTAATTTTGGTGCGTAGAATCCAAAACAATTCGTACTTTTTCGATCAGACTTCTCAATCAAAAGTTATAGGACTAGAAACCAATTTCGAAAGAAAATTCAAAGGGCTGTAACTTTTGAACTAGTAGCCCAATCTTGGAACTGTTTGAAATTATGGATTCTACAGGCCACATTCTATAAGAAAATTTTTTTCCGGGTCGATCTGAGACAATTTTTTTTTCGGGGCTCAAAAAAAGGCAGTGTATAACCTTCCTTTTTTACCAAAAATCGACTACACCAAAATTTCTCGGGAAAACACTTTTTCTTATTAATTTTGGTGCGTAGAATCCAAAACAATTCGTACTTTTTCGATCAGACTTCTCAATCAAAAGTTATAGACTAGAAACCAATTTCGAAAGAAAATTCAAAGGGCTGTAACTTTTGAACTAGTAGCCCAATCTTGGAACTGTTTGAAATTATGGATTCTACAGGCCACATTCTATAAGAAAATTTTTTTCCGGGTCGATCTGAGACAATTTTTTTTTCGGGGCTCAAAAAAAGGCAGTGTATAACCTTCCTTTTTTACCAAAAATCGACTACACCAAAATTTCTCGGGAAAACACTTTTTCTTATTAATTTGGGTGCGTAGAATCCAAAACAATTCGTAATTTTTCGATCAGACTTCTCAATCAAAAGTTATAGACTAGAAACCAATTTCGAAAGAAAATTCAAAGGGCTGTAACCTTTGAACTAGTAGCCCAATCTTGGAACTGTTTGAAATTATGGATTCTACAGGCCACATTCTATAAGAAAATTTTTTTCCGGGTCAATCTGAGACAATTTTTTCTTCGGGGCTCAAAAAAAGGCAGTGTATAACCTTCCTTTTTTACAAAAATCGACTGCACCAAAATTTCTCGGGAAAACACTTTTTCTTATTAATTTTGGTGCGTAGAATCCAAAACAATTCGTACTTTTTCGATCAGACTTCTCAATCAAAAGTTATAGACTAGAAACCAATTTCGAAAGAAAATTCAAAGGGCTGTAACTTTTGAACTAGTAGCCCAATCTTGGAACTGTTTGAAATTATGGATTCTACAGGCCACATTCTATAAGAAAATTTTTTTTCCGGGTCGATCTGAGACAATTTTTTTTTCGGGCCTCAAAAAAAGGCAGTGTATAACCTTCCTTTTTTACCAAAAATCGACTACACCAAAATTTCTCGGGAAAACACTTTTTCTTATTAATTTTGGTGCGTAGAATCCAAAACAATTCGTACTTTTTCGATCAGACTTCTCAATCAAAAGTTATAGACTAGAAACCAATTTCGAAAAAAAATTCAAAAGGGCTGTAACTTTTGAACTAGTAGCCCAATCTTGGAGCTGTTTGAAATTATGGATTCTACAGGCCACATTCTATAAGAAAAATTTTTTTCCCGGTCGATATGAGACAATTTTTTCTTGCGGGCCTCAAAAAAAAAGCAGCGTATAACCTTCCTTTTTTACCAAAAATCGACTACACCAAAATTTCTCGGGAAAACACTTTTTCTTATTAATTTTGGTGCGTAGAATCCAAAACAATTCGTACTTTTTCGATCAGACTTCTCAATCAAAAGTTATAGACTAGAAACCAATTTCGAAAGAAAATTCAAAGGGCTGTAACTTTTGAACTAGTAGCCCAATCTTGGAACTGTTTGAAATTATGGATTCTACAGGCCACATTCTATAAGAAAATTTTTTTCCGGATCGATCTGAGACAATTTTTTTTCGGGGCTCAAAAAAGGGCAGTGTATAACCTTCCTTTTTTACCAAAAATCGACTGCACCAAAATTTCTCGGGAAAACACTTTTTCTTATTAATTTTGGTGCGTAGAATCCAAAACAATTCGTACTTTTTCGATTAGACTTCTCAATCAAAAGTTATAGACTAGAAACCAATTTCGAAAAAAAATTCAAAGGGCTGTAACTTTTGAACTAGTAGCCCAATCTTGGAACTGTTTGAAATTATGGATTCTACAGGCCACATTCTATAAGAAAATTTTTTTTCCGGGTCGATCTGAGACAATTTTTTTTTCGGGGCTCAAAAAAAGGCAGTGTATAACCTTCCTTATTTACCAAAAATCGACTGCACCAAAATTTCTCGGGAAAACACTTTTTCTTATTAATTTTGGTGCGTAGAATCCAAAACAATTCGTACTTTTTCGATCAGACTTCTCAATAAAAAGTTATGGACTAGAAACCAATTTCGAAAGAAAATTCAAAGGGCTGTAACTTTTGAACTAGTAGCCCAATCTTGAAACTGTTTGAAATTATGGATTCTACAGGCCACATTCTAAAGGAAAATTTTTTCCGGGTCGATCTGAGACCATTTTTTTTTAGGGCCTCAAAGGTTATAACCTTCCTTTTTTACCAAAAATCGACTGCACCAAAATTTCTCGGGAAAACACTTTTTCTTATTAATTTTGGTGCGTAGAATCCAAAACTATTCGTACTTTTTCGATCAGACCTCTCAATCAAAAGTTATAGACTAGAAACCAATTTCGAAAAAAAATTCAAAGGGCTGTAACTTTTGAACTAGTAGCCCAATCTTGGAACTGTTTGAAATTATGGATTCTACAGGCCACATTCTATAAGAAAAATTTTTTCCGGGTCGATCTGAGACAATTTTTTTTCGGGGCTCAAAAAAAGGCAGTGTATAACCTTCCTTTTTTACCAAAAATCGACTGCACCAAAATTTCTCGGGAAAACACTTTTTCTTATTAATTTTGGTGCGTAGAATCCAAAACAATTCGTACTTTTTCGATCAGACTTCTCAATCAAAAGTTATAGACTAGAAACCAATTTCGAAAGAAAATTCAAAGGGCTGTAACTTTTGAACTAGTAGCCCAATCTTGGAACTGTTTGAAATTATGGATTCTACAGGCCACATTCTATAAGAAAATTTTTTTCCGGGTCGATCTGAGACAATTTTTTTTTCGGGGCTCAAAAAAAGGCAGTGTATAACCTTCCTTTTTTACCAAAAATCGACTGCACCAAAATTTCTCGGGAAAACACTTTTTCTTATTAATTTTGGTGCGTAGAATCCAAAACAATTCGTACTTTTTCGATCAGACTTCTCAATCAAAAGTTATGGACTAGAAACAAATTTCGAAAGAAAATTCAAAGGGCTGTAACTTTTGAACTAGTAGCCCAATCTTGGAACTGTTTGAAATTATGGATTCTACAGGCCACATAGTCTAGTAACTTTGTTCCTGTAAAACTAGTAGCCCAATCTTGGAACTGTTTGAAATTATGGATTCTACAGGCCACATAGTCTAGTAACTTTGTTCCTGAAAATGGAGGGTACCAAGCGTCAAATCCGGTAGTTCTGATTTTTTGTGGGATTGGAACTGTTGTTAACCCAATTCAAGTTTTCGACCTCGAGCGGCGAACGCAACATAGTCAAATATACTAAAAACCGAGGAGTTTTCGTTTTCTTTTCAGAAATCCGGCGTAGGACTACCTGGTGCACACAGGGTGCGAGGAAAAATCGATTTCGGGATGAAACCCACGTTCCCTAGCAGCTTCAGAATCAAAAGCCAGCCGCTGATCATGAAGAAGCTCACTTCATTGTTACCGGTCCATTCATCCCCGAACTTAGCATTCAAGGGCCGCTTAGCCGACCTCACTACAACATTTCTGGCCCAATCAACATGATAATTGGGTACTTGCTGGAACCTCGTTAAATGAAGGCAAACAATATCGTACTTTAGTGGTAGCGTTGAAAAGACGAAGGTGAAATAAAAGATCTTGAGTAGGTTTTTTAAAGGAACTATTGATCTACATGTATCTAATATAGCATAACAGTGAATATCTGATTTTTTTTAAGTAAGAAAGCATGCAATAGTTTTAAGACTAAGGCCAACGAGTCTAAAACGAGTGCAACATAAACTCTTAACAGATGTCGCTCGCGTGCTAAAAGTATAGAGTGAGGCGAAATCGGCAAAAATTGATCAGTTTAATTACAAAATCAAATTCCGTGTTAGTAGACGAACCTCATTGTGATTTACCAGCATCCATTGCCAAAATTGCATTGGCGATGGAGAAACTGAGCTTGAGGATCTAAAAGTGAAGAGCGTTATTGCTTGACCCTTTGGGAAAGGAGCAATAATTACATCTGTAAACAGGAAGATATTTATATCGCCCATTCCAGCCATTGAAAGACCTTCGAACTTTTGAGATCTCTGTATGATTATCACGATCTGTTTTTTAATTGTAATGGGGGCCTCCAACCAAAAGGGCGCGTGGAAAACTGCCATGCCAACTGATTCACTCTGGAAAGTCATTTTGAAAAAGACGCCGTCGTCGAGATCATTCAGCATACCTGATCGGTAAGTATGGTTCCTGCACAGCTTGCACAAAACAGTTGCGCTGAGGCTCCGATTAAGATCAACGTCTGCTCCACTTGAAGAGGAATGTTATGCCTAAGAAAAAGTGGTTCATCTTTTACGTTTGCGTAACGTTCCCTGATGTGCAAACTTACTCTGCCGCTGCGAGTACATACATTGACGCACAAATGGCACCAACAAGCGTAATAAATTGGTTTAGCATCGTTATAGAGCACGCCGAATTGAGGTCAGGTATACAGCTTAAAGACGATGGGCTTATATTGTGATCAAACCACCTCAACTCACCTCAAAACGAACTCATGTCGGCGGACAACTTCGGCAAACTTGACCTGCAGGTCACCCTCATCGTTTACCTTCAAACTTTGGAATTCGTGCTTCACCACCTCCAACTCGCAGTAAATGTACGCGACAAAAGAGTAAACTAATAAGTCCCATCCTGGAATTGCAAACGCCAAAATCCCAACACCAAAGCACTCCAAGAAGTAGACGATTTCGTACATCGGCGTCTCGTACACATTTGCAAAGTCGTAAATCGGAAACGGCAGGGTCCTCTTTTCTTTCACCATCAAAGGTCTCGAGCAAAACACCACTAAAGCAAGACAGTAAAATCTGAAATAAAGCTTGGCGACTTTTATGACTTTCTTCCGAATTTCCCTCAAATCTTTGCCTAGTTTTCCTTCCAGTTTTCCAATATCTTGGAATTCAGAAACTTTGGATATGAGCTTGCGCAGTTTTTTCCGACCGAAGTATAAAGTAATGATTTTTACAAAGACCTAAGAAATCGCCTAAAGTTGTCCGCCAACGACGCTGTTACCCACCTGGTATGTACCTATTATGCTTTCCGCGCCGTCGTGGAACGCTTGCACCTTATCCGGGTTCCATAAAAATTGTAGTGTCGCCATGGTTATAACGCACACCCCGAAACTAATTATGGAATAAAATTTTCTTCTGGACAGAGTAATTGGCACATGCGGATCGAGGCCAATAACTCCCAACAGCTGCAAGCCGAAAGTTAGCATGTCCGGCTGGGACGGTGTCGCGGTCACCCTCATGGTTACATTGGAACTGTTGGGGTAATAATGTCCGTTTATGCCGTCTGTAGCCGGATAATTAAAAGGAGCCGCCTTTTGTTTTTTTATTCACGCTGGCTTATAATTTGAATGCGATTGAACAAAATGTATTCTACCGCTTCGTATTACATACAGAGACACGTTCGAGGGACGCCCATTACGTATTAACTGAGTGACCCACAAACTCCCACAGCATTCACTACAAAGGCAAATTAAAAATTCACTCTACCTCCACATGCAAGCGACTGAAGCCTTTGGATTGTCGATTTTTACATTCTGTCACTTATTTAGATGGATGCCTACCATGCATTTTTGTGCACTATCTCTACACCTACCCGAAAGGCGCGAACCGAACCGCAACGAATTCAAACGACTCTCCATCTTTTGGGCCAGATTTTAATAATAAAAATAATGTATCGGCTTTGTATGCCACGTTCCCGATAAGTGTGAAGCCGCGAGGAGAGCATATGCTCACATCTTTTTCGTTTACTGGGTCCCTTTTCACTTCGGTCTAACGAGCGAGCGCATAAACGAGAGTATTCAGGACCCATTAACCACGAAACATATTAGGAAATAGACAGTGGTTCACAGAACCAAGTTAAAGGCTCTATGGGTCCCACTGGTAGCATAATAATAATGGGCTTGGTTCAGCCTAGGTCTACTTTTCACAAAACCAACATTTAAGGCACCATTTGATCTTACTGTCAGCCGTAGTAGCCCCATCTGTTGCATTTATTCATATCAGGCCACGTGCAGATTTATATAGGATCATAGCTACTTGCAAACATATATCTCCGATTCAATTAATTAGTAGTAATTGAAAAGAATTTACCTTGTAGTGAATTATTCCTACAGTGGATGCTTCTAACTGCACATTTCTACATTTTTTCCCTATAAACAGGTATGCTTGACTACCTCCCGAACGCTTTCTTTACAAATTCAATATCCATTCCTTAAGATCAACATAAACAATCAAGCTAGCTAGAAACGTAAATTGTTCGTTATGGCTTTAGTCTCATAATCGAATTCTGTTTATGCCCCACGTCATAAATTATTAGTTTATGTGTTTAAAATCGTAAGCTGGAGATTCTGTTTTGTAAAAAAAAAACTGGTAAAGGCAAGTTACGCATAACGAGGGTCTAACATAAAATAATGGACGTGATTCGCATTCGTTATTTCTATTTAAAATTCGAGTTAAAGTTAAAGATTCTTACTGCTCAATTACTAATTAACAAGTACAAATCTATGTGAATCACTTCGCTCTGTGAGAAGGAACCACGAGAAGAAACGAAATACGAAAACGTTCAGCGACTACGCGATATGGACCAGCTTCCACGACATGTTCCACAAAGTGGTGCATTCCAACATGAGATTAACTGACGTTGAAAAAGAATCTAAGAGGTGATGCCAGCATCTGCCGATATATGAAGTCAATTACAAAGAAGCGTGGAAGATGCTAACAAACCGGTAGCAGAATAAGCGTCTACACATTCAATAAGAAATTTTTGTTTCCGGGTTGATCTGAGACAATTTTTTTTTCGGGGATCAAAAAAGCAGTGTATAACCTTCCTTTTTTACCAAAAATCGACTGCACCAAAATTTCTCTGGAAAACACTTTTTCTTATTAATTTTGGTGGGTAGAATCCAAAACAATTCGTACTTTTGCGATCGGACTTCTCAATCAAAAATTATGGACTAGAGACCAATTTCGAAAGAAAATTCATAGGGCTGTAACTTTTGAACTAGTAGCCCAATCTTGGAACTGTTTGAAATTATGGATTCTACAGGCCACATTCTATAAGAAAATTTTTTTTTCCGAGTCGATCTGAGACAATTTTTTTTTCGAGGCTCAAAAAAGGCAGTGTATAACCTTCCTTTTTTACCAAAAATCGACTGCACCAAAATTTCTCGGGAAAACACTTTTTCTTATTAATTTTGGTGCGTAGAATCCCAAACAATTCGTACTTTTTCGATCGGACTTCTCAATCAAAAGTTATAGACTAGAAACCAATGTCCAGAGAAAATTCAAAGGGCTGTAACTTTTGAACTAGTAGCACAATCTTGGAACTATTTGAAATTATGGATTCTACAGGCCACATTCTATAAGAAATTTTTTTTCCCGGGTCGATCTGAGACAATTTTTTTTCGAGGCTCAAAAAAGGCAGTGTATAACATTCCTTTTTTACCAAAAATCGACTGCACCAAAATTTCTCTGGAAAACACTTTTTCTTATTAATTTTGGTGGGTAGAATCCAAAACAATTCGTACTTTTGCGATCGGACTTCTCAATCAAAAGTTATGGACTAGAAACCAATTTCGAAAGAAAATTCAAAGGGCTGTAACTTTTGAACTAGTAGCCCAATCTGGGAACAGTTTGAAATTATGGATTCTACAGGCCACATTCTATAAGAAATTTTTTTCTCCGGGTCGATCTGAGACAATTTTTTTTCGGGGCTCAAAAAAAGGCAGTGTATAATAACCTTCCTTTTTTACCAAAAATCGACTGCACCAAAATTTCTCGGGAAAACACTTTTTCTTATCAATTTTGGTGCGTAGAATCCAAAACAATTCGTACTTTTTCGATCGGACTTCTCAATCAAAAGTTATGGACTAGAAACCAATTTCGAAAGAAAATTCAAAAGGCTGTCACTTTTGACCTAGTAGCCCAATCTTGGAACTGTTTAAAATTATGGATTCTACAGGCCACATTCTATAAGAAAATTCTTTTCCGGGTCGATCTGAGACAATTTTTTTTCGGGGGCTCAAAAAAGGCACTGTATAACCTTCCTTTTTTACCAAAAATCGACTGCACCAAAATTTCTCAGGAAAACACTTTTTCTTATTAATTTTGGTGCGTATATCATAGCTATTTACAAATATTATATCTCCAATTCAAGTAATTAGTGCTAATTGAAAAGAATTTACCTTGTAGTGAATTATTCCTATGGTGGATGCACATTTCTACATATTTCCCTTCTGGGTATGCTTGACTACCTCGGGTATGTTGACTACCTCCCGAACGCTTTCTTTACAGATTAAATATCCATTCCTCAAGACCAACATAAACAATCAAGCTAGCTAAAAACGTAAATTGTTCGTTATTGCTTTAATCTCATAACCGAATTGCTCCCACGTCATAAATTGTTAGTTTGTGTTTAAGATCGTAAGCTAGCGGCTCCAAGAAGCACCAAGTGCAACCGCACTCAGCATATAACATAGTGACCAGGTTTTCCTCCCTTGACAAAATTATAAAGGTGATAGCATATGTAAGAAGACAGCATGCCCAAATGAGGTTTTGAAACACGAGAACTGCAGGCAGCTCGTGGAACGTTCACTCAATCCCTTGCCGGATCTAATTGGACTATTTATTAAGAGTAGGGGATAGATAAACGAATGAAGCCCGCATTTCCACAAGAGACGCCCTTTAATCCATTCCTCCACAAAGTCATTTGGCCACACTAATGGTAAAGGATGCCCATGCCAGAACAAGAAATCTGGTCCGAACACCGAACAATGCATGACGCTAGCATGGTTTTGTGCCGTACTCGCCTTCGACTTGTGCGATATCAAGCCGAATAAATTAGCCGATCGAGGTCTTATGGTAGAATGTTGCACCACGGAGTCGGAGGGCATGGAATACCTCCCTGGTTTTTCTATATAAGCAAATTGAATTGTGATTGGTCTCAGTCTTAACATCGATGTGGAAGTGATACATTCACGCTCGTATTCTTCCCGAAACTGCCGTCAAAAAAATACCAAAAAATGTTTACCTGAACGCTTTTATGGGACAATTCAGAAGGACTTTGTAGGTATGTGAAACGCGCGAGTACTTCATCAGAAATTAAAATTAGGACCGCTTTGCACATTCAAATTATGTGACCGAAAATGAAACAACGGCTAATTTAATTAAAACACTAACGAAATACCTGACCATAGTTCGCCGTGTTCCAGTGAGAAAAAAGTGATTTCGCAATTGAGGTGCATTTTTAATAAAAAATGAGATGTTGCCCGTAGTACACGTCTTGAGTTTGTAGTATATGATTCTATTGCAAAAGCTGAAGAAAACGTGAGCAAGATGAATTACATCACACTCGCCCTTTGCATTCTGCTCGCGGTCGAAGACGAGGTGCGACCGGACGGTGAGTCCACAAAGAGCATGCGAAATAAATACGGCGAGATCAATTTTTCAGGAGCTTACAGCTACATTGTGGTGGGGTCGGGTCCTGCAGGGGCGGTCGTCGCCAATCGCCTGTCCGAAGATCCTAACGTTAAGGTTCTCCTATTGGAATCGGGAGATGAGTCATTGGCCCAAACGGAATATCCCATGATGGCGTCCCTTGGGCAGTTTACTCGCCAAAACTGGAATCACCTCACGGAAAAACAGGAAAATTTCGGTTTAGGTGGGTACCAAACCGGAATTGTTACGAACGTAAACCGTGAAACAAACGAAATTCCGGTTCCGGTTCGATGTAAATGCGATTCGTAACTAAGCAAATCTGCAAACGGGTGGTCGGGTTTCAGGTTTGGTCGATGGAATCGTAGGATACCCAGCAGGAAGGGTTCTGGGAGGAAGCACAGTTATTAATTATATGATGTACATTCGCGGAAACAAAGCGGACTACAATCGGTGGGCGAATTTGGGCAACCCGGGCTGGTCGTACGAGGAGGTGCTCCCGTATTTTCGGAAATTGGAGGACTCCAAGGTGAAGGTTGCCGATGAAGAGTACCGTGGCCCCGGTGGTTTACTGACTGTGTCCGACGTGCCCTACAGAACGGAAGCGGTGCACGTCTTCGTGAAGGCTTGCCAGGAGGCCGGTTACCCTTACGTGGATTACAATGGGAGAAATCAACTAGGAGTGTCGTACGTACAGGGCGCGTTGCGTAGGGGTCGACGGTGCAGTGCGGAAAAGGCGTTCATTCGCCCCGCCCGAGCAAGATCGAACTTGCACATTCGGCTCAACAGTCACGTAACCAAAGTACTCATCGAGCCAGGCACGAAGAGAACATACGGAGTCGAGTACCTCCACTCGAATCGAAAGTTCGTCGTGAACGCCACCATTGAGGTGATACTCAGCGCTGGTACTTTCCATTCGCCTCAAATATTGATGCTGTCCGGTATCGGCCCCCGGGACCATTTACTCGAATTGGGAATTCCGCTCGTGCAAGACCTTCCTGTAGGAAGAAAGCTGTACGACCACCTCGTCTTCCTGGGACTGGTGTTCACAATAAATAAGCCGATTGTCACATTCTTCTGGAAAACCTTCACGATAAGGAGCCTCCTCGAGTTTCTACTCTATGGGAAGGGTCCGATGACATCACTTGGAGGAGTTGAAGCTCTGGCGTACTTCAAAACCAATGTCACTTCTTACTCGAAGGATTACCCAGACATGGAACTCATCTTCTTAAGCGGTGGTCTGCACACGGACTTCGGCACGATTTATCGAAGAATGTTTAGAGTAGCCGATGCATGGTACTATCCCATTTGGCTACCACTGGAAACTAAGTACGCGTACTCCATCCTTCCAATGCATCTGCATCCGAAATCCCACGGACACATGAAGCTGAGCTCGACAAATCCACTTGACCCGCCGCGATTCTACGGCAACTACCTCTCCGACCCCAACAATGAAGACGTCAAAGAATTCATTGCGGCAGTACGCGAAAGCCAAAGGATCATGCGGTCCCCCGCCTTGCAACGGTACGGAGCGGAGCAGGTCAAAACCGTCGTGCCCGGTTGCGAAATGCACCAGTACGACAGCGACCCCTACTGGGAGTGCGCAATTCGGCACCTAACGACGACGTTGTACCATCAGACAAGCACCTGCAAAATGGGACCGTCGTCGGACCCTGAGGCGGTGGTCGACCCCAGACTGCGAGTGTACGGTGTGAGGAGGTTAAGAGTGATCGACACCAGCGTAATACCTACCACGATATCTGCCCACACTAGCGCGGTTGGGTACATGGTGGGGGAGAAGGGCTCCGATTTAATAAAGGAAGATTATCAGAGATTGTTACAGGAGAATATGGACGAGATTTACGTGTAGTACTAGACTTTAATTTGAGGAATCAGGCCCTAGGTTCAATGGCAATTTTGCCAGTGAGCAGATGCTGATTGAAAATTCAGGTAGGGGGTACTGCAAAGGGGCGTTTGTATTTCTATTAGGTTAGGTAGCAATTTTATGCGCTATCATCGAGATAGCGTTGATTACGTAATATTTCACGGACACTTAACACTAAGTATCTAAGCGGGTCTCGATCTTAGCAATAATCACAAGGTGAGCGCATCCCTGGAAAACCGCCTGCAGGACCAGACGGCGTCGGGAACAGGGCACGCTCGAGGTGCTCCCTCAACAGGCGGTAAGAGTTCTCGCTTTATTCTCAACGCGATGCTAAGACTGCGGCATTTTCCAGCTCGGTGGAAACGTGCCGACGTAATTATGTTACAGAAACCGGGATAGTCCGCGAAGTTCCCACAGAATTACCGCCCGATTGACTTTCTCTCCGAGATTACCGAAGTAACGGAAGCGGTGATCCTGAGGAGGCTGCAGGTCCAAATGGAGGATTCCGACGGTCCCCCAGTGCTAAGGACGGTAGAACACGCAACCAGTCCACGGGATCAGTCTTTATGGCGTTCGATAAGATCTGGTACAACGCACTGCTGTAGAAGATGCTGGAATCCGGTCTCCTCCTAGCTACGGTCCATATTGTTGCTCCATATCTCAAAGTTTCGAGGGAAGCAGGTCGTGAGAGCGCAAAGCAACGGTCGGAGTATCCCCGGGGCACCCTGCTCTCGCGGATCACACGGGACACCGCCCTGACTTTCTACGCGGACGACGTCGCCATCCAGACAATCTGCATTCAGCTGTAGCCGTATTTTTGAGAAAAACGAACACGCGAAAACTTCCACGAGGCCACGCCTGCTAACCATCCAATGCATCCAACCAGAGACAGGGACATCTCGCATTCTATACTCGGTCCGTGTATCTTTAACTACGTCCAAATTCTGGGAGCGAATCCAAACTACTTCGCGTTGTTCCTAGTGTATAAGCAATTAACACACAATTAACCAGCCTCATTATAGAATTGCCTCGTACCATAGTTTGCCCCAATGCGAAATTTGCAAATTAATGCAGATCAGCCTTACAGGACCGTTCCGCCTCAACCCCATTTATCAAAATGTGTTCCTTACAGTACGTAACGGCGCTATTTTAAGAAAAATAAGAACCAATTCAATGTTAATAAAGAGTATTGACCTATCCTTTACCCTTGAGGCCAGAAGAGGGTTATTACCCGACGAGCAGCTGAGGCATATTAATATAATTACCCGACAAGAACCACACCAAATTTAATTAACCAGAAGAAGTCGTTGGCTTTGTTGGCTGTTCGAGATATCCGAACGAACCGATGGCAGACGGAGGTATAAAAGGTGAAATAAAAACTCTTGAGTAGTCGAAAAATTTACATTGAACATGTATCAAGTATAACATGACAGTGAATATTTACTATCACCCTATTCTTAGGTTAAGAACGCGTGCAATGGTTTTAAGACCAACGCCGAGCGAGACTAAGGCGAGTGCGACACAAATCGGATTAGGCTCGTTCGCGTGCAAAAATTACAGAGTGAATACATCAAATTCCTTGTTGGTAGGCGAGCCTCACTGTGGTTTGCGACCGTCGATTGCCAAAATTGCGTTGGCGAGGGAGAAACTGAGCTTGAGGATCTAAAAATGAAGATCGTTGTTGCTTGATCCTTTGGGAAAGGTGCGATAATTACTTTGGTAAACAGAGGGATATTTATATCGCCCATTCCAGCCATGGAAAGACCTTCGTACTTTTGAGATCTCTGTATCACCATTACGACCTCTTTTTTAATTGCAATGGGGGCCTCCAACCAAAAGGGCGCGTGGAAAAGTGCCGTGCCCACTGATTTGCTCTGGAAAATCACTTTGAAGAAGACACCATCGTCGAGATTACTCAGTATACCTGATCGGTAAGTATGGTTCCTGCACAGCTTGCACAAAGCAGTTGCGTTGAGACTGCCAGTAAGATCAACATCTGCTCCACTTGAAGAGGAACGTTATGTCTAAGAAAAAGTGTTTCATCTTTTACGTTCGCGTAATGTTTCCTGGTGTTGTGCAAACTTACCCTGCCCCTGCGAGTACATACACGGACGCACAAATTGCACCAACAAGCGTAATAAATTGGTTTAACATCGTCATAGCGCACACCGAATTGAGGTCAGGTATACAGCTTAAAGACGATGGACTTATATTAAGATCAAACCACCTCAACTCACCTCAAAACGAACTCATGTCGGCGGACAACCTCGGCAAACTTGACCTGCAGGTCACCCTCATCGTTTACCTTCAAACTTTGGAATTCGTGCTTCACCACCTCCAACTCGCAGTAAATGTACGCGACGAAAGAGTAAACCAATAAGTCCCATCCACCAATTGCAACCGCCAAAATCCCGGCACCAACGCACTCCAAGAAGTACACGACTTCGTACATCGGCGACTCGTACACATTTGCAAAGTCGTAAATCGGATACGGCAGGGTCCTCTCATCTTTCACCATCAAAGGTCTCGAGCAAAGCACCGCTAAAGTAAGACAGTAAAATCTGAAATAAAACTTGGCGACTTTCATGACTTTCTCCCGAGTTCCCCTCAACTCTTTGCCTAGTGTTCCTTCCAGTTTTCCGATATCTTGTAAGGCAGAAACTTTAGATATGAGCTTGCGCAATTTCCGTCGAGCAAAGAATAAAGCAATCACTTTTACAAAAACCTAAGAGATCACCTAAAGTTATCTGTCAGCGACGCTGTACACACCTGGTAAGCGCCTATTATGCTTTCCGCTCCGTCGTGAAACGCTTGCATCTTATCCGAGCTCCATAAAAATTGTAGTGTCCCCATGGTTATAACGCACACAGCGAAACTAACGACGAAATAAAATTTTCTTCTGGCCAAAGCGATCGGGACATGCGGATCGAGACCAATAACTCCCAACAGCTGCAAGCCGAAAGTTAGCATGCCCTGCTGGGACGGTGCAGCGGTCGCACTCATGGTTACAGTAAAACTGTTGGGGTAATAATGCCCGTTTATGCCATATGTAGCTGCCTTTTGTTTTTTTTTATTCACACTGGCTTATAATTTGAATGCGATTGAACAAAATGTATTCTACCGCTTTGTATTACATACAGAGACACGTTCGAGGGACGCCCATTACGTATTAACTGAGTGACCCATAAACTCCCACAGGCAAATTAAAAATTCACACTACCTTCGCATGCAAGCGACTGCAGCGTTTAGATTGTCGATTAATTTCAATTATTGCATTTGAGATGAATTCAATTTTCCTAACAAACGATGAGTATATTCTTGATGGATCCACACAAATTATTGAAAAGAATATTGTTAACTGATAATATTGAATGTAAGCGTTTACATGCTATTTATATCACAGATTTACTTTCATTAACATATGTCAATTATGCTAGTATGCAGGAAATGCCGAATGACCTGACCTCTCGTTCTCTCTTGGCTTATTCCGTTCCACTTATATATTCGCAACTGCACAATTTTACACAATACACCTCTAAACTTAGAAATTTAAGAACAACACCTGCAGATTTTATACAATTTAAACGTCGTATCAAGTTGCAATCATTTTAGGCGTTCATTTATTTTAATCAAAAGCAAAACCATCTCAAAATTGAACACTAACTAACATTATAACTGCTATCATATAATCCGCCAACCATTTCGGGGTCAGGTGCGTTAATAAACTTGCTGGAAAATCATCTGTTGTATCTAATGCCTAGGACGAAGAAGTTACAAATAGTATTCGGTTATGCGAAGGCCTCTTTCTCCATGCTTTATTCGCGTTCCGGTCTTTCTTTTTTACCATTTATTTTTAAGTCTCTTTACTTCTGGCTTTTTTTTTTGTCACGTACACGTACCTTTGCATCTCCGCTAAAGTCTCGTGCTTCCTCCACAACTCCCATACGATTTATTTCTTCCGAATGCACGCGCCATCTTCCTTACTCTATTTTTCTTCTTGTCTCCTTTGAGAATCCCATTCCTCGCCTCTTTTCTTCGCATCTTTTTCAAACTTCCCCCTGACTTTTGCTACACTGCATCCCTCACCCCCACCTTCATGCTGTATTCACACATTTTTCCATTTCCTTACACCTAATGTCCCTTTTAACACTTCCGTCAACCGCGCGTACTTCGTTCCTCCTTTACGCTGCCGCCTCCCACCTCCATGTTCTTTGGACTTCCTCGTGCACCTTTACGCCTCCCTCATTTCTCTATCGGATTTATGGCTCAGTGGTAGAGCATTGGGTTATAAATCCGGAGGTCGGGTGTTCGAACCTGGGTTGAGGTGAATTTTTCATCTGTGGCGGAGATGGAAATTACCTTAGACCAGTTCCGAGCATTCTACAGGCTACTCCGAATTAGGTTTTCCTGTAGTTTTCCTAATTCGTAAGGTAAATACCGGAGTAGTATAGACCAACTTAAGACCTTCTGCAGAGGCACCTCTAAATAGCATTATGCGGGTCACTCTGTAATTGGGCGCATGCCTGTTGAGGGCCCAAAACAAGAGAGGGATAATAATAATAATAATTTCTACCTTGTATCAAGTTCACGCTTTCTGCACAACTGCTTCCTTCATCGCATTCCACTTTTTCCTTCCGGCATCAGGTTTTTTTTTCCGTCGGCAATCTAGACCTCGCTGTTTAATCTTTGAGCAAAGAATTACTCAATGGTTTAATGTACCTCGATCATTATTTAATTCTAATTTTGTCCGTTGCCATTTTCAATTAACACACTGTGCGTATAAACAACATTTCCGTATACAATAGCACATGAATATTCACTAAAAAATTTACGTAAGTAATGACCTTTCATCTGTATCTATTTTTATGCTCTGAAGGTTTCCAGTTACCCGAATTTTAATCCCATCCTAAGTAATACTTTTGGATTTGTGTCTCATTGGTACACAAAGCGAAAGGAAATAAATGAGTACCAGAAGGGAAGGAATGGAGGAAACAAAATGACAGAAGAAACAATGAAGCAGCCAAAAAAAAACAGGAAAAGATTGTTAATCATATTAGGCAAATTTATCAGAACAGAAAAGAATAAAGGGCGAAACAGACAGAAGAGAGTGAGAAAATAATCATTAGGCACTGTGGCCCAAAATTGAAAAATGCAAGCAAAGTGAAACGTAAAGAAACACAGAAGAGGGGAAGAAAAAGGAAAATAAAATGTGGTTGGCAAGAGGAAATGGGGAGCAAAATTTTTATGTTGGAAAAAAAGGAAACGAGTGGGAAAACAGTGAAGAAACGAAGAAACTAGAGGCAGAGGAAAGGAAAAGATACGGGGGATGGTTAGTTTCCCTTCATCGTCGTGGATAATATAAAAAGTTTATTTTATAGCAGCAGCTTGTGAAAATTCTGAATTTACTGGCATCGTTTCCATGGAAACGACATTGTTTTCTGTTCTGAACTTCATTTTATTTCATGCTCCGCAATCCATTTTAAATAGGAATGACATGTCTCTAGAATCATTTGTTTCACTTTATTTCGTCCTTGATTTAAATAAATCAACGCCCAAATTTAATTTGATAAGACGTTTAAATTGTATGAAATCTGCAGGTGTTTCTTCAATTTTTTTAAGACAGTTTAGAGGCGTATTATTGTCTACCATTGCGAAATTTGACAGAGTGCGTGATCGTTCGCGATTTATAAAACATGACAGTGGAACGGAATAGGCGAAGAGGTCATTCAGCTTTTATTATGGTGACTCGCGTCTTCAATTCAGGATTACGCTGCTGATTTTTGCATCCGTTGTAACACGCAATAACGCGGGTAGAAAGACCAGTTTCCGTGAGGGAGGGGTACTCCCACGCTGGACTTTATAAGCGCACTCGCGACGACGAAGATTAACTGCTCCGGCCTTCATCCCACGTATTCCTTCGAATGCTCTAAACGAAAAGAGATTCCAAGCACTCCTGTCAACGCAACCCCCTCCCCTCCGACCCGCTGACACTCAGTCCGGCGAAAAGGAAAAAAAACGGATTTGACTCTTTCTGTGAAAGAAGACATGCCTTCTAGATTTATTATATAAGTTTATTGTTTGCTATATAAGCAACTTGAAGTGTGTTTAGTGTCAGTTTTAACATCGCGCTCGTATTCTAAATTAAGTGTTAAAATTTCATATAAATAAATAAGGTAATTAACTTTATGCTACAGGCGCAATAAGGGAATTGTAAATCGACTCTTTTAAATACAAAAGGCTGTTTTCCCATCACGCTGCGTTAGTGATACGTTGCAAACAAAAATTCTATTCCAAAAAAGATATAGATCACAAGGATACCCAGAAGGAAGGGTTCTGGGAGGAAGCACAGTTATTAATTACATGATGTACAACCGCGGAAGCAAAGCGGTGGGTGAATTTGGGCAACCTGGGCTGGTCGTACGAAGAGGTGCTCCCGTATTTTCGCAAATCGAAAGACTCCACGGTGAAGGTTTCCGATGAAGAATACCGTAGCAAATTTGCTATTACCCTAATTCTTTATTTCCGCAACTAGAGGTCATCCGAGTGTTATAGATTTCTTATTACCATAGTTATTTGTTTCGCCGGCCGAGGTCGTGCAGATGTTTTCCATAGTATTTCTAATTCCATCCCTTCCACTTTTTCAGTGAATATTCTGCCTTTGTGTCAACACAGGACCAAACGATAAGGGAGGAATACTAACTAGAAACTACAGTGTGAAAATCAACAAAGAAAAAACAAAAGAGAGGATAGGAAAAAAATAAAGATCCGAATAGAAAACGACACTTTAAAGCATGTAAAGAAATTTTGCTATTTAGGTAGTAAGGTTACACAAGATAAATTAACTTAGGTTTTAACCCCCTCCCCCCCCCCCCCAACTTAGGTTTTAACCCCCCCCCCCCCCCCCCGGCCCTACCGCTCACTGATCTCGAAAAGAGTCGATTTCGATGAGACCTTTCATTAGAATACCATGAAGGGTAGAACATGTATTTACCCCCCACCCCCACCCCCCGCCATTTTCTAAAGTTCAACTTGACACCACTGAAGGCATGCGTATACAAAATCTGAAATCTGAGACCACTTGGTTGTCGTATGTAAAAGTTATGCACGTTTTACTTTGAAAAACAGTATCTCTGGAAATAATTCGTGGGGGGAGGGGGGGGGGCTTTTAGACAGCGAAATTGGATGGCCGTCTGACACACATTCAAGGTATATGCTACCTACTGCAAAAAATTCGAGGACTCTAGGATCATTTCCCTAGAAGTAGTTCGAAACGGCAGAAGCGGGTCCGGACGGACGGACGGACAAAACGCAAACAATAGCACTTTTTTTTAATTCTTAAAAAATGCGCTAAAAATCGCTTGTATCTCTTTGTATTCTAATTAAAGGTCTCAACGAAAGGAACCGTTTTCTATACCCCCTACTGCCCTTCTTTCTGTCCTCTTATCAAAGTACGGGGCGGAGGGGGGGAAGAGGTGGAACTAGTTTTATCCTTCATGGAACTCTAATGAAAGGTCTCAACGAAAGGAATTCATTTCTACTAACCATAGCCCTCCTCCTCGACCTCTTATCTTGATCGGGTATATTCCTCAAGAACGGATTGTCGGAAGAGGGTACTCACAAAGGGCGAGTGAGACGTCTGCAAGAAATATATCCATTGGTGATGTCAAAACAAAAGCTATTTCGGTTTAAAAAAAATGCGCTTTATCTGCACAAGAGTCGTGTCGATCGGCCTTCAGTCTTGTGTTTTAATGTGCGAGGCGAAGCCGAGCAATGTGTCAACGGTCCCACACAAGCATGAGGCTAGGTGGCATTTAACATCGGGTTTTATGCCCCCCTCCCTCCCTCCAATTACCTATAAATGGCACTTTTTTCTATTGTATTTAGACACCGAAGGCTACAACTAAGCAATTTGTTGCATTCATCTCTCGATTTATATAATCGACCACGTTTTAGAATCGAAGTGCCTATGAATGCATGCGCAAAAAATCGTACTGCGCATATTGAGCATGCGCAATAGGCAACTTTCGTATTTATGCAAAAGTTTGGAGCAGTCTTGAGGTCCTTAGGTGACCTTTTTGGGGCCTCAAACATTAATATTCGCCAAAAATCGCATTAATTTTTAAATGAACGCAAATTGAAGGTGGTTTGACGCAAATAATCAATCGTAAAATATCAAAAAATTACAAATACAGCAAGCTCAGCCCGAGGGCCGAAATCTCAAAGGAGCAGACAGACAGACGATGGAAAATTGAGAACATAAACGTTACCGCAACTTCGTTGTGTTACGCTAATCATCAATGGAAAATAAATGTCCGTCCTTGTGCGCCACGATGGCGCCCTCACCTTTCTTAACAGTTGTAGCCTCAGTTTTGGCTGTCTTGAACCTTGAATACTCGCTTGAATATGAAGAAATTTATGCTCCAGAAAACTGTGTTGATATTTTGATTATAAATAAATACAGGGAGTTCAAAAATAACATTAAACATTGAAATTAAATAAGTGTTTTTTTAAATAGCCCCTCCCCCCTTGCTTGTAACTTTTGTGAAGTACAAAAAATAAGGGTAACTTTGTATAAAATAGCATTAGTGGTGGTACACCCTGTATTTCAACATTTCAATATAAAATTTAATATTTTGGAAATGGTTAACCCTGATTTTCATGTAAAGTAATCACCCTATGGTGAAATACAACCCCTAAAATAATAAGACAATAATAATAATGAGAATAATAATCATTTTTGGATTATGCCCACAACACTAAAAGAAGTTACCGAGTATTTACCTGATAGCCCATTTTTTTCGCATTGGAATCCATGCACTGTAAAACCTCGGGCGCAATGTAATCCGGTGTCCCTGCGGAACACCTTCGTTAAAAAATCCACGGGAATCGAGCCGAGCCGAAGAACCAAAATCGGCCAGCTTGATATGCCCGCAACGATCTAGCAGGATGTTTTCCGGTTTAATGTCCCGATGCACGTAGCCCATCGTGTGTAAAGTGGAAAAGCAATTGCAAGGAACTCATTTCCATCCTGCCCGACGAACTACAGGCAAATACGTTTATGGATCTTGGACCAGAGGACATAAAGAAGACCCTGGGCGTATAATTGGCACCGATCCATTGTCTTTCGTTTCAAACCGGATCTAATCCCGGAGGACGCACCTACCAAGCGAAGGGTCCTATCCCAGATCGCAAGGGTATATGACCTCCCAGGTAGGCTAGCTACCATGGTAATACGGGCTAAGCTGTTCATGCAGGAACCACCTTCCAAGGAGAAGTAGCGCAAGTAGGGCAGATCTTAGAATCAGACTTAAGCACAAGCATCCAAGAGGAGGAGGAAGAGACAGAAAGGGAGGCAAAGAGAGGACAACAATAAGAAAGGGAAAAACAAGAAAGAAAGAAACGAGATCAAAGGATGGAGGCATTGAAAACTAATGCAACACCGGTGGAGAGGATATCACCAGGATGCAGAGCTCCCTCTAATACAGATATTCCAGAGGCCGTACCCTTTCGGGTCGAGCAACGGCCAATTAGCCCCGCCCCACCCCAAAATCCACCCCCGCCCAGTGCAATGATAACAAAACTGGTGCAGATGCCTCCCACGACAGTTGACAAAATTCTGGGAGGAGCGGCTACGCCAGGCATATGCCAAAGTATCAACTGTCAACGTTAGCGCTACTTTGCAAATAAAATGCTCCTCTAAAAAAGATGTGGAACACGCGAGCGCTTAATCACAAATTCAAATTATGTGAATGAAAGTGACGCGAAGGATAATTTTATTAAAGTACTAACGAAATACCTGACCTTAGTACGCGGGGAGCCAGTGACGAGCAATGATCATCCATAAATTGTAAGATCCAAAAACGTGATTACCGAATTCACGCCAGTTTTTACAAACCGGTTCTTGATCAACTCCACACGGGCAATAACTAAAAATTGTATTCTATTGCAAAAGGTGAAGAAACCGTGTGCAAGATGAATTACATCGCCCTTTGGATTTTACTCGCGATTGGTTACTCGGTCGAAGACGAGGTGCGACCGGACGGTGAGTCCACAAAGAGCATGCGGAATAAATGCAGCTGGATCAATTTTTCAGGGGCCTACAGTTACATTGTGGTGGGGTCCGGTGCTGCAGGCGCGGTCGTCGCCAATCGGCTGTCCGAAGATCCTAACGTTAAGGTTCTCCTATTGGAATCGGGAGGTCCGCCATTTGACACAACTGAAACTCCCGCGATCGCGTCCCTTGCGCAGTTTACACGGCAAAACTGGAATTACCTCACGGAAAAACAGGAAAATTTCGGTTTAGGTTCGTATAGTTGGTACCGAACCGGAATTTTAACGGTTCTAAACCGTGAAACAAAATTCCGGTTCCGGTTCAATGCAAATACGATTCGTAACGGGTTTCAGGTTTGGTCGATGGAATCGTAGGATACCCAGGAGGGAGGGTTCTGGGAGGAAGCACAGTTATTAATTATATGATGTACATTCGCGGAAACAAAGCGGACTACAACCGGTGGGCGAATTTGGGCAACCCGGGCTGGTCGTACGAGGAGGTGCTCCCGTACTTTCGGAAATTGGAGGACTCCAAGGTGAAGGTTGCCGATGAAGAGTACCGTGGCCACGGTGGTTTACTGACTGTGTCCGACGTGCCCTACAGAACGGAAGCGGTGCACGTCTTCGTGAAGGCTTGCCAGGAGGCCGGTTACCCTTACGTGGATTACAATGGGAGAAATCAACTAGGAGTGTCGTACGTACAGGGCGCGTTGCGTAGGGGTCGACGGTGCAGTGCGGAAAAGGCGTTCATTCGCCCCGCCCGAGCAAGATCGAACTTGCACATTCGGCTCAACAGTCACGTAACCAAGGTACTCATCGAGCCAGGCACGAAAACAGCATACGGAGTCGAGTACCTCCACTCGAATAGAAAGTTCCTCGTGAACGCCACCATTGAGGTGATACTCAGCGCTGGTACTTTCCACTCGCCTCAGATATTGATGCTGTCCGGTATCGGCCCCCGGGACCATTTACTCGAATTGGGAATACCGCTCGTGCAAGACCTTCCTGTAGGAAGAAAGCTGTACGACCACCTCGCCTTCCTGGGACTGGTGTTCACAATAAATAAGCCGATTGTCACATTCTTCTGGAACACGTTCACGATAAGGAGCCTCTTCGAGTTTCTACTCTATGGGAAAGGTCCTATGACATCACTTGGAGGAGTTGAAGCTCTGGCGTACTTCAAAACCAACGTCACTTCTCACTCGGAGGATTACCCAGACATGGAACTCATCTTCATCGGCGGTGGCCTCCACACGGACTCCGGCACGATTTACCGAAGAATGTTTAGAGTGGCCGATGAATGGTACTATCCCATTTGGCAACCTCTGGAAACCAAGTACGCGTACTCCATCTATGCACTGAACCTGCACCCGAAATCCCACGGACACATGAAGCTTAGGTCGACAAATCCACTCGATCCGCCGCGATTCTACGGCAACTACCTCACCGACCCCAGCAACGAAGATGTCAAGGCGTTCATTGCAGCAGTACGCGAAAGCCAAAAGATCATGCGGTCCCCCGCCTTGCAACGGTACGGAGCGGAGCAGGTCAAAACCGTCGTGCCCGGTTGCGAAATGCCCCAGTACGACAGCGACCCCTACTGGGAGTGCGCAATTCGACACCTAACGACGACGTTGTACCATCAGACGAGCACATGCAAAATGGGACCATCGTCCGACCCTGAGGCGGTGGTGGACCCCAGACTGCGAGTGTACGGTGTGAAGGGGTTAAGAGTAATCGACAACAGCGTAATACCTACCACGATATCTGCCCACACGAGCGCGGTGGGGTACATGGTGGGGGAGAAGGGATCCGACTTAATCAAAGAAGATCATCAAAGGTTGCTACGCGAGAAAATGAATGGGACAATGTAGTGACATTTTTCATTATTAGCACAATTGTTCGTTTAGTATTTTTTGACTGAAATCTACCCATGATATCAAAGGCACTCAAAATTCAGAGCACTATAAAGCTAACTGAGTGAGCTCGGGTAAAGTCGAGGCTCAAGTACGTAATAGACGGACTTCAACTAGAAGAAACAAGCCCCGGACTATGCCGAACTCACCTTCGGCTCGTTCGGCATTGACTAACGAATACGCCCGCCTTCATGATAGGGGAGAAGGGTGCAGACCTGCTGCTCCAAACAATAAATTAAGCTACCAGAAGATGACGCAATTTTATACTGTGACAATAAATACACCTGTGGCACAAATTTCTCTCTCCACTTAAAATTAGGGAATACTTGAGAGGCGAGTTCGACATAAATTCTCCGCGTCGAACGGATTAGAAAACGGAATTTTTACTTACGTTCTTTAAGAGTAACAGCGCTATCAACACAATTTGACATACCTGAAAAGATAAAAAAAATTAATACATTTCGGAAATATTTAGAAAAATTCAGAAATTTATTTAAAAACAAAAAGTTAAAACATTCCAAAAATTCACAAAAAAAACATTTTGCAGAATTAAAAAATCAAAAAAAATGTAAAAGGTTCAAAAATTCAAAAAATGTCAGAATCGATTAATTTACAAAACAACTTGTTCTTTTGGATTTTGTATCCCAAGAATACTCTAAGATCAACCGAAGCAGGTGTTTGTGGACTACAAAATTAATTTTGAAACCTCTAACCCAAGAATACCGTCATAAACAACGGTTCTCTTGCTTTTTTGAACCTTGTAACCTAAGAATACGATACTAAACCCAACGGAAACAGGTGTTCGTCGACTAAGACGTTAATTGACTTTGAATCTTTTAATCCAAGAATACCATCATAAACAATTATTAAAAAAAGTTATAAAAATTCAAAAAATTCACATAAAACATTTTGCAGAATTAAAAAATGAAAAAAATTTAAAAGGTTCAAAAATTCAAAAAATGTCGGAATCGATTGATTTACAAAACAACAAAAATGTCAAAATGTTCAAAATAGCGTGTACGCATGTGCAGAATCAACGTTTTTAATGCAGTTCAGAACGCGCATGCGTAGAATGAAACTTCTTATCTGTAAAACGAATCTACAAACGTTTTGAACATGCGCGTCCAAAGAAATTTTGACATTCAAAAAATTCATAAAAAACATTTTGCAGAATTAAAAAATCAAAAAAATTTAAAAGGTTCAAAAATTCAAAAAATGTCAGAATCGAATCGTTTTTAATGCAGTTCAGAACGCGCATGCGTAGGATGAAACTTATTATGTGTAAAACGAATCTACAAACGTTTTGAACGTGCGGGTTCAAAGAAATTTTGACATTGGGGCCTCCAAATAGGGCAAATTACATGCGCGTATACGTAGAACGTATTTTCTTATTGGTGGAACGATTTTTTTGAAATTTTGACAGCTTCTCAAAGAAGATCTTGAAATCGAAACTCGGCAATTCATTGGATCTAAAGACATTACATTAGATGAGGCCTTCAAATGCGATTTCCTGACCGACCTCAGGCAATTCCGTTCATTTCGAGCTAGAGATGTGGTCGTATTTTCGCTTTCCCTCAAGGCGCTCGTTAAGGTCCATTCATTAAGTCTATTCTAACCTTCGCTACTAAACAATAACAATCAGATAGCGAGAAGTTCAAAAAACGCGTGACACATGGGAGTGTCATTACCGCAACAACCCATTCTGGTGACTTGGCGAAAAAAATGTCCAACTGCGCTATCCTTATACTCACATCCTTCCACATTAGAAAGGCACAGTTTCTTGGAATATTAATATATCGGGCACGCGCCAGGTCCCAATAAATAGGGGCCTAAATGCAACGATCGGGTAGACTGTAGCGGGTGGTGGTCGAGGTGTGAACATCAAAGCTTGGTGAGTGATTTACGATCCTTTGTTATGCAAATTCCGTTATTTACGACAGACATTGAACTTCTCGAAGTGCATGCTTTACCTTCACTCAGTGTGAAGAAAATTGCAGCATGACATTGCGACCATTTTTCTCACTTGCAATTACGAAACACTTGTAGGAACCGGAATCGGAGGTAATTAATTTTAGATTACGCACAATTTCGAACTTGTTCTTTAATTTCTCATTCCAATCGCTTTCTCTTTCTATTCGGCAATTTTTACAAGCTTAAATTAAATAATTAAATAACTGTGAAATTATGGATTCTACAGGCCACGTACAATAAGAAAAATTTTTTTCCGGGACGATCTGAGACAATTTTTTTTTCGGGGCAAGAAAAAGGCAGTGTATAACCTTCCTTTTTTCCAAAAATCGACTGCACCAAAATTTCTCGGGAAAACACTTTTTCTTATTAATTTTGGTGCGTAGAATCCAAAACAATTCGTAATTTTTCGATCAGACTTCTCAATCAAAAGTTATAGACTAGAAACCAATTTCGAAAGAAAATTCAAAGGGCTGTAACTTTTGAACTAGTAGCCCAATCTTGGAACTGTTTGAAATTATGGATTCTACATTAATTAATTTAATTTATTTAATTGCACAGTTGAAACTGCAACCCACAAACCCCCACCTTCGTGGATTTCAAGTATTTTTAATCTTCCATCCCAAGAATACCACCATAAACAAGTGTTCTCTTGCTTTTTTAAACTTATAACCCGAGAAAACCACAATAAACGTGTGTCTTCTTGCTTTTTTGAAACTTGGAATCCAAGAATACCACCCTACACCCAAGGTAAGCAAGTGTTCGTAGACTTAGAAATCAATTATGATTCTTTTAACCCAAGAATACCATCCTAAACTCAACGGAAGCGATTATTCCTGCACTTAGAAATTAATTGTGAATCTTCCTACCCAAGAATGCCATCATAAATCGCTGTTCTCTTGCTTTTTTGAAACATATAACCCAAGAAAACCACCATAAACATCTGTTCTTGCTTTTTTGACACTTGGAATCCAAGAATACTACCCTAAACCCAAGGTAAGCAGGTGTTCGTAGACTTAGAAATCAATTATGATTCATTTAACCCAAGAATGCCATCATAGACAACTGTTCTATTGCTTTTTTGAAACTTATAATCCAAGAATACCACCCTAAGCAGGTGTTCGTCGACAAAGAAATTGATTTTGAGTCCTCTAACCCAAGAATACAATCATAAACAACTGTTCCCTTATTTTTTTGAAACTTGTAACACAAGAATACGATCATACACACCTGTTCTCTTGCGTTTTTGAAACTTGTAACCCAAGAATACTCTAAAATCAACGTAAGCAGGTGTTTGTGGACTAAAAAATTAATTTTGAAACCTCTAACTCAAGAATATCATCATCAACAACTGTTCTCTTGCTTTTTTGAAACTTGTAACCCAATAAAACCACAATAAACGTCTGTCTTCTTGCTTTTTTGAAACTTGTAACCCAAGAATACTCTAAGATCAACGTAAGCAAGTTTTTGTGGACTAAAAAATTAATTTTGAAACCTCTAACTCAAGAATATCATCATAAACAACTGTTCTGTTGCTTTCTTGAAACTTGTAACCCAACAAAACCACAATAAACGTCTGTCTTCTTGCTTTTTTGAAACTTGTAACCCAAGAATACTCTAAGATCAACGTAAGCAGGTTTTTGTGGACTAAAAAATTAATTTTGAAACCTCTAACTCAAGAATATCATCATAAACAACTGTTCTCTTGCTTTTTTGAAATTTGTAACCCAACAAAACCACAATAAACGTCTGTCTTCTTGCTTTTTTGAAACTTGTAACCCAAGAATACTCTAAGATCAACGTAAGTAGGTTTTTGTAGACTAAAAAATTAATTTTGAAACCTCTAACTCAAGAATATCATCATAAACAACTGTTCTCTTGCTTTCTTGAAACTTGTAACCCAACAAAACCACAATAAACGTCTGTCTTCTTGCTTTTTTGAAACTTGTAACCCAAGAATACTCTAAGATCAACGTAAGCAGGTTTTTGTGGACTAAAAAATTAATTTTGAAACCTCTAACTCAAGAATATCATCATAAACAACTGTTCTCTTGCTTTTTGAAACTTGTAACCCAACAAAACCACAATAAACGTCTGTTTTCTTGCTTTTTTGAAACTTGTAACCCAAGAATACTCTAAGATCAACGTAAGCAGGTTTTTTGTGGAACTAAAAAAAATTAATTTTGAAACCTCTTAACTCAAGAATATCATCAATAAACCAACTGTTCTCCGTTGCTTTTTTGAAACTTGTACCAACCAAAACCAATAAACGTCTGTCTTCTTGCTTTTTTGAAACTTGTAACCCAAGAATACTCTAAGATCAACGTAAGCAAGTTTTTGTGGACTAAAAAATTAATTTTGAAACCTCTAACTCAAGAATATCATCATAAACAACTGTTCTGTTGCTTTCTTGAAACTTGTAACCCAACAAAACCACAATAAACGTCTGTCTTCTTGCTTTTTTGAAACTTGTAACCCAAGAATACTCTAAGATCAACGTAAGCAGGTTTTTGTGGACTAAAAAATTAATTTTGAAACCTCTAACTCAAGAATATCATCATAAACAACTGTTCTCTTGCTTTTTTGAAATTTGTAACCCAACAAAACCACAATAAACGTCTGTCTTCTTGCTTTTTTGAAACTTGTAACCCAAGAATACTCTAAGATCAACGTAAGTAGGTTTTTGTAGACTAAAAAATTAATTTTGAAACCTCTAACTCAAGAATATCATCATAAACAACTGTTCTCTTGCTTTTTGAAACTTGTAACCCAACAAAACCACAATAAACGTCTGTCTTCTTGCTTTTTTGAAACTTGTAACCCAAGAATACTCTAAGATCAACGTAAGCAGGTTTTTGTGGACTAAAAAATTAATTTTGAAACCTCTAACTCAAGAATATCATCATAAACAACTGTTCTCTTGCTTTCTTTGAAACTTGTAACCCAACAAAACCACAATAAACGTCTGTCTTCTTGCTTTTTTGAAACTTGTAACCCAAGAATACTCTAAGATCAACGTAAGCAGGTTTTTGTGGACTAAAAAATTAATTTTGAAACCTCTAACTCAAGAATATCATCACAAACAACTGTTCTCTTGCTTTTTTGAAACTTGTAACCCAACAAAACCACCATAAACGTCTGTTTTCTTGCTTTTTTGAAACTTGTAACCCAAGAATACCACGCTACGTCCATCGAGAGCAGGTGTTCGTCTAACACAAGCAACTATTGTTTCAGAACATGTCAATAACGCAATGGATACTGTTGACCTGCGTATTTTACGTGCAAACGAAAGCGTCCCCATTCCTGCTAACAGATCACTATATCAACACCTACATAAAGGGAATTGCCGATCTGAAACAATCGGCTAATCAACACGTTCATTACGAGAACCAAGAAGAGTACGCCAAATACCACGAGTTGGTCCCCATAACAGGTGAGTTACCACTATGGAATCTCACACTATCACAGTTTCCAATTACAGACGACGTAGAGTACGATTTTATCGTAGTGGGCGCTGGAGCGTCGGGTTCGGCTTTAGCGAACCGTCTGTCGGAAGTACCCGAATGGAAAGTACTACTGTTAGAGGCCGGCGGTGCTGAAACGCAGTTCACCCAAATTCCCTCGTTGTCCTCCTACCTTCCCAACACCGAGTACAATTGGGGATATAAAACGGTACCGCAACACTCTTGGTGCCTGGGCAACATCAACCACACATGCGCATGTCCCACGGGAAAATCTCTGGGAGGTTCAACCGCGATCAACTCAATGGTCTACACCAGAGGCAACCGAAAGGACTACGACCTGTGGGCCGACCTTGGCAACGACGGGTGGTGCTACGACGACGTCTTGCCCTACTTCAAAAAGTCAGAGAACGCCCATCTCAAGAGCTTCGACAGGAAATATCACAGCCAGGGCGGACCGGTCCAAGTCGAAGACCCACAGCATGTCACCAACCTGTTGGAGACCTTCCTCGAGGCGGGAAAGGAGATCGGTGCCCAAATTGTAGACTACAACGGTCACGAGCAGCTGGGTTTTTCCAAGGTGCAGACAACAACGAGAAATGGCAAACGTCACAGCGCCGCGCAAGCGTATTTGGCACCCATCAAGGAGAGGCATAACCTCATTGTCAGCCCTCAAAGCCGCGTGACCGAAATCATAATCAATCCGCACACCAAAGAGGCTGCAGGTGTAAAATACGTCCACGACAGTAAACTTCGCATCGCCAAATCGAGCAAGGAAGTCATCCTATCAGCCGGTGCCCTCAACTCGCCCCAGCTTCTGATGCTTTCCGGCGTCGGTCCGCAAGCCGAACTCGAGAAATTACACATTCCCGTCATCTGCGACCTTCCAGTCGGAAAACAACTGAAAGACCACATCGGATTCCTCGGAATTAACTACGTGGCGAACGCGACCCATCCGAAACTGGACGAGCACGAGGAAATCGTCCAATGGTTAAAACACGGGGCTGGTCCGCTCTCCAGTCTGAGCATTGAAGGTCTTGCCTTCGTCAAAACAAATCATTCGAAAGATCACGGCCACTATCCCGACGTCGAGTTGCTTTTCGCACCCACCTTGCATTTCTCGGGCGAAAACGCGCGCAAAACTTTGGGCCTGAGCAAGGAGGTGTACGAGTCAACCTACGGGGCGCTTGAGGGGCACACTGTCGTCTCCATTGTTGTTAGCGCGACACACCCTAAGTCACGGGGCTCGTTGAGCCTCCGCTCGAAAAACCACTTCGACGCACCACTGATCGACCTAAACCAGCTGAGCGACGGCGAAGACCACGATATCGGCGCGATGCTAGCAGGCATCCACAAGGCGACCGAGCTTTTGGAGACGACCGCGTTTGCCAAGTTAAACGGGCACCTGCACAGGCAACCCGTTGCCGGCTGTACGGATTACGAGTTCGCCACCGACGAATACTGGACATGCGCAGTGAGACACTTCTCGAGAAGTCTTCGACACCAGACGGGAACGTGCAAGATGGGTCCGCGCAGCGATAAATCCGCCGTTGTCGACAAGAACCTGAACGTGTACGGGGTGCAGAAGTTAAGGGTGGCAGATACCAGCGTCATACCCGTTAGTATTACGGGTCATCTCCACGGGCCCGCCGTTATGATTGGCGAAAAGGCGGCGGATATTATTAAGAAGTATTGGGCGTAATTAATCAGTCGCTCCTAATATCACAAGTTATCAGGTGCGCAGAAGGGGCACTTAGAAGACGTAATGAAATTAGATGTGCAATGTAAATAAATATTTAGAACAAATGCATTCATGTTCTCCTGACTCGTGAGATCAATTTATACTTACAAATGATCAGGAGCATAGAAGTTCTCTTTGTTCACCTATACATACGATTCATGTTCTCCTGATACCAAAACATTTCGAAGACCGAAATCTTTTGCAGACAGCAGAAGCGCAAAAAGGTATATTGGTCCAATTCGTTTGTTCTATCAGGGTGGAAGAATTGTTCCTGATACCAAAACCCTCACAAAATAGCAACGCTACAAGCTAGAAACTACATATATCAGTGCAATTCATATTTTACCTCCTAAAACAACAAGAAATGTATTTCCACTCGGTTAATGCGTGATACTGGGGCATCTGTAAAAAATAATTTTGGTATCAGGAGTAGAGAACCCTAGAAAGGTATTACATTTTTGCAGGTACTACCAAAATTATGTGTTAGCAGAAGCATTAGTGATGAGCAAGAATCTTTAAATTAGAAAACTTATTTGCGATAACACGAAGACACTGTATCAGGCGCACAGTGGCGCAAACACCTAGAAATGGATTTCTGGTTCTGGTTCTTCTGACACCGGAATATCTTTGCAAAAGTAATTTTGCTAACAGGAGCGCAGAAGTGTAAGGAAGTGTTAAATGTGTTTATTTGCACTGGTATTAAAATAATCTCATCGGTTATACGAACCTTTGATAGAGATGAAAGACTGTACATTTACTTTCGTGTTTCCTGATACAACAAAGGTCATCATAAAATTACGAGTAAAATTATTATTTGTATCCGGAGCATAGATGTCTGCAGTATAATTTTGGTATCAGGAACACAGAAGGGTAAGGTAAAATAATTATTAGACTTGGATTTACGAACAGCTCACACTGCGAGTATAACCTCGTGACAAACTAAGTTTGACATTAGGGGCACGGAAGGCTAAAAATTCTGACAGGTGTTTTTTTTGCATTCCTAATACCCAACTTATGATGGATGATCGATGACCGATAATTTAGATATCGGGGACAGAGGTAGGTATAAGGAAGGGTCCAATTCTTCACGTTGTTATTCTTATACCCAGATTCGTGATTCGCAATATTCAATTAAAAATCTTAAATCTTAAGCCAATTTTTTTATATTCCCAAGGCTCTTACGTCTTCATTTTATTTGCGGTTCTTAATTTCGAATTGCTACACCCTGGAATTTCCATTTCGTTCCACAACAAACTTGAGACAAGTACTAACAGAAGACTCCAATGCAGCAATTAATTTTAAACTTGTAATTAATTGAGCAATTAACTCAGAAAATGGTTTGTATTAACAACATTGCGGCCAATTGATTTCAGGCACTGATTTATGATGCGCGCGTGTGCTGATTAAATTTTAATGTTACTTTATATAAAGGACTATTCTTCGCGACTGCGCCCTCTAGTGTCAAAAACAAACATGCGGTGGATCTTATTAAAGATTAGTCGTGAAATTAAAATCCCAGGAGCTAGTAATTCGAAATTAAAAACCGCAAATGAAGATGACGGAAGAGCCTTGGGTTTTTTAGAATGGGTCAAATTAAAATAAAAAGATCATCCAAAATGCGTAGGGATTTCGGACTATGAGATCGCTAATCTCCCGATTGTAAAACCCCGACCTAACAATCGGGGTTTGGGAATTGAATAAAACTGCCTCCGGACCTTTGTGGCCTAGGCTTAAACAGGGCTAGTTCGAATGTGCGATTTTCGAAATATGGCCTTAGATTTTATAATATAGAAAATTGGAATTAAATTGGACTCAACAACAGAACCTCGGTTTTTTGAATTTGTCGCCGATTTAAAAATTCTGAAATTCGAACTACGTGTAACTTTAAAAATTCGACAGTAAATTGAAAGTTTAACGGCCTCGGGCCTTTAAAATCTTATGCAGCCTAGGTCTACTTTGAAATTTCGACTCTCAACATTCAAAAAATATATACCAAAGGCCTTAGTTTTCAGAATATAAAAAATTGCAATAAAATTAGAAACCATAAAAAAACCTAGGATTTTTGAACTTGAGTATTTTCGATTTTGGAACGCCGATTTAAAAATTGTGAAACCGAGCGGCGTTGGTCTTAGAATTCAAAAATTCGCGATTCGAAGCTTAACGATCTTGGAATTCTCAAGATCTTATGTAACCTAGGTCTAAAAAAAGTTCGAATTTTCGACTCTTTTGAAAGTCGAGAGTCAAACATTCGAAATAGACCTTTTTTAAGCCTATGCTACAAAAGATCTCAAAAACCCGGAAGCATTTTTATTCAATTCCAAAACCCGGATCGTAGGTCGGCGTTTCACAATCGGGAGATTTGCGATATCATAGTCCAAAATTCTACACACTTGATCTTTTATATTATAATTTTGACTCTCATTATAACAAAGCCGCCTTCATTTTATTTACGATTTTTAATTTCAAATGACTCGACCCTGGGATATTCATTTCACGACTAATGTCGGCTGGATATTACGTCTGTAAATTTAAATAAATATGAGAGCGACCCTCGGATCTGATTGGAATCTTGCGTCACTCAAATTGTTCCCAAAGAGATCATAAATAGACCTAGTTCACAATCATAGTCACCAGATTAGAAATGGCGTTCCGAGGAACTCGCACTCAGTTCCTATTTCTCCTTTTCTTTGCATATGGACGAGGATACGCCACTGCCGATGCCAACGGTGTCTTCGACGAGGTGATGCGTATTATGAACGGCGGATTTAAATACACAAACGTCCCGGACGCTGAGGGTAAGTACATCTTCTGATTGACAAAGGTCAAACTTCAAGCATTTAGAATACGACTTCATCGTCGTCGGAGCCGGTTCGGCAGGTTCCGTTATTGCCAATCGCCTAACGGAAGTACACCACTGGAAAGTGCTTCTTCTGGAAGCGGGCCGACGCGAAACCACATTCTCGAAGACCCCGTTCTTGGCGCCCCTTCTACAATTCACCGACTACAATTGGAGATACACAACGGAGCCCACGGAAAAAGCTTGCCTGGGTCTGTTAAACGGAAGATGTCCGTGGCCCAGGGGAAAGGCGCTGGGAGGATCGAGCGCCATCAACTACATGATGTACGTTCGAGGAAATCCGGATGACTACGACCGTTGGCACAGTTTGGGCAACCCCGGATGGTCGTACGACGACGTTTTACCTTATTTTCTTAAGTCGGAAGACGCCAACCTGGCCAACGCCGATCCCACATATCACCGGTCAGGTGGTTATCAGCGAGTAAGTAATACGGAAGTCTCGGAATTGGCCGAGGTGTTCTTCGAGGCGGGACGCGAGCTGGGGTACGAAAAAATCGACCCGAACACGCGCGAGCAAATTGGCTTCTGCGAAGTATACGCGACCGTCAAGGACGGCTATCGGCAGAGTGTAGCGAGCGCGTTCTTGGAACCGATGGAGAAGCGAGCGAATTTGAAGATCATCACCGAAGCGCTCGTGGGAAAGGTTTTAATTGATCCCATCACTCGCGAGGCTTACGGCGTGGAATATGTTCGAGATGGCAAACAGTTCACGGCCACGGCGCGGAAGGAAGTCATCATTTCAGCGGGCGCATGCAACAGTCCTCAAATCCTTATGTTGTCGGGAGTGGGCCCGCAGCAACATCTGCACGACCTGGGGATCAAACCCATTCACGATCTTCCAGTTGGCCAAACTCTGTACGATCACATCGTCTACATTGGAACGGCGATGACAATTAACACGACCACGAGTTTTAACATACAAGCAGCTTTGCAGTCGACCAAGGACCTCGCCAAGGACTTACCCAGGATTCCTCTAGTAGAGGCCTATGCTTACATCGCAACTAATGAATCGGAAAACAAGAACTATCCAGACACAGAAATACACTTGGTGCCCATCAATCCGATGGCGAAGCGCTTCCTGAGCCTTCGAGAGGAAGTGTATCAGGCAATACTCTCACAGGTAGAAAAAGGCAACGGCGTCGCTTTAATTCCCAAACTGCTTCATCCCAAATCCGTCGGATACCTTCGGCTAAAATCGAGCAATCCATACGATTACCCCTTATTTTACCCGAACTACTTCAGCGACCCGGACAACGTCGACAAACGAACATTAATAGCCGCGACGCGATTCATTTACAAGCTATCGCAAACAAACGCCTTCAAAAAAATCGACCTTCAATGGCACGACAGGCAAGCCTCGGGATGTGAGGAATTCGAAAAGGACTCCGACGAATACTGGAGTTGCGCGTTGGAGCTGCTCACCACGTCGGGATTTCACCAGACGTCCACGTGCAAAATGGGCCCGGCGAACGATCCCATGGCCGTCGTGGACAACGAGCTGAAGGTGTACGGCATCGGGCGGCTCCGAGTCGCCGACGCCAGCGTGATACCCATACCAATGTCCGACCATCTGAACGCCCCCACGATTATGATAGGAGAAAAGGCCGCCGATTTCATTAAAGCGGATTGGAAGAACGGCGATCAGTCCTGTCTCGATAGCGAAGAGGACGACAATGAGATATGTCACCGCTTTTAGGATCTGACACCAGAAGGCGCTGTCACGAAAAATAGTCCTTTATATAAAGTAAAATTATTTACTTATTTCTCCACTTGAATTTCCTCCACGTTAATTGAGTCGTTTACAAGCCCTTAGTAAGAGAATAAAATCGTGGGAAATTATGCGGAAGGTCAACGCGTTATTGGAGTCCATTCTTATTCAAAATCAAACGCGCATGATAAAAAAACAATGCCTGAAATCCATGGCAGCCATGGTCATAATACAAATCCCAAGCTAAATTGCTCAATTAATTACAAGTTTAAAATTAATTGCTCCATTGATAACTTGTCCGACAGTGAGAGCATCGTGTAATTCAGGAAGAATCTGGATTCGTTCCTGTTGTGGAACAACAAGTATCTATATAGGATGATCTGGGACACGAAGTACCCTTGGTCTATCCATTGAAGGAAATCAGTCGTATTTGCGTTTGGAATTTCGAAGTGATCGATTATTTTCTTGATATGTCCTTTACGTAAATCCGTTGCAGGTGGGACGAAATTTAGCCAAAGCTGTGAGTGAGCGGCAAGCGTACAGGATCGATGGAGCCAGCATCGCACCTAGGGACTTGCGGGACAAACCTCCCGTGGACAAAGGACATGAGGTGGTTTTAAGTTCCGCGGTGACGGTAGACCCGCGATTGACGCTGTTTTGGCCGGATGGGTTTGATGAGGCACCCCAGGTATTTAATTTGTTGGCATGACCAGTAGCACTACCACCTGCGCTCTCTTTAACTTGAACTGGCGCGCAGGTCCCTCAAAAGTCACGGGAAAATATTATGATATCATCCAGATATGGTACGACGACGATGTTGACTAGCTGATTTTTTAGTCGGGCGCGTTTCTTAACCCGAATGGCATCCTTTTGGGCCTTGCCGGCTATCTGCCCTGGAGGTCGATGGTGGGCATCAATGGTGCTTTAGTCGTGTGCGGGGTTTAGTCATCTGTAATCTCATTGATCCGTCCGGTTTGGGAACCATGACGACTTGGGCGGCCCATGGAAGCTCACATTCCCCCACTACAAAACCTTGCACTACAAAACAAGGTCACGCCTTAGTACGTAACTGGGAAATTCTCCTCGCCAAGACCACGATCTAGCGGACATTGGGGGGGGGGGGGGCTACTTCCTTTGTTCTTTCTGCCCAACCATTTTTTTCGAGTTATCCATGGAGCAATTAATTTTAAACTTGTAATTAATTGAGCAATTTAGATTAGGATTTGCGTTAAGACCATGGCGGCCATGGATTTCAGGCATTTTTTTTTTTATCATGCGCGTTTGATTTTGAATAAGAATTGACTCCAATAACGCGTTGACCTTCCGCATAATTTCGCACGATTTTATTCTCTTACTAGGGGCTTGTAAATCGACTCAATTAACGTGGAGGAACATCAAGTGGTGAAATAAGTAAATAATTTTACTTTATATAAAGGACTATTTTTCGTGACAGCGCCTTCTGGTGTCGGATCCTAAAAGCGGTGTCGTCCTCTTCGCTATCGAGACAGGACTGATCGCCGTTCTTCCAATCCGCTTTAATCAAATCGGCGGCCTTTTCTCCTATCATAATCGTGGGGGCGTTCAGATGGTCGGACGTCGGTATGGGTATCACGCTGGCGTCGGCGACTCGGAGCCGCCCGATGCCGTACACCTTCAGCTCGTTGTCCACGACGGCCATGGGATCGTCCGCCGGGCCCATTTTGCACGTGGATGTCTGGTGAAATCCCGACGTGGAGAGTAGCTCCAACGCGCAACTCCAGTATTCGTCGGAGTCCTTTTCGAATTCCTCACATCCCGAGGCTTGCCTGTCGTACCATTGAAGGTCGATTTTTTTGAAGGCGTTTGTTTGCGACAGCTTGTAAACGAATCGCGTCGCGGCTATTAATGTTCGTTTGTCGACGTTGTCCGGGTCGCTGAAGTAGTTCGGGTAAAATAAGGGGTGGTCGTATGGATTGCTCGATTTTAGCCGAAGGTATCCGACGAATTTGGAATGAAGCAGTTTGGGAATTAAAGCGATGCCGTTGCCTTTTTCTACCTGTGAGAGCATTGGCCTGATACACTCCCTCTCGAAGGCTCATGAAGCGCTTCACCATGGGATTGAGTGGCACCAAGTGTATTTCTGCGTCTGGATAGTTCTTGTTTTCCGATTCATTCGTTGCGATGTAAGCGTAGGCCTCTACTAGAGGAATCCCGGGTACGTCCTTGGTGGGCTGCAAATCTGCTTGTATGTTAAATCTCTTGGTCGTATTAATTGTCATCGCGGTTCCAATGTAGACGATGTGATCGTACAGAATTTGGCCAACTGGAAGATCGTGAATGGGTTTGATCCGCAGGTCGTGCAGATGTTGCTGCGGGCCCACTCCCGACAACATAAGAATTTGAGGACTGTTGCATGCGCCCGCCGAAATGATGATTTCCTTGCGCGCCGTGGCCGTGAACTGTTTGTCATCTCGAACGTATTCCACGCCGTAAGCCTCGCGAGTGATGGGATCAATTAAACCTTTTCCCACGCGCGCTTCGGTGATGATCTTCAAATTCGCCCGCTTCTCCATCGGTTCCAAGAACGCGCTCGCTACACTATGCCGATAGCCCTCGTTGACGGTCGCGTATACTTCGCAGAAGCCAATTTGCTCGCGCGTGTTCGGGTCGATTTTTTCGTACCCCAGCTCGCGCCCCGCCGCGAAGAACACCTCGGCCAATTCCGAGACTTCCGTATTACTTACTCGCAGATAACCACCTGACCGGTGATATTTGGGATCGGCGTTGGCCAGGTTGGCGCGTCTTCCGATTTTAGAAAATAAGGTAAAACGTCGTCGTACGACCATCCGGGCTTGCCCAAACTGTGCCAACGATCGTAGTCGTTCGGATTTCCTCGAACGTACATCATGTAGTTGATGGCGCTCGTTCCTCCCAGCGCCTTTCCCCTGGGCCACGGACATCTTCCGTTTAACAGACCCAGGCAAGCTTTTTCCGTGGGCTCCGTTGTGTATCTCCAATTGTAGTCGGTGAATTGTAGAAGGGGCGCCAAGAACGGGGTCTTCGAGAATGTGGTTTCGCGTCGGCCCGCTTCCAGAAGAAGCACTTTCCAGTGGGGTACCTCCGTTAAGCGATTTGCAATAACGGAACCTGCCGAACCGGCTCCGACGACGATGAAGTCGTATTCTAAATGCTTGAAGTTTGACCTTTGTCAATCAGAAGATGTACTTACCCTCAGCGTCCGGGACGTTTGTGTATTTAAATCCGCCGTTCATAATACGCATCACCTCGTCGAAGACACCGTTGGCATCGGCAGTGGCGTATCCTCGTCCATATGCAAAGAAAAGGAGAATTAAAAACTGAGTGCGAGTTCCTCGAAACGCCATTTCTAATCTGGTGACTATGATTGTGAACGAGGTCTATTTATGAAGCTCTCCTTCGGAACAATTTGATTAATGTGTAAAACTCCAATTCAGAACGGAAGGTCGTTCTCATGTTCATTTTGATTTACAGGCGTAATTTCAAGATATTACTCGTGAAATGAAAATCCCGAGATTGTAATTTGAAAGTAAAAACTGCAGGTAACAATAGTCACTTTAAAATATACAGATTGTCTAAATTGCGCAGGATTTTGGACCAGGAGATGGCAAAGTTCCCGATTGTGCAACGCCGACCTAAACACGATCGGGGTTATTGAATAAAACTTCCTCGGAGTTTTTGAGATCTTTTGCAGCATAGGCTTTTAAAAGGTCTGTTTCGAATGTTTGACTCTCGAATTTCAAAAGAGTCGAAAATTCGAATTACAGTTTTTTTAGACCTAGGTGATATAAAATCTTACAAATTAATCGCGAATTTTTGAATTCTAAGACCAACTTCGCTCGGATTCGCAATTTTTAAATCGGCTTTCCAAAACCGAAAATACTCAAATTCAAAAATCCTAGACTTTTATGGTTTCTATTTTATTGCAATTTTTTTAATTCTGAAAACTATATTTTTTGAATGTAGAGCGTTGAAAGTTCAAAGTACACCTTTTTAGACCTAGATTACATAAGATTTTGAAAACCCGAGGCTGTTCAACTTTCGATTTAATCAAATTCTATAACCCACGTGGTTCGAATTCCAAACGTTTTATATAGGAGTTCCAAAATTGGGAATTCAAACATAAAAATGAATTTGATCTCGAATTTTTACATTCTAAAACCCACGTCGTATGAGTTTCAGAATTTTTGAATCCGCGGAAAATTCAAAAAACCTAGGCTGCCTAATTCGAACACGTTTTTATACCTAGACTACATAAGATCTAAATAATTTCGTGTTCGATGTCATGGTCCAAAATCCGTATGCATTTTGGATGATCTTTTTACTTTAATTTGACTTAAAAAACCCAAGGCTCTTCCGCCAGCAATTTATTTGCGGTTTTTAATTTCGAATTGCTCGATCCTGGAATTTTCATTTCAAGAATGATCGCGTTTTGGGTTAACCCGCAGTATAGTTCTCCCTTTCTTTGCACGTGAACAAGAATACCAACGGCGGTCCTCGATGAGGTCATGCAGATTATGAATAGAGGGACAACTTTTAGGATCTAACACCAGAGGGCGCAGTACCAGAATATAGTGTGAGGTGTGCTATAAGCAAATAACATGTGAAACGCTATAACATTTTTTTTACCACTTGAATGTAGTAAGTGATTCTTGAGAATAAAGTCGTGGGAGATTCTCGATAAATATGGGGAAGGTCAACGCGTGTTTATAATTAAAAATCAAATGCGATCATTCTTGAAATGAAAATCCCAGGATCTAGCAATTCGAAATTAAAAACCGCAAATAAATGGCTGGCGGAAGAGCCTTGGGTTTTTTAGAATAAGTCAAATTAAAGTAAAAAGATCATGCATACGGATTTTGGGCTATGACATCGGACATGAAATTATTTACTAGCCTATGTATAAAAACGTGTTGTTCGAATTAGGCAGCCTAGGTTTTTGAATTTGCCGTGGATTTAAAATTCTGAAATTCAAACGACGTGGGTTTTAGAATGTAAACATTCGACATCAAATTCAAAGCTGAACGGCACCATAGGATTTAATGTTTGAATTCCCAATTTTGGAACTCCTATATAAAACGTTTCGAATTTGAACCACATGGGTATTAAAATTTTAAAATTCGTGATTAAATTGAAAGTCTTATGTAACCTAGGTCTAAAAAGGTGTACTTTGAATTTTCAACGCTCTACATTCAAAAAATATAGTTTTCAGAATTTAAAAAATTGCAATAAAATAGAAACCATAAAAAGCCTAGGATTTTATTATTTTCGGTTTTGGAAAGCCGATTTAAAAATTGGGAATCCGAGCAAAGTTGGTCTTAGAATTCAAAAATTCGCGATTAAATTCAAAGCTTTGCGATCTTGGAATTTGTAAGAAGGTCTAAAAAAACTGTAATTCGAATTTTCGACTCTTTTGAAATTCGAGAGTCAAACATTCGAAACAGACCTTTTAAAAGCCTATGCTGCAAAAGATCTCAAAAACTCCGAGGAAGTTTTATTCAATAACCCCGATCGTGTTTAGGTCGGCGTTGCACAATCGGGAACTTTGCCATCTCCTGGTCCAAAATCCTGCGCAATTTAGACAATCTGTATATTTTAAAGTGACTATTGTTACCTGCAGTTTTTACTTTCAAATTACAATCTCGGGATCTTCATTTCACGAGTAATATCTTGATATTACGCCTGTAAATCAAAATGAACATGAGAACGACCTTCCGATCTGAATTGGAGTTTTACACATTAATCAAATTGTTCCGAAGGAGAGCTTCATAAATAGACCTCGTTCACAATCATAGTCACCAGATTAGAAATGGCGTTTCGAGGAACTCGCACTCAGTTTCTAATTCTCCTTTTCTTTGCATATGGACGAGGATACGCCACTGTCGATACCAACGGTGTCTTCGACGAGGTGATGCATATTATGAACGGCGGATTTAAATACACAAACGTCCCGGACGTTGAGGGTAAGTACATCTTCTTATTGACAAAGGTCAAACTTGAAGCATTTAGAATACGACTTCATCGTCGTCGGAGCCGGTTCGGCAGGTTCCGTTATTGCCAATCGTCTAACGGAAGTACACCACTGGAAAGTGCTTCTTCTGGAAGCGGGCCGACGCGAAACCACATTCTCGAAGACCCCGATCTTGACGCCCCTTCTACAATTCACCGACTACAATTGGGGATACACAACGGAGCCCACGGAAAAAGCATGCCTGGGTCTGTTAAACGGAAGATGTGCGTGGCCCAGGGGAAAGGCGCTGGGAGGATCGAGCGCCATCAACTACATGATGTACGTTCGAGGAAATCCGGATGACTACGACCGTTGGCACAGTTTGGGCAACCCCGGATGGTCGTACGACGACGTTTTACCTTATTTTCTTAAGTCGGAAGACGCCAACCTGGCCAACGCCGATCCCACATATCACCGGTCAGGTGGTTATCTGCGAGTAAGTAATACGGAAGTCTCGGAATTGGCCGAGGTGTTCTTCGCGGCGGGACGCGAGCTGGGGTACGAAAAAATCGACCCGAACACGCGCGAGCAAATTGGCTTCTGCGAAGTATACGCGACCGTCAAGGACGGCTATCGGCAGAGTGTAGCGAGCGCGTTCTTGGAACCGATGGAGAAGCGAGCGAATTTGAAGATCATCACCGAAGCGCTCGTGGGAAAGGTTTTAATTGATCCCATCACTCGCGAGGCTTACGGCGTGGAATATGTTCGAGATGGCAAACAGTTCACGGCCACGGCGCGGAAGGAAGTCATCATTTCAGCGGGCGCATGCAACAGTCCTCAAATCCTTATGTTGTCGGGAGTGGGCCCGCAGCAACATCTGCACGACCTGGGGATCAAACCCATTCACGATCTTCCAGTTGGCCAAACTCTGTACGATCACATCGTCTACATTGGAACGGCGATGACAATTAACACGACCACGAGTTTTAACATACAAGCAGCTTTGCAGTCCACCAAGGACCTCGCCAAGGACTTACCCAGGATTCCTCTAGTAGAGGCCTATGCTTACATCGCAACTAATGAATCGGAAAACAAGAACTATCCCGACATAGAAATACACTTGGTTTCCCTCAATCCCTTATTGAAGCACGTCTTGAAGCCTCGAGAGGACGTGTACCAGGCAATGCTCTCGCAAATAGAAAAAGGCAACCCCATCGGTTTAGTCCCCAAATTGCTTCATCCCAAATCCGTCGGATACCTTCGTCTGAAATCGAGCAATCCATACGACCACCCATTGTTTTACCCGAACTATTTCAGCGACCCAGATGACGTGGACAAACGAACTTTAATAGCCGGGATGCGATTCGTTCACCGGCTATCGAAGACGGACGCTTTCAAAAAGATCGACCTTCAATGGCACGACAGGGGAGCGTTAGGATGTGAGGAATTCGAAGACGACTCCGACGAATACTGGAGTTGCGCGCTGGGGCTACTCTCCACGTCGGGACTTCACCAGACGTCCACGTGCAAAATGGGCCCGTCGGACGATCCCAAGGCTGTCGTGGACCACGAGCTGAGGGTCTACGGCATTAGGCGACTCCGAGTCGCCGACGCCAGCGTGATACCCATACCGACGTCGGACCATCTGAACGCCCCCACGATTATGATAGGAGAAAAGGCCGCCGATTTGATTAAAGCGTATTGGAAGAACGGCGATCAGTCCTGTCTCGATAGCGAAGAGGACGACAATGAGATATGTCATCGCTTTTAAGATCTGACACCAGAGGGCGTAGTCGCAAATAATAGTGCTAGGTATGCTTATATAAAATAACATGTGAAATCTCGTGTGAAATGGCCAAAATTTATATTGCTGAGAATAAAGTCATGGGAGATTCCCGATAATTATGCGAAAGGTCAACACGTGCACACACAATGTCTGAAATCAACTGGCCGCCATTTCTAAGTTAATCGCTTGATTAATTACAAGTTTAAAATTAATTGATTTCTTGCCGATTTCATAATTACAAGAAAACCGTTAGGGTTACCACTTTCTCATAGCCTGAAATCAATCCTCAGATATCCACGGGACATGCATATTACTATGATTTCTCCAAATTTCCTACAATTGCATGAGATTTTGTGGGTACGATCAAATTGTAGATTGGTACGACTTAAAAAAGTTATTCGCATTCTACCGTCGAACAGTCCGACAGGTTAGGCAACACATCGTACACGCGCGTGAATGTAAGGTTGCATAACAACTTGTATGTTTCTTGCTATAATTGCGAGAGGAGCGACTGGCTTCGAGCTGCCCAGTCCCAACCGCGGTCGGGGAGGATTCAGGGGATGAAATGGAAGGAAACGAAAGAGGAAGAGTACGTTCGAGGTGTTCGGCAGGAGTAAGAAAGTCATAAGACCTCCGGAACAAAAAAAAAAGCGGAACTGAAAAAGGGGGAGGGGGAGGCGGAGGAAACGGAAAACATGGAAAAAATAGTGGAAGGAGTATAGGACGAAATACGAAGGGCGGCAAAAGAAATAAAAGAGAAAATAAAGAAAGTAAAAGAGACGTTGAGGGACGAAATCGGAGGTTTAAGAGAGGAGATGAAGAGATAAGATATGGAAAAAGAAAAACTTATGGAAAGGATTACAAACTTGGTGATTGGAGATCACGGAACCCAATCACCAGCAAATCGTACGTCCATTGTTGTCCACGTACTGCTCCAGGCCAATTTCGGGACATAAAACCCAACGATAAAAAAAGTGGGATCATTAATCATCTAATAGCTTAATTTGATTTTGTTTACATCTCATCGGGGGACATCGACTTTGTTTTTCACGTTGAGAAGTCGCAATATGTGGTTTTTACTGCCTAAATGCACTGGACATTAGTCCTTACCATTGGCGGAGTTTGAAGAACAAGATTCCGGAAAAGCAATTGCTGATTACCTTGCTCGTTCGTAGGAAGTGACGCTTGCCCTGTGAAAAACGAAACGTGTGGGTTTCAATTCTACTGGAGGAGATATCCAGAATACAGTATTTCAATGAAGAAGACACAGCCACCCCCACGAAGAGGGCACAGCCACCTCCACGCTAATGTTGAGAGAAAGGAAACGTGTGGGTTTATATTCTACGAGTTGAAATGTGCAGATTCCGCACTTCATAACAAAAAGGCACAACCGCCCCCCCCCCCAAAAAACGCACTCATCTGCCTCATTATTAATTCCATCATTTCATTGACGAGGGCACCCCCTAAGTCTCACTTGTCCGTCCCACCCCCTCGCTAATGTGGGGTAGAATTATACGGGAAGAACTGAGTGCATTCGGCACTTCATATGAAAAGGATACGATTGCCTCTCGCACTTGTGCCCCCCCCCCCCCCACGCTCAAGTTGGAAAAACCAACATTTTGAGAAAAACGAAGCGCGAGGGTTTAATTTCCACAGGTGGCAATGTGCAGATTCATTATTGACTACAGCATATCATTAATGAGGGCACAACCGCCCCTAAGTCGCACTTGTTCGCCCCCTACGGTAATGTTGGAAAACCCCACTTTTTGTGCCCCAAAATGGTTGACAAATGGTTGACGAGTCGGCTACAATAATCAAGCACTAGGTACGTTTGTTTCGGAGATACAGGGTGAAAACGAAAAGTGGATTCTACGCACCAAAATTAATACGAAAGTGTTTTCTCGAGAAATTTTGGTGCAGTCGTCTAGGAAAAAAATTTTGCTTATAGAACGTGGCCTGTAGAATCCATAATTTCAAACAGTTCCAAGATTGGGCTACTAGTTCAAAAGTTACAGCCCTTTGAATTTTCTTTAGAAATTGGTTTCTAGTCTATCTATAACTTTTGATTGAGAAGTCTGATCGAAAAAATACGAATTGTTTTGGATATAAGATAGAAAAAGGGTAAAGCGGCCTATTTTATATATGAAGAATCCAGTGGCGTAGTAAAAAAAAATTGGACTACCATTTCTGAGATTTGAAACACCCTCTTAGGTATATCTTATCGTCAATTTTTTTGCATTCATTTTCCTGATTACATTGAAGAATCACAATCTATATGTTTTATACTCGGTTTTATATACATATAATTATATATTATATAGGTATCTCATTTTTCAAATTTTTGAAATTACACATTTCTACCGTTTGCCATTTTTATTGATTGGTGATTTCCGCCTTAGTTACCATAAGTACAATAAACAAAACAATAATACAAAATCTCCAGAATCCATGGCCTACTGTTTAAAAATCGTAAACAATAAGATTTTTGGTTCATGGCTAAAATAAAAGAATATGTATAGGTTGTGAATTGTGATACATCAGTGTAACCATTGCATTGAAAAATATCAGCTTTTGGTCAAATCTCAAACATTTTCTTTACTACGCCACTGGATTCTACGTGAAAATATCTAAAATATGCAGTTTTTATCATTTTCCCTCGCTTTTATCTATCTATATCTGTCTCTTTATCTCGAGCTTTATCTGCTCACACCGCGTAACCAGAAAAAGGCACCAAGCAAATCACTTCGTCAATAATGCGTCATACGTGTCGCATCAGTTGAATATTCGGAAGGAATGATTCAATCCTTGATACAATCTTTTAAAATCAAGTCGAGGGTTAGACTTGATTGGACACGTTCAGTAACCAGGGAATATACTGCTTATTTCCTTGTTATTGCCTATATAATGTCAGTTACTGCTTAATGCCCCTAATGCCGGAATGCCAAATTTAACGCTTGTAATGCTAACAAAGTGTACAGGGTGATCTAAATTCTTATGGAACCACCCAGAGATAGAAAAAATGGACCTATGCGTCTTGGGCCCAATTTTAAACAGAAATTCACTGACACAAATAGAATTCAGATATCATTAATTGTTTGGCCGCTAGAGGTCGTCTCTCGAATTTGGTCGATTTCCCCCCATAACTTTCTTGTTATTAAAGATAATCGATAAAATCTTTCTTAGAGCACTTTTTTATGTAGAATCCATTGTGATACAGAGTTTTAATACAGGGTGTTTGGTTTTTCTGATACGACCATAAACTGTATTTTTTCATATGGACGTAAGAGCGTAAAATTTCCTAAATTTTGAATTATATTTATATGAAATATTATATGCAATATTGAATTTTATACATTAAAATGTTTTTATTTAAGCATCTAGGTTTCCATGGCGAACAAAAGATGGCAAGATTATTTAAAACGGCAATTTCTTGGTTACCTGTATTTTTTATTTAGATATTATATTACTTATTTGTTTTATTCGCATGTGTTATCACGTTCTTTGTTTTTTGTGTGTTATTTCAAATTAAAAATAATTGGAAACTAATAAACATTTCCAAATAATCAAGAAATTGTCTTTTTACACAATCTTTTGTTCGCCATGGAAACCTAGATGACTACAATAAAAACATTTTGTTGCATAAAATGCAATATTGTAAATAATATTTAATAGAAATGTAATAAGTGGTACACTAGGTGATGCATCGAAGTTTAGGAAAAAATTTAAGCTCTTTTCAAAAACTCCAAAATATATAGGGTGGTCCATATGAAAAAACATAGTTTAAGGTTGTATAAGAAAAACCCTCGGAAAAACCAATAATGAGAAAGTTATGGGGCATTAATCGATCAAATTCGAGAAACGACCTCTAGTGGCCGAACGATTAATGATACCTGAATTCTGTTTGCACCAGTGATTTTCTGTTTTAAATTGTGCTGCCGACACCTAGATCCATTTTTTTTCTAACTCTTAAGATAAAGGGTGTTTCCAGAAGAAAGTGTCCAATTTGGACCACCCTGTACACCAAATGTTGAAAAACCCAGCGCCATAAATCGTGATACTACAAATTAATACAATTTTTACAAAGATGCAAAGGCACATTCGGCAGTGTGTTATATCGCTTTTATTGCGACTTTCAATTACATTATGTTCTGAAAATATGTGGCATTCAGCAAAATTTTAGTTCGCACACCTACATGAAAATGATAACGGTAAGTTATCTTTGAGATCGTGTTACAATGCTTTATCAGTAATTAGTCAGCGTCTGCATCTTAGGTTTAACAATCATAAGAAGCAACAGTCTGTATCTGTAGCTAATGTTGACGTCGAAATTTGTTATATTATTTGATTATGATTATCTACATTTGCGGAACCCACTTAAAAAAGATATTCGTCTTTACCCCAGTGCTTGGTGAAATCTACAGCATACATCTTTCATTTTAGCTTGTTTGATTTTAGATTAATAAATAAATAAATGAAACCCAAACATCACCTTGTATTTTTTTATTGACAGGGGGCGCAGGCTGACATTTTGCACCCCGGCGCAGAATATGCTTGAGACGGCCCTGATTTTAACCACCCCCTACTGTCCAGCCCTTTTCCGCATACAACAGGAATAAAAGCAATTCATTGTTGCGGTCATAAACCAACACCCTGTATAAGTTACGTACTTGATTGAGAAAACTTTCCAGCTTCACTAATGATATGCGGTTACGTAATCGGACTTTGATACTGGAATTAAATTAAGAAAAATTATAAATACCGCGTTACTATCAAAAAAATGAGAGAAAAACTTCCTGCACATAACCTAAAAACCAAATTTCGGCTCAACCAATTAAGATCGGCTAATTTGCCAAATGAGGTTAAATGAAATGCGCCAATCGCATTGACGGAAATTGTTGTTGATCATTATTTAATTGCTCAAGGTCGCATTTACAACTCGAAGTGAAAAGGAAAAAAAAACACGGCGGCCACTCCTCCTTTTTAAATGTATGTCAAACAGGTTCTTCTAACGGATTTTCGAGCCCTGATGCGAAACACACACTCGCAAAAAACCGATTAGTTCCATTCAATTCGCAAACGTAAACAAATGTTTTAAATTTTCGGGGGGGCGCTTACCTGATACTATAAGAGCCTCATTTGGTCCGACCGTGTGAATATTTCCCATTGCAACTCCTCGCACTAACAACAAATTCACTCACAACAGACAATTCACTAATTAATTGCAATAAGAGGAGAAGCACGCGCGCGTTTGACAAACCGATTTTAGCGAATAATTTTTGACACGGCCATTCTTCTAATCAGCTGCGCGTGCGCGTCGCGCGTATTGTTTTTATTTATTTCGTTTCAATTTTGTCGCGGAAAAATCGTTTCCGTTTCGCGAGTTTTCCTTCGCTCTAGATCGACGGCGAAATTTCTAAGTCGGCGACTTTGGATTGCAGGGGAGTTGATCAATCGGGAGGTTGAAAGGCGCCAGAAGTGCTAAATAGGGATGGAGTCGTTGACTTGTATGAAAAAAATCAATATTGACGTCATTCCACCCGCTTTTTTCTGCATGCATGTATGCGTAAGGGTGAATAGTTTGTGCACCACGTCTTGGTGACTCTCTTCTAGTAGAATTGTACAGGTGGAAAGGACCTCTTAATTTATTAATTTCTAATTTGCGAAAATTCTAGAAAAGCTTCTGGAAATGTAAGAAAATACACACTGTGTCCAAGATATGGGGATCTCCGAGATACACAATTAAAACAAAATCCAGAAAATTCCGATTACTTCCGAAGATATACCACAAAATCCGAGATTGCCCGACTTTTTTTTATTGCCTTCTGAGGTTATTTGAACAGATTAAAAAAATGATCAAAGTCCTCGTGTGAGATCGAAGGGACTTCAGCGCATTTTTGTGTGGCAGATCAGTGTTTTATTAGCCAATATTGACTCCACCATCAATAAGATCTTGCCGAAAGCTACCACGTTCACTTTGTCGGTACCATTTTCTCACTTACCGTGCACTCGCAATTCGCGTTTGAAGTTTTGACGCCACCATCAGTAAGATCTCGTCGGGGGTTACCATATTCCCTTTGTCGACACCCACTTCCGATCACCCGCAACAATTCGGATTTGAAGTTTCGACTCCACCATCAGTAAGATCTCGTCGGGGGTTACCACATTCCCTTTGTCGATACACAGTTCCGACGTCCCGTTCATTCGTAATTCACATTTTGGTAGATTTCGCTAAAATCCCGGCATAAAATCGTATTCAACTTTTGGGTACTTCACATAGCTCGACCTTCTATTAGTGACACGAGAAAGAGAGACCGCATTCGCGCTGTAAGAAACTTTTGGGCGCCCAAAGTCGACTACCCCTCGAAGCGCGCCGCGCAAAAGATGGTTTATTTCGCCCCTAGGAAAAAAAAACAAAATTCCGCCACGCAGGAGTTGTGCGCGTTGACAAGATCTTCCCGACGACACCAATTTGAAAACAATCGGAGAAAAACTGTAGAAGAAGATAGATAAAAACTGAAAAATCTCCAGGTTAGTATAATACGCTCGGGGATGGCGTCCAGATGTCGTCGACTCCACATCTTGTAGCCCCATCCCTAACGTTCTTAATTACACGGCCCCGATAGTTACATGTACACTCCTTGTCTTTTTACAAGCTTTTTTCTACGGGCGCGCATTTACTGCCAGCCAGCCAGCCAGCCAGCCGACCAGCCAGCCAGCCAGCCAAAGTGAGATTAAAAGCTACTTTTTACAAAAAAATTTTTTGCAAAAATGCGCTAAAAAAATAGAAAACACTTTCTCCTCGCCACTTTTTGAGCATTTGAGCCGTTGAGAGGTTTTCGAAAAATCATCAGCAACTTTATTTTTTTAATATGGCCCGTAAATAAAGTACACACTGTATTGAGTAGCATTTTTCATTACGAATACGGCGATATATGGCACACAAAAAAGAACAAAAGTTGGAAAAATAGAAACTGTTGGTTTCAACAGAATGGTGCAACCGCGCACAACGCCCTAATCGTGCAAGAATGCCTTTTCCTTCCCCTTTCAGGCTTTCTTCATCATTCCTCCACTGCATCGTGCCCTCTCTTATGGTTTCTTTACGACCTCTTTACATCTCCCTCTGATTGCACCTTCACATTTCTGTCACGTCTCAGTGTTCCCTTACATTTCGCTCAGTTTTCCACTCCCACTCCATCCCTGCCAGCATTCCTGTCGTCTTGTTTGTCTCTTTTGCACTTCAGCCAAATCCCATCGCACCTCTCTTTCACTTCTTCTCCAAACTTTCACCAAAATACTCTCCCTATAACTTATTTACGTCCCTCTGTCTCTTTCTGTCTAGTCTCCTTCCCTTCCAGTTTTCCTGACACCTACCTTCACGCCCCACATCCATGCTTCAACAACATTCACGTGTTTTTATTTGACGTCTGTTACACGCCTGCTTCGCGCGTCATTCAAAAATGTTTTCTTCAAGATCTCTTCCCGCCTCCTTTTTCAACTGATCTCAATTTCGCACTCGCCATTTTCCCGCAGTCCGCACACGCCACTGCTTCTACATATTGTTTATGACAACCTCTTCCTTTACTCTACATTCGCACCTCCTCCTTATCTTCACGCGCACATCATGTTAAATTCACCTCCTTTTTAGCGCATTTCCACAAAAATAAAAAACAAATGCGCTATTGTGGCCACTTTGTCCGTCCGTCCGTCCGTCCGCTCGTTTTGCGACGCTACTAGTTCTTTATCTTAAGAGCTATTGTTCTACTTTTTTCGCTATTTGGTTTGTTATGGTGTCGAGGCTTGCACCAAGGAAGGAATTTTTTCTGCGTTTATTGCTAAAAAAGTTATTGTAAAAAAACCAACAAACCGTTTTTTACATGTTCCATAATTTTACACTCTTGCGGTTTACTAACCATCCTAGATATCATTTATAATTTTGTATTGTTGTCTGCCGTCTGTCTGTTGGTCTGTCCGTCTGTTCCTTTGCCTGTCTGTCCCTCTATCTGTCCGTGTGAACGATAATTTTGTTTAGAAATGTCCGATCGCTTTTACATCTCCGTTAGTTATGAACTGAATTGCATGAAATTCAATATGGGCATAGCCTTAGCCATATAATACGCAATGCCAAAAGTTGAGTCGAATCGATTCAAAATTCACAGTGCCCTTTTCGCATCCCGACCATTTATAAACCAAATTGCAAACTTTTTTTCTTATAAAAGTATTTGAATGAAATTTGATACATAGGCACTTGGAATAAAGGAAAATCTAACGCCAATTTCAAAATTTGGTTTTGCGCATGCGCAGTGTCAACTTTTTTATTTATGGAAGAATTTAAACGAAATTTGATACATAGGAACTTGGAATAAAGGAAAATCTAGCGCCAGTTTAAAAATTTTATTTTGCCCATGCGCAGTGCCAACTTTTTTTATCTATGGAAGCATTTAAGTGAAATTTGATACTTTGGCGCTTGGAACAAAGGAAAATCTAACATTAGTTTCAAAATTTAGGTTTGCGCATGCGCAGTTCCAACTTTCTTATTTACAAAAGCATTGAAATGAAATTCTTCTTATAAACTGAAATTGAAATAGCATGTCAAAAATGGATTGCTCATGTGAAACGCTATCTTTCATATTTGTGGGCGGATTTTTACGATTTTAACAGAAGTTGCATCTTACAAATAGGAAATGAATGCAAGTGGAAATGCGCTTTATGTAAATCGTTTACGATTACTTTTTAACTTGTTCTTCTTCCTTTCGGTCTGCTTGGTTCGGACCTCCTCCCCTAAGCTTTCCTCACATCTCACTCCCTTTTTGCTTTTCCTTCACGTTTTCCCGACGTGGAGTTCAGGTATCCATTACGTCCTTCTTTTTTAATAAGCAATTCCCTCTCGCCTCATTTTTACACCTACACCCATCAATTCTTCTACACGTTCCAGCTTTCATCGCGCTAAATCCCCCCCCCCCCACCTTCAGTCTTCGTAAACGCATTCTGCATAATGTCCGTTACGCCTGCTTCACATTTCCTCCACGCATTCTTCAGATCCCCTTCTAGTCCTTTGCACACGCTTCCTGCACCTTTCCTACATGCCCACTTTAAGCCCTCTTCCTTCACTCCCCTTCATGATACTTCAGTGGTCCAGCGTTGGGTTACGTAGCCGGAGGTGGAGAGTTCGAACCTGGGCTGAGGTAAGAATTTTTTTATCTGTAACAGAGATGGGAATTTCACTGGATTAGTCTCGAGCATTCGGCCGGCACGTTCGAATTAAGTTTTCCTAATTCTTAATGTTAACCAGAGTAGTAAAGAACAACTTAAAACCTTCGGCAAGGGCACCTCCAAGGAGCATTATACGGCTCACTCTGTAATTGGGCGAGAGACCGTTGAGGGCCTAGAACAAGAGGTACAATAAATAAATAAGTAAATAAATACACATTTTGATAACACACTTGCATCTTCTTTTCATTTCGTTCACCCCTCGTTAAGAAATAGGAAGGTCTCCACTTTCACATTTATTGGCTGTTCTCCACGAGGACGTGTCCCCTTCAAACCTCGCTTACGACTTTCCTTTCCAAGTCCTTTGAGCCTTCTTCGCACTTCTGTGTCGTCTTCTTCGCCATCACCTCCACCCTTTTCAGCTGATATTTATAACTGCAAAGTTTCCAAGCGCCATAAAAGAACTCGCGCGGGGGGCTCTTGAACAGACGGAAAGGTGGTGCAGTAGCCATGGCCTAGTGCACCTCACTCTTTGAGGACGTTAACTTGGTCTGATCAATTAAGTGAAACATTTGGGAGCCATCATAGACTCCCACCTGACCTGGAAAGGGCACAGTGAGCGAATAAGCAAAAAGGCCACTACTGTATGTCTATGGGCATGTGTAGAAGGACTTCTGGCTGTATATGGGGATTGAACCCTCGACTGGTATATCACTTGTCAGGAGCTGGGAACCGAAAAGAACCGGTACTGGAACCGAAACCGATTGCATTTTATAAATCCCTCACTAGGAACCGGAACCGATACCGGTCCCAAAGAACCAGTATTTTTCGGTTCCATCCATGTTGAAGGTAGAATGGACACGTTGCGCCTTATGAGAATGAGGTCCATCTTATATTGTTGCTCTTAAACTTTGGTTCTGAAGTGGTGGTGGTGGTTTTCTTACATGTAAGTTTTATAACACAAGCGCGAATTTCACTATTTATCACTTCGGCATTGGAACACGATTCAATTTGCTTATGTAGCAAACGAAAAGCTTCTAGAGACTAGAGTCCAAGGCCAATATTCAAAGTTTTTCAGCTTTTAATCAGAGCTGCCACACTACTAGATCAAAAGTTACAGCCCTTTGAATTTTTTGTCGAAATTGGTTTTTTGCCCATAACTTTTGATGGAGACGTTTAATCGAAAAAGTACGAATCGTTTTGGATTCTACGCACCCGAATTAATAAGGAAAAGTTTTTTCCCGAGAAATTTTGGTGCAGTCGATTTTTGGTAAAAAAGGAAGGTAATAACTGCCTTTTTTTCCCAAAAAAAAAAATTATCTCAGATCGACCGGAAAATGTGCCTGTAGAATCCATAATTTCAAACAGTTCCAAGATCGGACTACTAGATCAAAAGTTACAGCCCTTTGAATTTTTTGTCGAAATTGGTTTATCATTGAATAAAAACACTATAAGAAGCCTAACCCCGTGGAAATAAAGCGCGACAGAGATTGAACTGAGAATATAATGGAAACACTGTCAATAGTGTCGATTCTTGAACTGAGAAGAATGAGAATTTGCTTTCCTCCTATTTACCGCAAAGGTGATCACAACCAATGCGGGTGCAAGGGGATTTGTCGCGCTTTCTTCCATAAGCGTTAGGCTTCTTATAGTGTTTTTATTCAATGCCATTATTCAAAGTTTTTGTTGACAGCAATAAAGGGGCCTGTCAGCAGTAAGAAATAAAATACCGTTCTGATCTAATCTTTTTCGCCTGTGCAACCCAATTTCTATTTCTTACCCCCCCCCCCTCCCACTTCTAGTACGCACTGGGTGACTGTATGTGCCACGAACTTGTTTAATCCCCCCCAGAATAAATTTCTACGTACGCCACTGGCTGGGCTGTTTTCGTCAGAGATAGAGCCAAAAATACAGAGCTAGAGCTAAAGATCCTAAGCTCCACTCTCTAATAGTGTGGGATGTTTTTTTCAAGTAACAGTTTGAGATTTTGTGTTCTGCTGACCTGGCACCAGCTAGCGCTGTTATAGATTTTACAATAAATACCTTTACTTTCGGGAAATACTTATTTTAACTTCATCGGATCTAGAGGTAGCTAACACCACTCCCTATTTAGTAGAGGGGCGGCGGGCGGGCATTTGTTCTCCAGCATCACCATTTTGTTTTTTTGTTTTTTAGTAAAATTTTGACGTTTTTTCTTCCGCTGTCCTAGCGTTAATATACAATCACCAAAAAACACATACTTATATAAAACAATAAAACAAACTTTGACGCTTCAATATAAATAGTTACTATCAGAACAACTACGAGTAACGAAAAACATAAAAAATACATAAAATTATACAGAACAGAACACATCAAAATTTTACTCGAAAAGACAAAATGGTGGTGATAGAAAAAAATTGACCGTCACACTATTGGGGGGTGGCGCTAACTCTAAAATTAGAGGCGCTAGGTCAATAGACAACAAAACGTCAGAATTTTACCCGAAAAAACAAAATGATGGTGCTAGGAGAAATTGCCCCCCACACTATTGAAGGGTGGTGCTAGATCTAAAATTTGTGACGCTAGGTCTGACGAACATAGCGCTTGCTTTTGGAAGAGATCGGACGCAATGGTGGTGCTAGCGTTAACATGGAACCCCCCGAAAGTCAAGAGCTTTTTTTTGCAAAATCTATAATGGCGCTAGCTGAATTCAAAATGGCGCTAGCCATAGAGATTCTAGCGCAGTCTTTTTTTAGCCGGAAACGTAAAATGGTGGTGCTAAGTTAACGGACCCCTCTGCGTCTTATTCTCTGACTGTCACTGTCCTTTGTTTGTTTGTGACGCCACTGATTCAGTCGATGACGTCATTAAAATGCGTCACGATCGGTAAATTTTTGTTAACCAAGTCCTACTTTTCAAAACGAGAACGCATGCGCGCGCGCGTAAAACCGTAAAATTAGCGAAGAAAAGTAGTGAATTTTCTAGTTTTTTTTACAAATTTAAATCAATTTCGTGGCCTCAAAAATTCACCCGCCTTGCACATTCTGGCACCTCACATGTGCGCGAATCGCGATTTGCCAAAAGGTCGCTGCGCTGTGTTTTTTAAAACCTAACCTCAAATTTCCCATTTCCCAATAACTTGTACATTTCTAGTTTTTAAAAGGACTCGTCGAATAATGTCGGATACAAGCGATCTAGACCGTCAAATTGAGCAGCTGAAACGGTGCGAGATCATTAAGGAGGCCGAGGTGAAGGCGCTATGCGCGAAGGCACGGGAGATCTTGGTCGAGGAGAGTAACGTTCAGCGTGTCGAATCGCCGGTCACAGTTAAGTATTACCACACGACTACTCCGTACTAAGCGCTTCGTAGGTATGCGGCGACATTCACGGCCAGTTCTACGACCTGAAGGAGCTGTTTAAAGTCGGAGGCGACGTACCCGAAACGAACTACCTATTCATGGGGGACTTCGTCGATCGCGGATTTTACAGCGTCGAAACTTTCCTACTACTACTAGCATTAAAGGTAGGGCCCCGATCGCGTTTCCACCACTAACCGATCGCCCGACAGGTCAGATATCCCGACCGCATCACGTTAATACGCGGCAATCACGAGTCGCGACAGATCACTCAAGTGTACGGATTTTACGACGAGTGTCTTAGGAAATACGGTTCGATTACCGTGTGGCGATACTGCACGGAGATCTTCGATTATCTGTCGCTCTCGGCGATAATCGACGGTAAAATATTCTGCGTTCACGGCGGCCTATCGCCCTCGATACAGACGCTCGATCAGATTAGGACGATCGATCGAAAGCAGGAGGTGCCGCACGACGGGCCGATGTGCGATCTGCTTTGGAGCGATCCCGAAGGTTCGTTCGCGTGCGAGCCCAATAGAATAACTCCGCCTCTGACTTACTTTCACGGGTGCCTCTGGAAAACAGTCGCATAAAAAAGAGGCGGAGTTATCTTTTGGGTTGGCTTTGATTGGCTGTCAATTAATGATCTCATTACAGACACACAAGGCTGGGGTGTATCGCCGCGCGGTGCCGGTTATCTCTTCGGCTCGGACGTGGTGGCTCAATTCAATGCGGCAAACGACATCGACATGATTTGCCGGGCGCATCAGCTCGTTATGGAAGGATACAAATGGCACTTTAACGAGACCGTGCTCACTGTGTGGTCCGCGCCAAATTACTGTTACCGGTACGTACTCGTAATTAATTAAATTAGCGTCAATTGTTTACTTTCAGTTGTGGCAACGTCGCCGCCATTTTAGAATTAAACGAACACCTACAGCGTGACTTCACAATCTTCGAGGCGGCGCCTCAGGAAACGAGAGGGATACCGTCGAAGAAACCGCAAGCCGATTATTTCCTTTAATTTTTAAGTTTTACGTATACGGTCGGACTTGATTTTACAATTGAAATTAGCCTGTTTTAATTACGTTCTAATTAGCCTATTTATTAAATTGTGTTACGAAACGTAAGTAAGCACTCTGCTTGGGTCCAATTCATCAGCCTCGGACGCAGTCGGATAAAAATACTAACAAGATAGGGAATGCTATCGTTATCTATTTGACCAACGAAGTTAGTTTCTTGTTACTCGGTTCATTGCTGTCATTTTAAAGTCGATTGTGTTAAAATGTGTAATTTTGTAACCATTTTTAGTAAAGTTCCAATAAAAGAAATCTGTTTGTTTTGTAAGGCCCCCTAACAAAGTGTGGGCAGATACTAAAAAGAGCCCTCATGAAAATCCTCCTGGGCTGGTTCTTAAAACTTCCTTGAGACCTCTGACAAAGGTTACTTCGGAAAATCTTGAGTCACTGAAAGAAAAACACCATTTTGAAGGCGTAAAAGATTTTGAGAAAAAAGTAGGGGCATGTGAAACAATTCAGGAAGGAGAGGAAACGAAAGCGAGAAAGCATAAGACACAAGTAAAAAGGAAAGTGAAGGAAAATTAGAGGACGGGTTGCGAGGACAATGTAAAAAGGACGTGAAGAATGCGTTAAGGAGGTTTTTACTGATTCGAAAGTAAAGAAGAGATTAAAGTAGAGCAAATGAGATATAAAAGGGCGTTAATAAGGAGGTATGATGAAAGAAAGTTGAAAGGAGGCTGAAGGAGACGTGGAACAGGTGAAAAGGGAGGGCAAACGAGCGTCAAGATTGCTTGAAAGACGCCTGAAGCAGATGAACCTGGGTGTAGGGTGAATAATCAAATCTAAAAGAACCACGAGGAAGGTCTCCTGAAGAAATCCTTGCATCAGAAATCCGTGTACGGAAGGTAAAGAAGCGTCAATAAAACGTAAAAAAGGAAGATATAAGTGGAGGTTCGTTCGGCAATAACGCGCCCTGTATTACTGCTCAGGATAATGTGGGTGTAATATTTGTTCTTTGTATAAGGTGTGCTCAATATAAATGTCATTATTACTGTTATTATAAATTGGTATCAATAGAAATTAATGCGGAACGAGTCGAAAGGAAAGTTCGGCATAAACCATGGCCTGTTTCTTCAACTTTTTGCAGTTCTTCAGGCTATAATCTTTCACAAATTGCATTTTGCTATCGATTTATAGAATGCCAGCTTTTTTTATGAATTTTAGAGGTCTTTGTTAGATTTTTTTGTAGTTTTTCGCTCATGAGCAGTTCAGGTTTTAAAATCTTTCAGCAATGTGGATAGGAGACGAGGGCGGTGAGAAGGAGACGTCAAAGAAGGCGCGTAGAAGACATGCAGTCTTGAATTAGGCCTGAGGAAAGCCTAACAAACACGTACCTAATCAAGAAGTTAGGTGTGAGACAGACGCAGGAAGCGAAAGAAGCGCAAAACAAGGTAAAGGTTGCTTTAAACGTGCCCAAAGAAATGCATACAAGATGTGAAAAAGTGTACAGAGTACGTCAAGAAAAAGTTCGAAGTATGCTTGGTTTTGGAGGGAGGGGGAGATATACAGCCACGTAAAGAAAACTTAAAAGAAATGCGCGAATGATCACCCATGTGAAGTTGGCCCCGCCCACATGAAATAATGTGACAAAAATGCGCCGACAGTTAGTGCTTGAAGCCTATCGTTAGTGCTGCTACATACAATAAAAACGAGTGATGGGCGGGGTCAACTTCATATAATATTTTGGTTTTTTTCGTTTTCCTTGGAAAGATAAAACGTTAGACTCGCAATATTCACACAAACAGCACTAATGATTGTATTAGTTTTTTTTTAGACAACTTCACACAATTGAGAGGTTCCACCCTGTATATACAACTTACGACGATACATACATTTTGAGAGTTGGCAACCATGCAATTTCTAGGTGGGGAAAAGCTGCCTGCGCCACCTAGAAAGCACGAAAGGGAGTTACGTTTGGCATCTTGTCTTGAATGGCGGTCGTGAACGCGTCGCTTCATAAATGTTTGTTGTTATTTTGTGTTATTTAATGCAGGTAGTAATTTTTGCATTTCTTTATATCGTATTTGTGTTTTGTTTGCCGCATTTTATATTTTTTGTGTTTCAATATTTGTTTTTGAAATTTACTTGGTTTAACCGCAATGCAATCATATGTGTGATACCGTTATGCTATTGTTTGTAATTGTTTACATTTTTGGTGTAATGTTTGCTTAATTTATGTTTATTGGTGTTGATAACTTGGTTTTGTCCCTGAAGTAACATTCATGTAAGTTTGGTTCATTTTATTGTAATATGTGGAAATTACTGATTCGTTTGATGTATGTACTGACTTGTTGTTTGTTACTAACAATTTTCTCCGTGAATGAAGCAGTCACGGGGGTGGAAAAAAACTGTAGTCAAATTTGTGTTACGACACCTAATTCCGTGATTGTCTTCGACATCCAACTGTAGGTTCGAAACCCCGAAACCAGGGGCGGACTACCCATCTTGCAGGAGCGAGATTACGCTAATCAAAGCTCTTCAGTTTAGAATCTATGTGCGTTAAATGAGTGGCGATTCAATAAATTCCACATATCTTGTTTTTAGTCAAATTTGCCTACAAGGCCATGTAATTTTCCATTTTGCTTTCAACAAAAGGACTATATTGCACCAAAGATGAGTCACATCCTGTGTATTTCACCCTTCCTCAGAATCTTGGTACCTGTTCCTACCTGACCCATTGTCACCAAAAACTTGCCTTTAACCTTGAGTGTAACCATCCTTGTGTATATGCATTTACTATCTTTGTTAATTACTGCTTAAATTTTTAGAAAATATTTTGTTAATTAACTTTTGGAATGTTTTAATCAAACTGCAAGGTTTTTCTTCGTCGTACTCTTTTTACCCTTGGCAGTGACTTTTGCGAGAGTACGACACATTTTGGCTTTGTTTGTTTTGTTTATATTAATGTACATCAACTAAATTTCCGGGCTTTCACAATCTTAATAATTGCTATCATTATTAAACAATTTTCAGTGTTTTATTTAACGTTCCTTCCCTATTGGACGTGCTTCAGGTCAAAGCGTTGTGTACAACTAACGTAAGGGGGCCCTGCCTTAGATGTTTTATCAAGTGCCACTTTTCCAATTTAAGCGGGATCTTGTTTAGTTTTACAGGGAATAGTCATTCGGGTGGCCATTTTTAAACGTTGCCTGGTTGATTTTATTTCCGTGTTTTTGTAGTGTGAAGTTAGCGTAGAACCTGGGGGTTAAGTACACTACACAATATTTGAGTTTTTTTCGTTTTTCTTGAAAAGGTAAAACGTGAGACCCGCAATATTTGAGCGCAAAAAAGCACTAACGATCGTATGTGCGTTTCTTTAAAAAACGAGTGATGGGCGGGGCCTACTTAACACTATATTTTAGTTTTTTTCGTTTTTCTCGGAAAGATGAAATGCTGAAATCGCAATATTCGAGCACAAAACAGCACTAACAATCACATGTGGTTTCATCTAATTAAAAATGTTTGGGGGGGGGGGGGCTAACTGCACACTTGACTTTTTTAAGAACAGCGAAACAATTTGAGATACTGTTTGCCCGATAAATAAAAGTAAAGTGTAAAGTTGGCCCCGCCTCGGTTTTTTTTTTAATTTTTCTCACATCGTAGCAGCACTAACGATAAGCGTCGAGCACCAACTGTTGGCGCATTTTTGTCAAATATTTCATGTGGGCGGGGACAACTTCACATGGGTCGAATGACCGCCGTGGAAAAGCGTATAGCAAGTAGAGGAGAACGCGTATACCGACGAATGCAGATGTAAAGCAGAAGACTGGAAGGGCAGAAGTGTGAATGGGGGTGCAAGAAATGTGTAAAGATGGCAAGCAATGAAAGGAAGGGGGTTGGAAAGCAATAAATGGCGTGAGGTGCTTGAATGAGAGCCGACAGAACACAGGAGGCTGCTAAAAGGCAACTCAAAAACACCTACCAACAATCCATCACTGGGTCAACTAACAGCTAACAAGGCGAAGACGTTGACCAGCATCTGCTCGCCTCCAGTGGCGGACCACAGGACCCAACTTCAGAAGATCTGGAGGTGAGAACAACCCAGGAGTGGTTGGTCACCTCACTCCCTCATCACCCGTTGTGGGAAGCTGCAAACCTTGAGGTTATACATGGAAGCCTGAGGCTCTTTATTTTAGGAGGGGGTAGGTGCGCAAGAGGTAGAGAAGATAAGGCGGCCCGAAGAAGGTTTCAAACAGGTATGAACTTACACACAAGATGGCGCTGTTTCCATTTGGCTGATTGGTGGACGTTTGTTGGGTGATTAGCACATAGGGAAATAAAACACCTTATTATTCTCAGCCTCAGCTCACCCTGTATATAGGTTTCGACGTTTTGGCCTTTTTTGTACATTACGGTTGTTTGAGCGCAGGTTACTTGATTTAAAAATATTTTGCAAAAATGAGAGAGGAAAAATTCATATCTCTGAACCGAGTTTGCGCGACGAAAAACGTCCTTTTTGACATTGAAACGTTCAAACCAAATCTGCAATTAACTAAAAATCCTTTCCAGTCCAGTTAAAACGAGATACTTGCAAATTATTTCTCGTTTGGAACTTGTAGCGCGAACCTTTTGTAAGTAGAGCCGCCTTTTTTCCCGTTCAATTTTTTCATTTTTCATTTGTTTTTCACCTAACCTCCAATTCTGGCCTACTAAAGCCCTAAATTAAAGCGAAAAGCGTCATGACCTTCATTTTTTACAGCGAGCACAATGTCCCTCACAAGTATCGTGGTTCCGACGACACCTTTCGAAGGTCAAAAGCCGGGCACGAGCGGATTAAGGAAAAAGGTCGCGGTGTTTATGGAGAAACACTACACCGAGAACTTCATTCAGTGTATTCTCGACGCCCAGAAGGGGAAAACTCAGGGCTGCACGCTGATAGTCGGCGGTGACGGTCGGTATTTCACCACCCAGTCGATTAACATTATCATTCGAATTGCCTCGGCAAATGGGGTAAGTTCCCTTGTCCTCCTTCCCCCCCCCCTTTAATTGGCCCCCCCCCCCGATTTCGCAGGTGAGCAAGTTGATAATCGGCCGCCGAGGGCTTCTATCCACGCCGGCGGTCTCGAGCCTAATCCGTACCCACAAATGTTTAGGTAAGTTAAGTCGCATTGATTTGTTGACTCAAAGAGTCCTTCAGGAGGAATTGTTCTGACCGCCTCCCATAATCCGGGCGGTATTCGCAACGATTTCGGAATTAAGTACAACATAGATAACGGCGGTCCGGCACCAGATCAGATGACCAACGACATCTACGAGCTTACGGAAAAGATCACACAGTATCGGATTACGCCCGACCTGGACTGTGACTTCCAGCAACCAGGGGTGCAAAGCTTCGAGGTGCGTAGTTCGTACCTTCTTTTCAAAACAAAATTGTGTTCTTGAAATTAATTTGTTCCGAGATTCCGGTTTCACCTGGAACACCCTGTGTGTAGGTAATGTATAGGGTGTTGAATATACAGGGGGTCCCAGATTATGTGGGATTACAAGAGGAAATGAAGATGGGAATTTAAAAGACAACTGACTTTAATCTGAAATAAGAATTCCATTTAATTTGATAAAATCTGTATAAAGGGGTTTTATGCAAATATCATTCTATCTGTTCAATCTAGTATCTTAGTTCCTAAGATACAGGGTGGAAACGTTGTCATCTTACTACCCATGTAAGATGTAAGACAGAAAAAAGTTAAAACTGCCTGTTTTAGACATTTTTACGGAGAATCCAGTGGCGTAGTCAAAAAAATTTGTGGGCAAGTGATTCTGAGATTTCACCCAAAGTTGATATTTTTCAAATGCAACACTCTGTATATCTTAACGTCATTTGTTTGCATTCCTTTTCCTGATTACATTGATGTATCACAACCTATATTTTTTTTATACAGAGTGGCCCAACAAGAAGTATACAGAGGGCTTTTAGGGTATTAAATTTAGAAATTTCGAAAAATCCTCGAACACGTCAATTTTGTATTCGAGGGGGACAACTTTTGGAATACAAATCATGAACCCAAGTCTTCACCCCTCTACGTAGGGCGCTTAACCCCTAAAATTTTAAATGGAATCCTATGGTAAATGGTACATTATTTGAAAGTCAATTTAATCGTGATTACTAATCTGCTTTGCTTTTTAAATTCTATTGATTCGTTTCGGAGAACTGACAGGTTCAAGGTTCACTTAAGTTTAACAAACAAATTGAAGCGTCTAAATAAAATTTTAATACAAGGTGACTTAGATCGCATTTGTTTTGGTTTTTTTTAGAAAAAACCATTTCAAATGCGAATTAACTCCGAAACGAATCAATAGAATTTAAAAAGCAAAGCAGATTAGTAATCACGATTAAATTGACTTTCAAATAATGTACCATTTGCCATAGGATTCCATTTAAAATTTTAGGGGTTAAGCTCCCTACGTAGAGGTTCGTGATTTGTATTCCAAAAGTTGTCCCCCTCGAATACAAAATTGACGTGTTCGAGGATTTTTCGAAATTTCTAAATTTAATACCCTAAAAGCCCTCTGTATACTTCTCGATGGGCCACTCTGTATAATTATACACTGTGTCCAAGATAAGGACGCCTATCATTGGGATCTCGGAAACCATAGAAGATATGGTAGGAAATTGCTCGATAAATAAGTCGCCTGTGGCGCATGCGCAGTACGATTTTTCGCGAGTGCCATTGTTGCCGCATTCGAATCTGAATGTGGCCGATGAATATGGGAAGCCATTGTAAAAAAAACCATTGGCGTTTTCGAATCAACACCTAAATCGGAAAAAGTGCCATTTGTAGACAATTGGGGGTGGGGTAACAGCTGATCCCAGTGTAGATACCACCTCTCACGTTTGTATAGGACCATTGACACATTGCTCGGCTTCGGCCTCGCGCATTTACCCAAACCGCCGATGGACACTGAAGACCAACGTAAAAAATCGACAAAATATGAAAAAAGTGCCATCTATAGACAATTGGGTGAGGGAGGGGGTAACCGGTCACTTCGAAAGAGCCCTCGAAATCGACGTAAAAACCGCAAGTCGACACGCCCCCCCGTTCCCCCGCCGGGATCTGGGTACCGGGCGCGTTGCGATTCCTCATTTCGTTTCGTCAACTCCGCCTTCTCCAAACGCCATTTCCTATTTTTCTCCGTGGAAAATCCCCCGAAAAGAGTATTCGAAAAATTCACACGCGCTCCGCTTCGTGTCTCGCGCTTTCTGATTCGTACGCACCACTGACCGAGCCAACCGCGCGTAAAGTTTGCGTAACTCCCTTTCATCGGCCACAACTTATGGTAAATTCGGGTTTTTACTTAAAAAAATGCCTCCTGAATGAGGGGGGGGGGAGGTTGAGAAGTGCGCACCACCGGCGGCTACATATTCCGGAAATAGCGACATCCTCTTCCAGGTCTGGAAAAGCGTTATTTCACGTTGCGTTGCGTTTTATCGCAAACACAAGTGGGAGGGGGGGGGGCAGTTTTCTTCTTTTTCGTGTCTACTCCTCGTTAGCATCATTTTAGCAAATTTCATAAACATGTCTCCAGGTTTCGTTTTAGCGTTATCTGCGACAGTCCAAATTCCAACCCCGGCTACGGAGGGGTTCGGTAACCCTCCGATGATGCGCGAACCTCCTACGAATTTCGATTTATGGTAACGACGCTCTCGAGAATTTTGGTTCAATACGTAGCCAACGCAAACAATCTCAACTCGATACCCCCTCCCCCCACGGTCTCGTTTAACTTTCCCTCTATGACGTGGAAGACAAGGGGGGGGGGTCCGTTATATTCTTTCTGCCCTCCCGAAATACTCTTGCCTTACCCAATCCGACGCGCCCATCCTTGCTACCCCCGCGATGATGTCCCCGTGGTGTTTATACCGTTTGCCCTCCGGAGCGATTTTTATGTGAATATAACACAAAAACGGAGGGGAGGGGGCTGCGTATTTATGTGCGGTACATAATTCGCGTAGCACCAGGTCCTGCGGAGGTGTACTGGATGCCTTAGTATAGGACAAGCTCGCCGTGTTGATTCTACTGCTAATTTTGGTGTGATGCGTATCCGCTACCATATGTTCCAGCACTATACAATAAGCAAAACATTCATATTCGAAACCTGAGGGCGTATTTTTCCGATATTAACGAATGGAAAACACCTAAAAAAAGTTGATTGTGTATGCACACAGCCAACTGTTATATATAACAGATAATTAACACCCTAACCTTGAGATATAATGCCGTGACATACGCAACCACCACGACGTAACTAATTTAAGGAAGGGATTGTGACAATAGGCAAATGTTTCAAACTGTTCCCTGATACAACCAACTAAACCGTAGGTGGACGGTCGCGAATTCGTGGTGGAGGTCATCGACCCCGTCGAGGACTACGTGCAATTAATGAAGGCGATTTTCGACTTTGAAAAGTTGCGTTGTCTCCTAAGCGGCACGGAAACGACGCCTCCCTTCAACGTGCTGATCGACTCCATGAACGGAGGTAGGTGAGCCGTCCAGGTCGCGACCTTTTCCAACTTGCAATTCTAGTGACCGGCGTGTACGTGAAACGGATATTCCTGGAGGAATTGGGCAGCAATCAGGATAGCGCCGTGCGAATCATTCCCCTCGATAATTTCGGCGAAATCCATCCCGATCCGAATCTGACCTACGCGAAGGATTTGGTCGATAAGGTGAAGGAGGATACGAGATACGATTTCGGCGCAGCTTTCGACGGCGACGGCGTAAGTGCTCGGCGCGTGCGTCTCCCGGTTGTGATTTAACACGATTTTAGGATCGCAACATGATAATCGGTAAAAATGCATTTTTCGTCACTCCCAGCGATAGCTTGGCGGTGGTCGCGAATAATCTGGACTGCATTCCTTACTTTCGAAAGAACGGCGTTCACGGATTCGCCAGGTCGATGCCGACGGCGGCCGCCGTTGATAGGTAACTCGCCTCGGCTCGGTTTGAGAGTTACAGCGGTTTTGTAGGGTTGCCGAGAGGTTGAAGAAGGAAATGTTCGAAGTGCCGACCGGTTGGAAGTACTTCGGTAATCTCATGGACGCGGGCCGTCTGTCGCTTTGCGGCGAGGAGAGTTTCGGAACGGGATCTGATCACATTCGCGAGAAGGATGGCATCTGGGCCGTTTTGGCCTGGCTGTCCATAATTGAGCATAAAAGAATGAGCGTCGAGGACATCCTGAAGGAGCACTGGAGGACTTACGGTCGCAACTACTTCACCCGCTACGATTACGAAGAGTGCGAGAGCGGGGACGCGAACAAAATGATGAGCCACCTGGAGAGCTTCATAGCCGATCCCCGCGCGACCGGTAAAAGTTTCAGCAGCTGCGGCAAAACTTACGTCATCAAACAGGCCGATAACTTCTCCTACGTTGATCCAATCGACGACAGCGTGGCCAAGAACCAAGTAAGCCCCCCCGCCCCTCAACTTTCACAGCACCCTAACGTTTCAACTTTTAGGGAATTCGAATTTTGTTCGAGGACGGATCAAGACTGATCTACAGGCTGTCGGGCACTGGCAGTAGTGGCGCCACCATTCGCATTTACATTGACAGCTATGAGAAAGTCGACACCACCACGGATGCGCAGGTAAGCGCGACGGTTTCGTCAGGAAAACTTGCCAACCGATCACTTTTCAGGTAACTCTGAAACCGTTGGTGACCATCGCCCTTCAGATTTCCAAACTGAAAGAGTTCACCGGCCGAGAGGAGCCCACCGTAATAACGTAAATTAGGTTTCAGATGATAACACATCACTCTAATTCCTTTAGTTGTTGTTAATCAAAACTTTGTGCATTAGTTCAATATATCGCATAAACGTGCACTTCCTTGTAGATTTTATTGAATGTGCGAATGTGCTACTGCCATAAGGTTGTCGTTGATATTGTAGAGTTTATACATACATTTTTGTTATTAAATTAATAGCTGCTGCATGTTTAAATAAATTTGTTTTCTATGCGTCGTTTTCAAAATTTAGGTTCCGCTACACTACCCCCTCCGTTTTCTCCATCCCGGAATATGAACGTAAGACAAACTGAACCCTGGAAAGAAATCGGATTTAAATCTCCTCCCTCCTCTCACCTCTTCATAACGGCATCTCGCGTTTTTTTTATAGTAATTTTGGATTATCAAAAATATGCAAACAAGTCATAACTGTAGCTGTACACCCAGAATCGCATGGCCTTGCAGTACAAACTCAATGTTTAAAACTACTGCACATTTCGAAGTAAGTGGATCGACTCGTATCGCCCATGCATTCTAAACGGGAGAGTTTCTTGTTAGCAGAGTGCGAGGGTCCCAGCCTATGCTTGAGATTCAAGATCAGTCCCAGCATTAGGTGTCGTTTATTCTCTACCCTTCAAGAAATACCTGTCAAAGTCCAGGATTTTCATAGAGCGAACCCTCGTCCTCTTGTCTATTTTTTTCATTGCAAGACGTTCCCTTGCCTTTGTGCCGCATACTTTCTCCCCCTCCTCAAATCCTTTCGGATATCGCGTGTATATATATATATATATATATACATATGTAAACCGACGTTTACGCACCCAAATACAAATTGGCATACAGGCACCCGGCTCCATTCTCGTTCAAGTTTTCTTTGTTATTTCATTCTCCCTCTCATCCCCCATGCAAACAATAGCGGTGTGTTAGTATTTCGCTGCCTTTCAGTCGCGAATACCCATTCCAACGCGCGCGCAGTTCTTCCAGGTGAAGGGCTTCAAAAAGCTCGAGACCACGGTCAGAGGAGACTTCCACCCATACGCTTGAAAAGCTAAAGAACGCAGCAAAGAATTACACGAATTAGGTTCCATAAAACCGAAATCTTATACCCCAAACGAGTATTACCGAACGCTTGTTTGGAGTGTAAGCTTTCAGTCTTCAATTAGTATAAGTGACGGTATGCCGCTTTACATTCTACCCCAAATCTTAATCTACCGCGCTTTAACGGCAAGACGAGACTTACATTAATTATTTATTTATAAATACTCTCTCATACATGTATACAATACAAAACAAGTAAAGTTATTAAAATTTTTTTCACAATATTACTGTAGAAAAATGTTATAAAAAAATTATTAGTTCACACTTAAAAAACAATTTATTTATATTATACCTAAAATCACTGCCTTATTGTGTAGGGAATCAATAAATAAATTCGAATAAAAACGTAACGAAAAAATCTTATTATTAAAAGGGCACTCAAGTTTATGTTACGCATTTGTACTGAGTCGCCGTCGGGTATTATAAATGCATTTTGTCTTGATATGGCGAATAAAATGATTTCTATCACATATTATGATGAATTGATGGACGATGGTTAAAATTGGCGGGCCTGGTAGGTATTTGGTTAATAAAACGACTAGTAACATCTAAAAAACTGCCATCGAATATCACAAATAAAATTTTATAAATGCGTTTTGAGCAAAAGAAGGTTAAAAAGTCAGTTTGGTTTCGAAAGTATCCCCGTTCGAGTTGACGACAATATTTTTAGGAGCGTATCCCTCTGGAACATTTTCGGGGCGAATATTTTTGTTACTTCGTCTATCGATACTTTTCCTCTTGGAATTTTCGTTACTTAAACTAGTACTTTGAGTCTTATTACTGTTACCTAAACTCGACGAGTGCGATGTTAAGCTGCTTTGGCTTTCGTTGAGCTTGTTCGACGAGACCTTCTTCAGATCCCAAATGTGGGGGGGATCGGCGCTTGAGGCACATACAGTTGGGGAGTCGGACGCGTGGCTCGACTTCGAACTGTGCCTAGGATGCGCTTCGGCCGGTTTGCAGTAAGAGCCTGGAAGTTCACAGGGTAGCTTTGACTCGGAGGGGCGGGGTTTACAAACCAGAGGCGGAGCCATTTTGCTTCCACATTTTCAGTCGTTGCACTATTTCGCCGAAGTTGGGACGCCGCATCGCCAGCTCCGCCCAGCATTCCACCATTAAAACGTAGCAATAGCTGGGGCAGGCGTCTGGACATGGGAGAAGCTTGCGCGAGCGGATCATGCTTATTACCTCCTGGTTGTTGTAACCGTAGTAAGGCTACAAAGCGCCGTTAGTTGGCGGAGGAAGCGCCCGTTATTATTACCTGTAGGCCGTAGCTGTAGATTTCCCACAAGACTACGCCGTAGGACCACACGTCGCTTTCCGTCGTGAATTTCCCATAGAGTATCGACTCTGGAGGCATCCATCTCACTGGTAACAACGACTTTGACTGCACCCTGTAATAGTCGCAGCTGTACATGTCGCGACTGAGCCCGAAGTCGCTAATTTTCACGACGAAGTTCTTCGACACAAGGCAATTTCTCGCGGCTAAGTCTCTGTGAACGTAATGATTATCGGACAGGTACTCCATACCTGAAAGGGGAAGCTAAACGTCGAGTAGTGTGACCAAAGAACTGACCTTGCGCGATTTGGCTGGCTATATGTAGGAATTGGTGCTGCGACAAACTTTTGCCCTCGTTTGGCGAGTTCGCGATCAGAAACTCGTGCAGATCTCCCTAAAATAATCACGGTCGGAAAGGAACTCGAACAAACTACGTGAAGTTAGGACGGTTTTGGAAGCAATTATGCTGCTGATTTTCGCCATTTTCTGTATTTCTATGCTCCTCATACATTTACAGAACCCAAGTGAGAGAGTACATGACTTTCGCTTCTCTCTTCGTTTTTGGTATCAGTCTTTTTGATCGCTTTTTTGTTTATTTTATAAGTATTGGAGTTGATAAAAAGTATTAGATATTTTTGATGAATTGAAAAAAAAACAGGAGATATTGAGCTTGGATGACCTTAATAGTGAAATTTGACAAACAAAAAATGAGGTCACTGACCGCTGATAACCTTGAAAATAAAAATAGATAGCATTACAAAATGGTGTCAACCTTGCAAATGTAATTTGACACCGTAAAAATGGTTTCATTGACCTTGGCTAACTTTGAGTGTAATTATACATCACAAAAAATGAGGTACTCAACCTTGGATTACTTCAAACGTGGTTTAATACCACAAAATGGGGTCCTTGACCTTGTATGCCACCACATAAAAATGAGGTCATTGATCTTGAATGACCTCGAACATTGATTCTGACAACACAATTGGGGTCATTGACCTGGGAAGACCTCGAACAATTTAACACCATAAGGTCAATAACCTCGTATACCATTAACAACGTAATTTAACACTGGGACAATGACCTCGGATGACCTTGAAAATGTAATTTAACACCGCAACAAAACGGGCCCAATGACCTTGAAAATTTATGGGGGTCAATGACATCTGATGGCCTTGAAACTTAATAGGGTCAATGACCTCGGTTGACATTGAAAATTAATGGTACCAATGACCTCGGATGACATTGAAAATGAGGTCATCGCCCACGTGGCCCGGGACTTTCACCTGGACCTAATTCCCAAGGTCACTGCCCACAAAAAATGAGGTACTCGACCTTGGATTACTTCAAACTTGGTTTAATACCACAAAATGGGGTCCTTGACCTTGTATGCCACCACATAAAAATGAGGTCATTGATCTTGAATGACCTCGAACATTGAAAATTGATTCCGACACCACAATTGAGGTCATTGACCTTAGATAGCATTGAAAATGATATTTAACATCACAATTGGGGTCATTGACCTGGGAAGACTTCGAACAATTTAACACCATAAGGTCAATAACCTCGTATACCATTATCAACGTAATTTAACATTGGAACAATGACCTAGGATGACCTTGAAAATGTAATTTAACACCGCAACAAAACGGGGCCAATGACCTTGAAAAGTTATGGGGGTCAATGACATCTGCTAGCCTTGAAACTTAATAGGGTCAATGACCTCGGATGACATTGAAAATGAGGTCACCGCCCTCACCTGAACGCAATCCCCAAGGTCACTGCCCACGTGGTGCTCGACTTTCACCTTGACCTAATTCCCAAGGTCAACCGCGTAACCTTGACCACCAGCGAGCGAGCGACCTTGAACTGAGCCAGTATCCGCCTTGTATAACTACTGAGCAGGACAGAATTTTTTAACGAAAGGTCATTCTTATAGCAATGTGAATATTCTATGGAATGCGTTTTTCATTTCGACGGCTCTCTAAATCTTAAAAGTGAAGATTGTCGACCGCCCAGTAAATCGTAATGTGGAAGGGCCAATTGTCGCACTTGTCCACGGACCGCGAATTTCCAAGGGGCGCTTTTTAAATTAAAAAAAAATAAGAGAATAGTCTGTTTCAGGATAGACCCCAAAATGTGTTTTAATACATTTAGGTCAACGCACAATCTATAAACGGTTGATGGTGCCGAGTGACCTTTCTGGCTCATCACAGACAACAACCTTCAATCGTTAACCAATCGGTGAGAACCACGCCCGAAACCGATATCCAATCAATCTGCTTCCAATATCGTGCTAACTTCACGCACTCACAACCCCTTTACCTCCGACATAAACTCGAATAGCATACACATCGGCTCTTGCTTCACCACCACCCCCAACAAACAGATGATATTTGGATGTTTCAACTCCGAAATCAACTCGATCTCCCTTTGAAAGTCCGCTTGCGTTTTCGCGCTAGCGTTCTCCTTCAACGACTTAACGGCGACGATTATTTTCCCCGCCTTCGTTTTGAGCTCGCCCTTGTAAACTTTACCTGAAAGATCCGATCAGACACGAATGACCCGATCGGGGAAAATTACCGAACGCCCCCTCGCCCAATTCCTCCACGAACGTGACCTCCTTGTAGGTGTACTGGGGGGCCGGCTGAAAGCCGTTACGCTGCGAGCTCTGACTTCTCGGCGGCATGTTGTTGATCCGTGTCGGCAGCAACGTGTTGAGCTCCATCGGCGAGTTAGGGCCGGTGTTGCCGTAGATGTTTTTGTCGGCGGTCGGAACGCTCATCTGAGACGATCGGTCAAAATCGCAGCGACACGGCGCCATACTTACGTTTTGCAGTCTCGTCTTACGCCTTTTTCTCGCTCGGTGGCAGTAAATCGAAAGGATTATCACAACCGCTATTATTAACACTATTAAACCACCAACAATTAGGTACATCCACAGCATACTAGCTGAAAACAAAAGTGGCACATTTCTGCTATCGCGGGGAGAACTGAAGACCTACCACATTTCGGCAACCCGCACACCTCCTTCCGCGTTTGATCCACGAAACAAAACGGCTCCGCCTCAGTTCGGCCTGGGTTTCTAAGGGAAAAAGAATGTCCGCTATTGGGTGATAAAGGCGGACGGATTGCGTACCTGCAGTAGGAGTGCCCGGACAGTTCCGGATACTCGGATAAGGCGATCGTAAACTGATGCGACCAACGAATGCACTTCTTGTTGGAGATGGTCGCGTCGTAAACGCCCCGATACGACTCGCCGTAATCCCAATAGCACAACTCATCTGCAAATTCGGCGGTTGAGTAGACTCGCGACTCGGATGCGTATCCGCTCCCACTTATGACAACTATAGCTAACTCACCTAGCGGATAATACAAACCTTCATTAACATTTTGGGTGCGCTCGACTCCCAAGCTGAGACAGTACATCGAATTCTTATCGCTTTCGTCCGGTAAAAACTCGCACTCGTCCAGCTCGAGCGGTTGGCTAATGATCGGATGTCGCTTCGCGATGGCGTACTCGCGCCTGCACAGCTCCTTCTCCAAAAGCTCGCACTCCTCCTTGCATATGCGCTGCAGGGACATCGACAGTTTGTTCCGCAAGTTCTTAAAGATGCTCTTATCCTGCTCGGCGAGATACTTCTTGGTGAAGTCCTTCTGGTAGTGAGCGACGTGCTTGGGATCGATGCAGATCGGAAACGCGGAGAAGCAAAGACTGGGAATGGCGAATTTGCTGCAGCTCGTCGAGATTTCGCTGCGAACTAAAGCTTGAGAGAGTGGCGCCCGCACGCTGCACTTACTTTGACTGGGACACGACCAGAACCGCCTGTTCGAGTTTGATCTCGATGTTCTCCTGGGTGTAGGGCGGTTGCACGAAGATCAATTTCCCGTCCAGATACTCTCTACACGTGGTACCTTGGTAGGTTTGGCAGAAAGGCTGAGTCACATCGTAATCCGATGTGTTGGCAATCTGAGACAAATCCTCCATGTTGGACGTCGGAAAGATCGGATGCGAGAAGGTATGGAAGTCGCGTTTCGGATCCGGGAAGAACGTGGTTATATCGCTCCGACTGCGAGTATCTTCAAATATGGGTTTAAACGTAACCGACGTCCCTGTGAAACGTCACAACTGCTCCCAGTGTAACACCCCAAGCGTACTTACCCCATCTGTCGTTGGTGACATCGAGAAGGGCCTCCGATCGAATGTCGCCATTACCGTTCGAAGCCATGCAGACGTAGAAGCCCTTGTCGAACGACTCGAGGTTTTTGATTTTCAACGATGACCCATAAATTTGACCCCCAGGTTTCTAGGGAGCAGACGATTAGAGCGACGGACACGCGCGTAATGTCCTCACCTCGTGATGTTTAATCACAATTCGTTTACTCTCGTCGATCTTCGCGTTGTTTTTCCTCCACGTGAATTGAACCCTGGTGTTTGTCGAGTTGGCGTCTAAATTTTTAACCTCGCATGTCAACGTGACGGTCTTCCCGCTAGGTTTGGTTATGTTCGTTAGGTCTTTGATGAATTGTAGCGTACCTAAACGGGGGAGGGTTTAGTAGATGAGGGGTGGGGGGTGGATAATACCGTTCGCGGTAAAGTTGGCCTGGGCTATGTCATCGTAGTCGTACTCGTAGTCGTCCTCCACATCGTTGTTTCCGGTGGTCGTAGTCAGAACTGAAAAAAAATAATGCGAAAATTAAAAAAAATTATGTTACTGAAGTCAATCGGCAAGGCGACAAGAACAGATTGGCTCGCTGCACTACCTTGGTCTTAAAAATGTAGTATCAGGAGACCTAAAACTCGAAGAGGTACTGGTCATAATATAGAACTATACAAAGGTTGAGCGTGCAGATCAGATCAGAAAAACTTTCTACCGACCCACGCGGGGTGGTATTCGTCAATCAGCGGAGTATCAGGAGAACATACTGTGATCGTTTGACTTTCTGGTTCGGCTTCATAAGGACTAGGTACCTATGTTTCTGTACTAATACACGCGTAAAGTATAGGACTTATACCAGGAGCGCATAAATATTGACAGTTTCTTTCTTGTATCAGGAGAGCATCAGCCAGAGTAATTGTTCACATGAAAACTACCTTCACAAAATGTCCTAATTATCTCGTTAAGAAGGTATTCGTCAAACATTACCTCAGAGTGCCAGGAAATCATATTGTGAAGTCTGTAATAGACGTGTCAAGAACAAGATTTGTATCAGGAGTGCACAACCATTCCATCAATCAATTTATCCCACACTTTTCCATAAGGAACTATTTTACTTTCGGGTTCGGCTTCATAAGCACTAGGTACCTATGTTTCTGTAATACACGCGTAAAGTATAGGACTTGTACCAGGAGCGCATAAATATTGACAGTTTCTTTCTTGTATCAGGAGAGCATCAGCCAGAGTAATTGTTCACATGAAAACTACCTTCATAAATGTCCTAATTATCTTGTTAAGAAGGTATTCGTCAAACATTACCTCAGAGTGCCAGGAAAACATATTGTGAACTCTGTAATAGACGTGTCAAGAACAAGATTTGTATCAGGAGTGCACAACCATTCCATCAATCAATTTACCGCACACTTTTCCATAAGGAACTATTTTAATTTCGGGTTCGGCTTCATAAGGACTAGGTACATATGTTTCTATACTAATACACGCGTAAAGTATAGGGCTTGTACTAGGAGCGCATAAATATTGACAGTTTCTTAATTGTATCAGGAGAGCATCAGCCAGAGTAATTGTTCACCTGAAAACTACCTTCACAAAATGTCCTAATTATCTCGTTAAGAAGGTATTCGTCAAACATTACCTCAGAGTGCCAGGAAAACATATTGTGAACTCTGTAATAGACGTGTCAAGAACAAGATTTGTATCAGGAGTGCACAACCATTCCATCAATCAATTTACCCCACACTTTTCCATAAGGAACTATTTTACTTTCGGGTTCGGCTTCATAAGGACTAGGTACCTATGTTTCTGTACTAATACACGCGTAAAGTATAGGATTTGTACCAGGAGCGCATAAATATTGACAGTTTCTTTCTTGTATCAGGAGAGCATCAGCCAGAGTAATTGTTCACATGAAAACTACCTTCATAAATGTCCTAATTATCTCGTTAAGAAGGTATTCGTCAAACATTACCTCAGAGTGTCAGGAGAAACATACTGTGAACTCTGTAATAGACGTGTCAAGAACAAGATTTGTATCAGGAGTGCACAACCATTCCAACAATCAATTTACCCCACACTTTTCCATAAGGAACTATTTTACTTTCAGGGTTCGGCTTCATAAGCACTAAGTACCTATGTTTCTGTACTAATACACGCGTAGTAAGTATAGGACTTGTACCAGGAGCGCATAAATATTGACAGTTTCTTTCTTGTATCAGGAGAGCATCAGCCAGAGTAATTGTTCACATGAAAACTACCTTCATAAATGTCCTAATTATCTTGTTAAGAAGGTATTCGTCAAACATTACCTCAGAGTGCCCGGAAAACATATTGTGAACTCTGTAATAGACGTGTCAAGAACAAGATTTGTATCAGGAGTGCACAACCATTCCAACAATCAATTTACCCCACACTTTTCCATAAGGAACTATTTTACTTTCGGGTTCGGCTTCATAAGGACTAGGTACCAATGTTTCTGTACTAATACACGCGTAAAGTATAGGACTTGTACCAGGAGCGCATAAATATTGACAGTTTCTTTCTTGTATCAGGAGAGCATCAGCCAGAGTAATTGTTCACATCAAAACTACCTTCATAAATGTCCTAATTATCTCGTTAAGAAGGTATTCGTCAAACATTACCTCAGAGTGCCAGGAAAACATATTGTGAAGTCTGTAATAGACGTGTCAAGAACAAGATTTGTATCAGGAGTGCACAGCCATTCCATCAATCAATTTATCCCACATTTTTCCATAAGGAACTATTTTACTTTCAGGTTCGGCTTCATAAGCACTAGGTACCTATGTTTCTGTACTAATACACGCGTAAAGTATAGGACTTGTACCAGGAGCGCATAAATATTGACAGTTTCTTTCTTGTATCAGGAGAGCATCAGCCGGAGTAATATTGTTCACATGAAAACTACCTTCACAAAATGTCCTAATTATCTCGTTAAGAAGGTATTCGTCAAACATTACCTCAGAGTGCCAGGAGAACATACTGTGAACACTGTAATAGACGTGTCAAGTACAAGATTTGTATCAGGAGTCCATCAATCAATTTACCCCACACTTTTCGATAAAGAACTATTGATAGCACATATCGTGCCTCCGCAAAAAAAAACTTAATAACCGCCAACGCAAAATCAACCCGAGTAAATACGAGACGCGCGCCAAAAAGACGCAAATGAGTTTCGACAGATAGCGAAAAAAGAAAAAAACGGCGTTAAGACTAAAATCGATAAAGTCGAAAATTCCCCAAACGCGAAACGAATATCTCGAAATAGTCGAGATAATTTTAGATCTCAAGATATAAACAGGCTCGGGTTGGCGGTGGAGGAGGAAGTTTCGGAATATAGTCCAAATGAGAGGGAGATACGGGCCGTCGTACGGTTGGAGTGGGACAGAGGACTGTTCGAAATTTTAATTATATATGACACAGATGATGATGGTTTTGAGTGTTATGGAAATTTCGCACGGAATGAGGCGCGATTTTTTAGTCGTGCGGAAGTCTACCTACTGGAATGCAACGTGTTGCGTTTCTGTGGCGATGACAGTAGTCGAGTGGTTTCTTGTCACGTTTTTGACTGTACGTGCACTTGGTGAATGTGTTGAGGATACTGACTTGATTGCAAATGGTATGTGATGTGTCTGTCAATAAATTGCGCCTTCGCACTACTGACCTTTTAAACTATTTTCTACTGACTTGGGACCTTGAGCCTCTTTGTCTGACCATTTTCTTACATCTCACTCTCGCCTAGATTTCTCCACTACCCTTTGTTCTATCTCGATGCAGAAACTCAATTGGATCAGATGACTACCACCCTCTCTACCTCCCATTTGGCACAATTTCTCCATCTTTATAACTTCAAATCTCCCCATCCACATTTGGATTCTCTGAGCCCAAATTTTCAGCTCGAAACTCGAATTTGAACCCAAAATTCTACTCTGATCCTTTACTTAAGTTCGAACTGTTCATTTGAAATCAACAGTGGAGTCCAAATTCAAAGCATGCAGTCGCGCAGTGATCTTTGTCAAGCTCAAATCCACATTTGGGATCTCTGAGCTCAAATTTTGACCTTCTTGAACCCAATATCCTACCGTAAAAGTTCGAACTATTCAGTTTAAATGGAAAGCGGAGTCCCAATTCAGAGCATGAAGTCGCCCACTGACATTGGTCTATGCTCAAATCCATATTTGGGATCTCTGAGCTCAAACTTTGAGCTTCAAACGCGAACTTGAACCCAAAATCCTACCGTAAAAGTTCGAACTATTCAGTTTAAATGGAAAGCGGAGTCCCAATTCAGAGCATGAAGTCGCCCACTGACATTGGTGTATGCTCAAATCCATATTTGGGATCTCTGAGCTCAAACTTTGAGCTTCAAACGCGAACTTGAACCCAAAATCCTACCGTAAAAGTTCGAACTATTCAGTTTAAATGGAAAGCGGAGTCTCAATTCAAAGCATGAAGTCGCCCACTGACATTGGTCTATGCTCAAATCCATATTTGGGATCTCTGAGCTCAAATTCTGAGCTTCAAACGCAAACTTGAACCCAAAATCCTACCGTAAAAGTTCGAACTATTCAGTTTAAATGGAAAGCGGAGTCCCAATTTAGAGCATGAAGTCGCCCACTGACTTTGGTCTATGCTCAAATCCATATTTGGGATCTCTGAGCTCAAATTTTGACCTTGTTGAATCCAAAATTCTACCGTGAAAGTTCGAACTATTCAGTTTAAATGGAAAGAGGAGTCCCAATTCAGAGCATGAAGTCGCCCACTGACATTGGTCTATGCTCAAATCCATAATTGGGATCTCTGAGCTCAAATTGTGAGCTTCAAACGCGAACTTGAACCCAATATCCTACCGTAAAAGTTCGAACTATTCAGTTTAAATGGAAAGCGGAGTCCCAATTTAGAGCATGAAGTCGCCCACTGACATTGGTCTATGTTCAAATCCATATTTGGGATCTCTGAGCTCAAATTTTGACCTTGTTGAATCCAAAATTCTACCGTAAAAGTTCGAACTATTCAGTTTAAATGGAAAACGGAGTCCCAATTCGGAGCATGAAGTCGCCCATTAACGTTGGTCTATGCTCAAATCCACATTTGGGATCTCGGAGCTCAAATTTTGAGCTTGAATCTCGAACTTGAACCCAAAAGTGTACCGTAAAAGTTCGAACTGTCCAGTTTAAATAGAACGTAGGGTCCAAATTCAGAGTATGAAGTCGCCCACTGACATTTGTCTGAGCTCAAATCCATATTTGGGATCTCTGAGCTCAAATTTTGACCTTCTTGAACCCAAAATTCCACCGTAAAGTTCGAACTATTCAGTTTAAATGGAAAGTGGAGTTTCAATTCAGAGTATGAAGTCGCCCACTGACCTTTGTCTGAGCTCAAATCCACAGTTGGGATCTCTGAGCTCAAATTTTGAGCTTGAATCTCGAACTTGAACCCAAAAGTGTACCGTAAAAGTTCGAACTGTCCAGTTTAAATGGAACGTAGGGTCCAAATTCAGAGTATGAAGTCGCCCAATGACATTTGTCTGAGCTCAAATCAATATTTGGGATCTCTGAGCTCAAATTTTGACCTTGTTGAACCCAAAATTCTACCGTAAAAGTTCGAACTATTCAGTTTAAATGGAAAGTGGAGTCCCAATTCAGAGCATGAAGTCGCCCACTGACAACGGTCTAAGCTCAAATCCACATTTGGGATCTCTGAGCTCAAATTTTGAGCTTGAAACTCGAACTTGAACCCAGAATTCTACCGTAAAAGTTCGACAGTCAAGTCCAAATTAGTCTCAAACTGAAGAGCTCAGTTCGACTAAAACGGAATCCCTAAAGAATAAGCGACACTCGAATTAAAATTGCATCTGCAAATGATTTATTGATTCTGATTACTACTCGAACCAGACTGAGTCATCGCTAACGTAATAAATAAGCCACCACTCATCTAAAGAGCTTCTCGTTATCAATTTAATTGGTAAACATTTTTAACGCATCGCAACATAACCTAAATTTCTCTCTTTCTCTCACTTCCAGCTACGAACATTCCACAAGACGATTACCGCAAAAAGGGAAGGTGCGCTCAGCTGACTGGAGGGAAGTAGTTTGTACAGAACTGACCGATTATTTATTTGAATCGAAAAACTTCTTAAAATAGAGTATAATATAAACTCGAAGTTATTCTTTGGGAGAGCATTTAAGACACCATCCAGTATGTCAAAGTCGGCAAACATGCTAAGAACGCGACGGAGGGACAACAACGTCAAGCCGAACAGGCGGTAAGTTCGATTTTCGCACGCAACCTAACCTCAAAGTGTCACTAATCCGTTTTGGAATTTCCGCGTGTACGCACTTAACACGCTTTTTTTCCGTTAAAACTAAATTTAGATGCGCGCACACTAAAACCGAGCGAGTGTTTATTATAAAACCGTAATGCCGCTGAAAGTTTTATGGGAGAAAAACGGTTTCTACGCGAGTGGGATAATTAAGTTACACGTCCAGTTATGACCTTATTTTTAGGTGGCGATTTTTTTCTTGAAGCACACCCGTATTGATTTTGACGAAAATGTAAAAAAATTAATACATAAATTTAAAAACCCGTTAGTGGAAGGAGAAATAAGATTCAAAACAAATTTTTTTGATTCAAAAAAGGCACCTTGAAGCACACCCATATCGATTTTGACGAAAAATGATGCATAAATATTTAAAAAAAATTCCTTACTAGAAGGAGAAAGGGCCAAAACAAGGTTCAAAAAAATTTTTTTGATTCAAAAAAGGCATCTTGAGGCACACCCATATCGATTTTGACGAAAAATGATGCATAAATATTTAAAAAAAATTCCTTACTAGAAGGAGAAAGGGCCGAAACAATGTTCAAAAACATTGTTTGGATTCAAAAAAGTATGGACGTGCAATATTCCCGCTAGTTCTCTCTCTCTATTTAGCATATTTTCGTGACACCGTGTAACATATGTATATGCGTTTGCACACGATTGATAGATACAAAACAAATTTTTTTATTAAAAAAAGGTTTGTAAATATTCTAAAAAAAATTTGTGCCCATTGCTCACAATACCGTATAAAATATATGCTGTTGCGCACGATTTCTTACCGTTTAGATTCAAAATAATTTTTTTGTTACATACATTTTCAAAAAATGGTGTTATTCATAAATTTAAAAAAATTTAATGTTTTTTGTTAGCACTAGTCGCAATATCGTCTGTATGTATGCATGATTTTTCATCATTTATTCAAAATAATTTTTTTAATTCAAAAATTGTCGCAACTACCTACCTTTTTTTCACCACGCATCTTCATACGATCCTGTAATCCTGATACTGCAATCACTGAAATTTGTATTAGGAGCAATTTTTTGACAACTAATTTTTTCCATCACACTCCTACGTTCCTGTAGTTCTGATACTGCAATCATCTAAATTTGTATCAGGAGTAGATCTTTGACAAATAACTTTTTTGTAAGTACTGCAAACTTTGAAAATTTGTATCAGGAGAATATAGAACGGTAGGTCTTTGAGAACTGACTTTGTTGAATTCTACAACTTCATGTAATCCTGATACATCCTACATCATTGAAATATGTACCAGGAGAGCATAGTCCAGAAGGTTCCTGACAACTATCTTTTTTAATCCTACACCTTCTGAAGTTTCTGTGAACCTCATACTGCAACCTTTAAAACTTGTATCAGGAGAATATAGTGCGGTAGGTCTTTGACAACTGACCTTTTTTTCAACCCCACACCTCATTTTTCTGCAATCCTGATGCTGAAATGTTTGAAATTTGTATCCGGAGAATCCGGTGCAGTAGGTTCTTAACAACGGATTTTTTACAATCCTACACGTTCTCAAGTTTCTGTAATCCTGATACTGCAATCATTGATATTTGTATCAGGAGAATAGAGTGCAGTAGGCTCTAGACAACTTAACTTTTTTTTGTATTCCTACACCCACTTAAGTTCCTTTAATCCTAATACTGCAATCTTTGACATTTGTATCAGGAGAATATAGTTCGGTAGGTTTTTGACAACAGACTTTTTTTCAATCCTACACCTCCTCCTTTTTTTTCAATCTTGATACTGCAATCTTTGAAATTTGCATCAGGAGAATATAGTGCAGTACGTTCTTGACTGCTAACTTTTTTCAATCCTACACCCTCTTACGTTTGTGTAATCTTGATACTGCAACCTTTGAATCTTGTATGATGAGAATCTGATTCTTGACAAGTAACTTTTTATATCCTACAGCTTCTTTATTTCCTGTAATCTTTGAAATTTGCCTCAGGAGACTGGACTTTTTCAATCCTTAAAACTCTTTCTATCATCTACATTTTTAAAATATGTACCAGGAGCATCTAGTCTAGTAGGCAACTAATTTTTTTCAATCCCACACCATCTTAAGTTTCTATAATCCTGATACTGCAATCATTCAAATTTGTATCAGGAGAATATACTGCGGTAGATTAGTCATTATATTTTTCCTTTGGCATACATATGTACATAGGAGGCGTCAACGAGAAAAAAATAAAATACACACATAAAAATATAAAAACAAAATCACATATTGATCGTTGACAACTAAAATTGTTCAGTCACACACCTTCTCACGTTTCTGTAATCCTGATACTGCAATCTTTAAAATGTGTATCCGGCAAATCTAGCCCAGTAGCCTCTTGACTAACTAACCTAATTTGTCAGGAGAGTAAAGTGGGATAGGTGACTTTTTTTCAATCTTACACCTTAAGTTCCTGTTATCCTGATACTGCAATCAATGCAATTTGTATCAGGAGAATATAGTGCGATAGGTCTTTCACAACTGACTTTTTTCAATTGCAACGCAGAAGACAAGTCAGGAGTACACAATAATATCTTTGGCAATTAGCTTTTAGCCTTACGTTCCTGTGATCCCATCACTGCAATTTTTGGAGATCAGGAGAACATAATGCGACAGGTAACTTTGTTTCACTCTCACCTTCTTACGTTTTTATGATCCTGACATTGCATTTATCAGGAAAACAAATGCTGTCTTTGACAACTACGTTTTTCCCTCCCTTTTTCCCATACCACTCACTCTTACGTTCCTGTGATCCTGACACAGACACAGAATATAGTAGGTCTTTAACAACTACTTCTGTCTGACACTTCTTCGCGTTCATGTGATCTTGGCAGTGAAATCATTGGAAAATAAAATGTATCAGGAGAATATGGTTCAGGTTTGACGTTCTTATGGTTCTGATATTGCATTTTGGCGTAAAATTTGTATCAGGAGAACATAATGCAATATTTGACAACAAATTTTTCCCCTTTTACTTCTTGTGAGTATCACGAGAACATAATGCGGGGGCTCCTTGACAATTCATTTTGATCCATTATCACCTTTATCTTTCCTGTGATCCTGATATTGCATTTTTGGAGCACGAATTGAACGAAGAGGTCTTGCTCATTTTTACGTTCCCGTGGTCATGACACTGCAATCTGTGCAATACATATTTGTATTAAGAGAACAGGAGATATAACACAAATTTGAATCAGGAGAACATAAGGACGTGACCATTTTTCATTTTACACACTCTTGCATTCCTGTGCTCCTAATAAAATTGCCACTATTGTACTAACAATGACAACAGCCACGTGATAAGAGCAGCTTTACGGTAGCGCGAGCGCTGTCAATAATTTTTTTTCTATTCTTAAACAATAACTAAAATTAGCCTCTAAAAGCACGTCATTAATGAAAAAACCAAACATTTAGACACTCGTCTATAAATCAGAAGCGTACAATCATCCGCAACAGCTGCCGTGTGCCTAAATACATCGGCCAAAGTGGTTTTACACGCGATGGCGGCGCTAATCGGCTCTTCTCAATTTTAGATTGGACCGAAAGTCATCGCGTGGAATGCTTTACGAGAATGAGGAGCTCAGACTGAAGACAATTAACATCAACGCGGAGGTCGAGAGAGGTGAGCCGACGAAATTCGGGTTACCTAAATGGACGCGTTCCAAATCGCTTTTTTTTCTAGGTCAGTCCGATATCAAGAAGTTGAAGAGGGAGAATGACCAATTGCGCAGGGAGATTTGGTACCTGAGGGACGAGTACGATAAGTTGGATAAGTTGCTCAGGGAAAAGGGCAGTCTGTGTTCGTCGTCGTCAAGTACGGGATCGAGTGACTCTGTAAGTCGGCACCTGTAGGTAATCATTTTAAGCTTGACTGGAAATTTCAAATTTGAAGCTTGATAGACGTGTTTGGCTTCAAATTAAAATGCAAAATGTGAATAATAAAGACCGCAAAAATTTCAATAAGAACACCCTTTATAGTTTAAAGGTGATTTTTAGCTTCAAATATCAAAATGAAGCCCTCAATCTTTATACTTTAAAGGTCAATTTTAGCTTCAAATTTGTATGTGAAGCCTTCAATCTTAAAATGTGGATCATGAAAATCCGAAAAAGTTCAATGAGAACACTCTGTATACTTCAAAGGTCATTTTTAGCTTCAAATTTCAAGGTGAAGCACTCAATATCTCTACTGTAATGGTCATTTTAACTTCAAATTCTAATGTGAAGCCCTCAATCTTACAATGTGGACCATGAAATTTTTTTTCAGGCCTCAAAAAAAAGGCAGTGTATACACTTCCTTTTTTACCAAAAACGACTGCACCGAAATTTCTCGGGAAAACACTTTTTCGTACTAATTTTGGTGCGTAGAATCCAAAACGAGTCGTACTTAACACCCTTATACTGTAAAGGTCATTTTTAGCTTCAAACTTCAAGGTAAAGTATCCAATATCTCTACTGTAATGGTCATTTTAACTTCAAATTTTAATATGAAGCACTCAATCTTAGAATGTAGACCATGAAATCCGCGAAAAAATTCAATAAGAACACTCCTTATAGGTTAAAGGTCATTGTTAGCTTCAAATTTTAAGGTGAAGCACTCAATATCTCTACTGTAATGGTCATTTTAACTTCAAATTTTAATGTGAAGCCCTCAATCTTACAATGTGGACCGTGAAATCCGCGAAAAATTCAATGAGAACATCCTTTATACTTCAAAGGTCATTTTTAGCTTCAAATTTCAAGGTAAAGTATCCAATATCTCTACTGTAATGGTCATTTTAACTTCAGATTTTAATGCGAAGCCCTCAATCTTACAATGTGGACCATGAAATCCGCGAAAAATTCAATGAGAACATCCTTTATACTTCAAAGGTCATTTTTATCTTCAAATTTCAAGGTAAAGTATCCAATATCTCTACTGTAATGTTCATTTAACTTCAAATTTTAATGTGAAGCCCTCAATCTTACAATGTGCACCGTGAAATCCGCGAAAAATTCAATGAGAACACCCTTTATACTTCAAAGGTCATTTTTAGCTTCAAATTTCAAGGTGAAGCACTCAATATCTATACTGTAATGGTCATTTTAATTTCAAATGTTAATGTGAAGCCCTCAATCTTACAATGTGGACCATGAAATCCGCGAAAAATTCAATGAGGACCATGAAATCCGCGAGAAATTAAATGAGAACATCCTTTATACTTCAAAGGTCATTTTTAGCTTCAAATTTCAAGGTGAAGCACTCAATATCTATACTGTAATGGTCATTTTAATTTCACATGTTAATGTGAAGCCCTCAATCTTACAATGTGGACCATGAAATCCGCGAAAAATTAAATGAGAACACCCTTTATACTTCAAAGGTAATTTTAACTTCAAATTTCAAGGTGAAGCACTCAATATCTCTACTGTAATGGTCATTTTAACTTCAAATTTTAATATGAAGCACTCAATCTTAGAATGTGCACCGTGAAATCCGCGAAAAAATTCAATGAGAACATCCTTTATACTTCAAAAGGTCATTTTTAGCTTCAAACTTCAAGGTAAAGTATCCAATATCTCTACTGTAATGGTCATTTTAACTTCAAATTTTAATATGAAGCACTCCAATCTTAGAATGTAGACCATGAAATCCGCGAAAAAATTCAATAAGAACACTCCTTATAGGTTAAAGGTCATTGTTAGCTTCAAATTTTAAGGTGAAGCACTCAATATCTCTACTGTAATGGTCATTTTAACTTCAAATTTTAATGTGAAGCCCTCAATCTTACAATGTGGACCGTGAAATCCGCGAAAAATTCAATGAGAACATCCTTTATACTTCAAAGGTCATTTTTAGCTTCAAATTTCAAGCTAAGCATCAATATCACTACTGCAATGGTCATTTTAACTTCAAATTTTAATGTGAAGCCCTTAATCTTACAATGTGAACCATGAAATCCGCGAAAAATTCAATGAGAACATCCTTTATACTTCAAAGGTCATTTTTAGCAAATTTCAAGGTAAAGTATCCAATATCTCTACTGTAATGGTCATTTTAACTTCAAATTTTAATGTGAAGCCCTCAATCTTACAATGTGGACCATGAAATCCGCGAAAAATTCAATGAGAACACCCTTTATACTTCAAAGGTCATTTTTAGCTTCAAATTTCAAGGTAAAGTATCCAATATCTCTACTGTAATGTTCATTTTAACTTCAAATTTTAATGTGAAGCCCTCAATCTTACAATGTGCACAGTGAAATCCGCGAAAAATTAAATGAGAACACCCTTTATACTTCAAAGGTGATTTTTAGCTTCAAATTTCAAGGTGAAGCACTCAATATCTCTACTATAATAGTCATTTTAATTTCAAATTTTAATGTGAAGCCCTCAATCTTACAATGTGGACCATGAAATCCGCGAAAAATTCAATGAGAACACCCTTTATACTTTAAAGTATACATTAATATACCAAATTTGGAACTTTATTCTTCACGTGGAAAGCGTTTAAGCTGCACTTCAGATTCGGGGGACTTGCACTCCAAGCTTCCACTCAAAATTTCAAGTTTCAAGCTCCAAATTTGAAGCATCGATAGCCATAATGGATTGTGTGCAAATTTTTCCACTTACTTTATTCTGTTTCTTCAGGATTCATGCAGTTCGTACACTGAAGAATCGGAGGCAGTGGAAACATCTCAAAATATAGAAAACGTGAACAAGACGCACCTGAAGAAGTTGCACGACGACTTCGACCACCTCTCCGTAGTCCAGGAGGAAAATTCGGGAGAGAACTCCGACAAGAATTCCCAAACGAACAACTGCACGTGGACGGAAAACTTGCAACCAGACCAAGATGTAATCAAAGCGGACCAGAGCTATCCAATTTACGCCACCGTCAACAAGGCCGATCCGACCAAATCGCCCATCAGGCACTTCTTCTCGCCCATCGTCAAGCCGAACGACGATTACGTCAACAACCAGTTCCTAGGGCCCGATCTGCCGTATACCGAGCCGGACTATTCGGCCGAAATTTATTACGAGACGCCGGAAACGGCGCAGTACTCGCGCTTCTCGTCCACGTTAGATAAAACCAATCCCGACGTAATCGTCAAGACTGATAATCGGAACTTCAACACGCTAAACAGTTACAGTTCGTTTAGCAACGGGGGCAACCTGGAGGAGTTGCTCAACGATATCGAGACAATTTCGAACGATATCCTCACCATCTCCAACGTCCAAAATCACCATTTTCTCCCGTACCAAGACAGCTATGTTCCAGCAGCCCCCGTTGACAACTACGAGTTTATTGGAGATGAGCAGATCAAGCCCTACAAAAGCGAGCTGAACGTGGTGCTGATGCCGACGCCCATGAAACTGATCGAAATCGAAAAGTACAAAAACATCCAAAAAAGTTGCGAGAGCCTCAACCAAAAATCAATGGAGAACTGCCACTTCAAGCTAACGCCCGAAATCCTCACGCCTAGCCTCCTAATCCCGCCCCACCAATTTTGCGGAACCCCCCTCCAGCCTTACGTGCCCGTACCCCCCAACTGCCCCGAGCCTCGCAGACGCGAGGAAACCAACCCGTTTTTCTTCGGCCCGATGCACCAAGCCCCGACCACCTCCGCCGAAACGCCGAGGCTGAAGGAGAGAGAACTGTACAGCTCCAAAGCGAACCTCTTGGAGACGTCGCACTCCTCCGAGCACGTCTCGAGCGAGAACGAGGAGAAACCGCCCGAGCCCCAGACGCCGCTCGACGAGCCACCGAAACACGAGACCGCCAAACCGAAATCGTCGACCAAGGCGAAGGCGTCGATACACTTCAAGGAGAAAAAGGATAGGCCGAAGATCAAATCGCGCCTCTTCGACATAAAGCTGTCAAAAGACCGGCAGCTTCAGAAGACGCCGAGCGTCGAGTCGAAGCTCTCGATCGCCGAACCGAAGACGCCGACGAGCGCCGACTCGAAAACCTCCACGTCGGAGACGGCCGACGGACCCGAACGCAAGCACAGCAAGAAGGTGCCCAAGCGACAGAAGAGGGGCAAGAATCGTCGACGGTCGGTTAGTAGAGAGCGTAGCTTTTCCGTTTGCACCGACCGCTCGAACATTCTCGACCATCGGATCGGTTTATGTAGTGCGTACGATGATCTTACGACGTCCGATCGGGAAAGGACGAACAGCCTGAGCAGCTGCGATACGTTGAAAGGGCGAAAGATGTCGGTCACGCACTTTCCGACGGGGAAGATACCGTGGTGCGGGTGCTGGGGGAACGGGTGTTTGTGACCGGAAGGCGGCCAATGGAAGACTTCAGTATTATTTAGGTTTTTAGAAGTTTTTGTAATCGATTACAGTTGTTAAATAAAGAACGGAGTTAGATGTTACGGAACACCCTGTAGATGATCGAGATCTGCGCATGCCCCACGTTCTGCTTTTATTAGAAGGATTTGATGAGATGCGCATTCTGGTTGGTCTTGTCGAATTCGTGCATTCGATTTATTAAAGTGTCCTACAATCAAAATTTCGAAAAATAGTCTTAAAAAGAATGTCCCTCGCTATGTTCTAAGTTTTTGAAGCAAACGAGGCGAGGCGGAGCAGCCGCGGAAGCCGAAGTTGTTCCTAATTTCTGATTTTCTCAAAATTAGTCAAGCAGGCCGAGTAGTCGGGGGTCCTAGGTTTGTAAAATAAAAGAGGCGAGACGGCGCAGCCGCCGAAACTATGCTTAACATTTCTATAATTTGTTTAAATACGGGAGGTCAAAATTAAGTAAGTCCCACGTTTGTGATGGATGTGAAGCGAGCCTACGGTGCCTGGAAATCTCGCTTGTATCAATGCTGGAGGAGAGTATTTTGAAAACTTTTAATGTTGCAGAAGGATCCAGTGAGGCGAGACGGTGCAGCCACCGAACACATTCCTGATTGTTTTTAAATCAGACAGGCCCACCGTTCGAGTGTCCAATTTAGATTCCCGATTGAAATCCCGCTTAAGTAACTATTTGAATTGTGCTCTTATTTAGTATATGTACTTATGCCATCTAGGTTTGTAATCCACTAGATTAAGATGTAAGTTCATTTAGTAGATTTCTTATTACCTTAGTTCTTTAGTTTGCCGATAGAGGCCATCCCAATGGTATAGCTTACTTATTACAATACTTCTGTGTCTTGTCCCTATAGTCGCTTTGTATCTTTCTGCACTTAATGCTACCACTTCTTAAGTTTAATATTGCGCGCAGTTGTCTTTCTTTGCCCTCAGTGACGTTTCTGCTTTCGCATTGATTACATGTCAATTTTTCTTTGATACGCAATTATTTTCGCGATAGGTGAGTTTCTACATTACCGGCAGATTTCGGTAAAGCCAAACATGTCATTCTACCTACATTAACCATGTGAATCTACTTCATTCTACCAACATTACTAGCTATTCGAAGAATTTGAACGCAATACAACATTGGTTTATTAAAAAAAACGTGCCACTTAGCTTCCTTTTTGCAAATTGTTGCACCTGTTACACATACACGCGAACGCAATGAATGGCCCCCTTTTTTTCTGTGAAATAGAGAATTCCTTCTACACTTATCGAGAAGGTTAAGCACATGGAATTGTGTTTAGTTTTAGGCTTAGCGTCGATGCCGCAGTAATAAATTTTGAAATTCGTGCGCGTGTAAATAAATAATAATTACCAGTTGTTCTCTTATTTCGATCGCGAAATTAAATTTACGTTACAAATATCATTATTTAATGATAAAAGTGCTCCTCCATTCCAATAAGTTCTTGACTTTTGTTTAAATAATTATAAATAAATACGTTTAACCTTATCCGACAATTTATCGCACAGTATGCGAACTTTTACAAACACTGTAAAATGCAAATGTGCAAGTTTTTTTACTTCCTAATAACGATCAAGTAGGAAACTAGTATTTACACTGTAAAACAAATCTCTATCATTCGCCAACTGGGTGCAAGGTGCATAGTCTATGGAGAAGACTGTTTTTCGTGTGTTACATAAACTAGTGATAGTGATGAATATCAGAAACTGACAGTGTTTTCATAATGAAGGTGAGTAAACATATCAGGGTTAAATGGTTATCCATTTTTGAATGTTGCGAAACCAATGACTACATTACATCAGTTCGCGATTGCATGTTATCTATTGAAAAACGAACCAGGAAGACATTTTGAAAAATTCTGCTCCTAGTGAGAGATATTTTGCAACGAATTATACAGAAATGGTGTTCGGAATCATTTGTGAAGACAAAAGTGGTTCCGCTACAGACCCCTGTGGTACCCCAATCCACCACTGGCCCATATTGCAATGAAGTATTCGATCAGTGGACCAGAACAGTAAATCAGGCCGAAGGACGAAAGTATCTCACAATTGTTTTTAAGCCCCACGTGCTGCATAATCACAGGTTTCGCAGTCATGAAGTTCGTCTACCCGATCGAGCCCGTGATATGTTTAAACATCGCGACAATCGCGATCAGAGAACTGCTGGTGAACAACTTACTAATGGAGACCGCGTGTAAGGTGAACGTGGGGTACAATCGGACGGTATGCGAGTCGATCGCGAGCGGTTTGCACAGGGAGAGAAACTTAACGGAGGCGAACAGCGAAATACAGCGGAGAATCAACGACGCGTTGGGCTGGTGTTTGTCGGCGAACGGCGTGATACCGATCGTCCTGCTGCTCTTCGTCGGCAGCTTCAGCGACGAGCACAAGTCCAGGAAGCCCTTTCTGATACTGCCGACGATAGGGGAACTGATCGCGACCCTCGGATGCATGTTGTGCGTGTGGTTTCGCGAGGTTCTTCCGGTGGAGGTGATCGGGACCGCTCACTACGTCGTGCCGGCCCTGTTCGGAACCGTGCCAATCCTTTACATGGCCGCGTTTGCGTACGTAGCGGACGCAAGCGGCGACAAGACGTGCATCGTTCGGCTGACGGTACTGCAGGTGTCGATCAACGTGTGCAGGACGATCGGGGTCGTAGTGGGAGGGTACCTCTTCATGAGGGTGGGGTACGGTACGTTGATGCAAGTGTGTGTGCTGCTACTAGTAGCGGCATTGTGTTATGGGACATTTGCCGTGGAAGACATTAAGGACGAAAGCAAATCGCCGCCGGTGAGAAACATCTGCAGTTACAAACATGTATGGGAAACCCTTCAATTGTTAACGACAAGTGGAGGCGTTCGTCGTACCAATATTGTCTTTATTTTAGGTTTGCAGTTCCTGGTTGTGCTAGTCTTAATTGGTAAGTTACATGAACTTATTAAACACCTGCTATAGGTAATTTAGAAAAAGATAGATACGCATGCGCGTACTTGACTTGACCGTTTCAAGACAGTATGACCTTCTGTTGCGAAGATATCGTCCAATGGAGTTCTGACTTGAACCAAGAGGCATCTACATCCCAGGTTTCAAGACCCTACGACTTACCGGTCGAGAGTTATCATGTGCGCATGCGGACCAACAATATGTACTTTGGTTACCGTTTGACCCCAAATTCAATAGGGTTCTTATCTCGGCTAAAACACGGTTCGTATGCGCATGCGCACTATTGTATTTGTTTTTTGGAAGGACATACGGTCCAAATTTCTACAAAATAGTCACAGAAGCAACAATTTAAAAAAAAAACTGTCATGCGCATAGCCTACTTTGTCATGGGCACTATTTATTAGAACCATCTTTTACTGATACGTGTTCTATTTGCTTTTAGAAGCACTTATAGTCTAAATTTCTGGAAAATATCAGAGAAACAAGAATCTACTCTGCGCATGCGCGCTTCTTCTGGCATGGGAGCGCCGTTTACTTTATTTTGAAGTATCTACCTGTAAAATTCAAGGAAATCAGGTGACCTGCGCATTTGACTTTTGTTATGCGCGTTCTATTGTTTCTATTATAAGCAACTTGCAGCAATTATTGCATTGCATGCGTTTTTTTTTAGAAAACTACAGATCCTACTGTCAAAGCAAAATCGCTTCAGCATTTAAAACGTTGTACTGCGCATGCACGCTCTATTTTCGGGGACTTAGTATATCAGTGGATTCATAACGCCATGTTTTTACAGGGACCGTGTGTCAAAATTGCAAGAAACAAATATTTTGCGCACGCGCAACCCGATTTGTCACACTTTTATTCAAAAAACTTTATAACATTTAAAATGACGCTGTAGGAAAACACCCTGTATACAATCACAAAGCTTTAACCGCTAGAGGGCGCGTGTCAAATTTGGTACATTATCTTAAGACTCCATTTTCGAGCATTCACTTTGTAAAAACATCCTTTGACTATGGTACTAATGGAACACCCTGTATTCCAGGCGAAGGGAACGTCTTATTTTGGTTCACCCAGCAGACCTACGCGTGGACCAACACCGATTACGCCTACTTTCAGGGAATTCGAAGCGTGCTCAATTCGCTCGCGCTTTCAATCGCTGTACCCGTAACGTCCAAACTGTTCAGTTTGCGTGACATTACGATCGTTGTGCTATCTTTATTCGACAAGGTGATCTCGAATGTCATTTGCGTGACCGTTAAAACCTCGCTCGGTGTCTACCTGGCCACAGCGGTGGGTACACTGACGATTGCCGCGAGCAGCGGAATACGTTCGCTATCGTCGACGTACGTCTCAAAGGGGGACGTCGGCAAAGCACAATCGCTACTGTCGATTGTCGAGGCCGTCGCGACGGGCGTTGCCACGTGGATCTACAATCGAGGCGTCTACTACTACACTCACAACAGTTATCCGTACACGTTCCTACACTTCAGCAGCTCCGTTTGTGTTCTAAGCGCATGCTTGTGCCTGTAAGTACTCGCCATCTCAGAAAGAGACTACCTAAGCGAATTTTCAGGTGGAAAAGCCGCAACGAGCTCAGCGACCAACAAGATTTATGCAATAAGGAAAACTCACCTCCCTGAATGAGAACACATAAAATTAGCTTATAAAGCAGCATTGTCGCAATTAAATTAACATTTTTCGCACTCCGATCACGTTTATTAATTACAGGCGATTAATTAATTTAAAATAAAAATGAGGTTGGGTCGTGTCGAAAGTTCACATTACCGGTTTGTTTTTTGGGTTACGCAAACTTCACAGACGATCTTCAATGAAATGTGTACGCCTTGTACTTTGCCACACATCGATTAATTGTTTATATCGCAAGGTTATGGCATATTACTCATTATTTATTTATTTATTAAAAGGGTACACTGACGTATAACTTGTGTTGACAAACCTACGATGTTTTTAGTGACTTTTAGTTAAACAGGTCTGCCAATCTCTAGTCCAATTGTCATTGTTGGTGATGTACAGGGTACGTAGTTCGGCAAGGTTTAATACACAATGTACGATGTGTTGCCCACCACATTCTAGTGAGCAGGCTAGGGAGTTGTTTTAAAAATGTGTTGAAAGGCGGGAAAGTTTTTGAAAAATCACAAACAAAACTGAATCTGTTGTGATTTTCTGATTATACCGTTGGATCAACATAAGGCCGTTTCCGTAGTAGGTGTCACGCAGGTTTAGCTATACCCCCACCTTGAAATTGGAGTACATCGATTGTTCTACACACTTTGTATAAACTTCAAAATATATGGAGCGTTTACCGTTTGCGGTGTAAGAGTCACAGCTGACAGCTAAACTAACCTCACTTTGTGAATAGTGTTAAAATGTACATAAGAAGTTAAAATGCAGCAGCCACTTCTCCATTTCGTCCCCAAACACCACCCACCCTCCAGGTCCGACGTGCAAACCTTCAAGAATTTCATCGACATAACACAGAAACTATTAGTGCTCACGGGTGCCGGAATCTCTACCGAATCCGGTATGTCTCCAACTGTTGATCGTCCTTTTCGGCAACCGTAACTCGTAGGGATCCCGGACTATCGGTCGGAGGGTGTCGGTTTGTACGCCCGTTCGAATCACAAACCCGTGCAGTACAAACAGTTCCTCGACTCCGAGGAGGTACGTCGTCGTTACTGGGCCCGAAATTACGTCGGCTGGGAGCGCTTCTCGAAGGCCCAGCCGAATTTTGCACACGACTGGTTGAAGGAGTGGGAGGTGGACCGTGGTCGGGTTGGTGCAGTTGTTACACAGAACGTGGATGGTCTCCACGGTAAGGCGGGTAGTGCTAACGTTATCGAGCTGCACGGTACTGCGTACAAGGTGATTTGTCTGAGTTGTAACGAGAGCTACAGCAGGCACAGCGTGCAGCGGACGATACAAGAGTTGAATCCGGGGATGCACGAAGCGACTACGATGATTCGACCCGATGGTGACGTCGAGATATCACAAGTATGCCACCAAATTCCTTCCAGACTTCCATACCATACAGTTTCTAATTTCAGGAGAAGATAGCGCAGTTTAAACCCCCCGAATGTCCCCGATGCAGCGGCGTACTCAAGCCAGACATCGTATTCTTCGGCGATAACATACCTAAAAGTCGAGTATCGAGAGTCGAGGCAGCTGTATGCGAAAGCGATGGAGTTTTGGTTTTAGGTTCTAGTTTATCTGTTTATTCGGCCTATCGTATAATACTGCAGGCCGTGGATCTTAAGAAGAAAGTTGCGATTGTTAACATAGGGAGTACACGGGCCGATCATTGTGCTCACTTTAGAATCTCTGCAAGATGTGGAGACATCTTAAGGCAATTGCAGACTGTTCTTTGATGTTAAATGAATTGTAGTTGCATAATTAGTTGTTTGTTGTAATTTTTGTCGTTCATTATTCAATAGTGATGAAGTCGGAAAAAAACACCAATATCAATCACACCAACTGATTTTATCTAGGGACTTTTGAAGCCCTCTAGTGGTTGTGGAATAAAGCTTCCAGTTACACCAGCGATGTCTTCGACTTCGAGCAATAAAAGCAGGCAACTGAGTAGAAGCCTATATTTAAAAAGTGTTAACATTTTATGTGCGAGCACCTAACATAAAAAATATGTACACGTTGAGAGCATAAGCGGCAGATTTGGTTCTAGTAGTGATTCTGGAAATAATTAATATTTCCGGGCATCGGCATCGAGATCCCGCCGATCGGGTAGGGAACATTCGGCGCCGGATTCGGATTAATACCCGGAAAGTAGTTACTGTTAATGTTAACAGGGGGCGCGTTCACGTAGCTCGGTACATTATTCAGAATCGGATCGCTGGACAGAATTTTCGCCATTTTCTCGGCCTTAATCAGTCTCGTGTGCATCACGATTCGTTTCTCGATGAACTCCTCGAGGAATTGGTCGAGCTCTATTTCGTTGGAGAGAAACTGCGACGTGAGCTTATCGGATTCCTCCTCGGTTTCGCTGGCTGCCGTCTGTAGAAGGGCCAGAGCGGTTTCGAGCGACATATCGCCGGTCTTCTCACCTATGGAGAAACGAATTCACGGGGTCAATCTCACGAGGTGGCCAATCTTACGTATCTCGTTCATTTTCTCCTCCACGGTTTTGTAAATCTCTTCACCGTCAGCTGACAGTTTCTCCACGCGTTCCCTCCCTTCGATTAGCGCGGGTTCCCGAGTCAAGTTGAATTCGGATAGCGAGCTGTTGCTTGCCAGTAAAGTTTCCTTTTCCTGTTCAATCTCTTGCAGATAACTCTGGAAAAGGGGGGGTTGGGTGGAGGACATGAATCACCGCAACTAACCTGATTGAGCCCCTGAAGGAGAGATTCGATTTTCTCTTCATTGTTGATGTATTCGTCCAGCTGATCGTTTGTTAAATTCGACAAGGATCCGAGTGCCCTTTTGGAATCCGCTTGGAAAACTGCTAAGGACATTTTTCACTTTGTTTTTGTTTTGTACAGCTGGGGGAAAATTTTTGACGGTTGGCTACAACTTCAGGTTGGTACTTCACAACTGTCGAATCACGAACATACAGTGTGATTGCGTTTAGTGACAGACGTTTGCTATCAGCATCAAGTTATGGAAAACGAACTGGAAGAGCAGTTTATCTTACGTCTCCCCTCCGTAAGTACCTCCTTTTCTACTTCCTTGACATCTTTGTGTAAACATTTCACAACCCCCACCAACTGTGGGTTGTGCAGACTGGAATTCTTTTGCAATTTCGAAATGCAAAACAGAAAACCTCGACTAAAAAAAGTTTACTCTCAAGCCTTCCATTTGCAGAATTTGAAACAACGTTCTGGAATGTACGGCAAAAACATTCCGGTCCTTATTTTTTCAAAATGAGTTGCTCCTTAGTGATTCAAAATTATTCGAATTTTTGTGGGGGTGGTCATGAATTATAAACGGTCTTGGAGATTCCCATCTCGATTGAAACGCTATATTACGAAAGTGTTGTGACCGCACGTCGCAGACTCCGCAATAACGTCGTCTGATTGGTCCACGCAGTCTCACCCGCGTGCGAGCCCGACCTCGAACTTCCGATTCGACCACCTGTAACCGAGGACACCCGAAGAACCGCTTACAGAACAGCCCGAAAATCCATTGTATATATTGTAAATAAATTCATTGGTAACCTAGCATTTTTTTGGCACCGCCCGCTAAAAAAGAGTTGCCCAGAATCAGATATCGTATCAGGAGCACAACGAAGCTAAACGAAGGCGAGGAGTATCAGGAGCGCAAGATTGTAAGAAAAACGCAAATATCTGATACCATACTGAGCTCCTGATACCTCTCCTCTCATATATAAAAAAAGTAAATTGAGTCAAATACCATAGGTACTCATTGCTTTCTAAAACTATGACTCTGAATCGAAAAAAAAGTAATTCGCAGGCGCTCCTGATACATAATCGCTTGGTTTAACAAAACCATCTAGGGGTCAGTAGCCTCAGGAAGCCGTAATTAAGTCTATATAGCGTGATGGTATCAAAAAGGAATTGTTTCCATTATGCGCCCCTAATATCTCTCGTTTTTATTTAGCGTGAGCACGCGTTCTACATAAACTATTATGATCCTTATTCGTTTAATGTGGCTTCCTACTTTTGTGCGCTAATCAGGAGCGCATGTCAGGTAATTTTTGGTTTCCTTATTCATTCCTAGTTGTCCTTTTTCTTACAACTCTGCGCTCCTGATATCCCTTTAGTTCGTCGCGAGGAGTTTCAAATAAGTTTCAACATTCAAGATCCGCAAACGAAAGATTTTCACCACGCACGTATAACAATTTGGTTCAATTTATAGATCATTGCGCTCCTGATACCACTGATTATTCGATAATCTTGTGGAATTGGGCGAACATGATTTTGTTTTTGATTGTTTTTGTATCAGAAGTGCAAGATACCGTAAAACTGCCCAAAAGCTTTTCGTACGAACACGAGGAGTATTAGATGTGCAGTGCATCCTTGCTCCTTCCTAATACCATAACTCTGAATCACAAAGAAATCAAAAATTGACTGGTATGCGCTCCTGATACAGAAACGCTTGTCCTAAGCAAACACAAGAGCTATAAGGACCGCAAGATTAAAAAACCAAGAATAAAAAAACCAAAAGTTGGCCAGAATGCGTTCCTGATACACAAACGCCCACAATTGGATTATTTGTAGCAAGAGCCTACAATTAACAAAACGTTCAGATTTTATGTGCACCTGGTTCCATAAAATGATGTAATAACATGGTGTACCAGGAGCACAAGACGTCGTAAGGTGGTCTAAATTGTTATTCTGTGCGCGGTAAGCGTATGGGAAACTTGAACCTTAATTACAACACATGCTTACCCCAAATTAAAACCAGAGGCATCAGGAGTGCAGCATCGCAAGAGGAAATGTAAACTGAGTCAAATACCAATTTAATCCTTCCTGACACGACAAATCATGAATGGGGCGAGAACCCAAAGTTCACTGACATGGGCTCTTGATACACAAAAGCCCTCACAATTAAAATAAGCAAGACCAGAGAAATAAAAAGATCGCATTTTATAAAGTCCGCTTAGTTTATCAGGAGGCGCTGTACTAAGCTGATCTAAGTCGTTACAATGAAATGTGGAAGTTAAAATGCAAAAGAAATGTACCAGGGGCACAGGATTATAAGAAAAAACGTAACTTCTTCACGCCTACCTGTTATCACAAGCCGGGAATAGAGTAGAAAACCAAGAATAGGCTGACATTAAGTTCTGATACAGAAACGATCACAATTAAGTTACTTGTATCAAGAGCGCAGTCGTAAAAAAGTAGCTAAAACCTGCAGCATTTCATGTTCGCTTAATTATATAAAATCAACCAAGGAGCCCTAAGCTCGTTTGTGTACGAAAGTTAACTGAAACCCGTGCGCGCGGTAAACGGAAACGAGAAGTATCAGGAGCGCCAGAAAAACCGTATACTGAGTCACTCCCTGCTGACATTAAAAACCAAAACGCGAGATTGACACAACGTCTTATTACTAAACGATCACCATGTTAAATATATGTATCAGGAGCGCAGAATTAAAAAGCAACTTAAAGCAAATGCCTGCACGTTTCATACTCGTACTACCAGAAGCTTTGTGTATTTGCTGTTTTAGTGCTCAATTTACGTTTTTTTACAATCATGCGCTCCTGATACCTCTTGCCTTCGCTTAGTGCTTGCACACATTTCGTTCTGTCATTCTTCTCGCATAGTAGATAATTTTATGCAACCAGGCGAACAGGAAATGCAGTAGGTGGCACCATGGATTAGTTGACGACTTTTTGTGGGGTAAGGTAGTAGTATGTCTTTACTGTACAGAAACAAGCCAAAACCGTCCGTAAGGCGCTACTTAAGGGAAAGAAAAAGAAGTTCAAAAATGTGCTTTCCATTTCGCTCGACAACGACAAGGAGATACGCACGGGCGAGGTGAGGGTGAAGACGGAGACACTTCAGGCGAAAATGGTCAACCTCCCTTGCGTAATCGACTCGAATACCACGACCGATAAGACCTACATCTTCAAGACGGCGAATATTTCGCAGATGTTGGTCTGCGAGAAAACGCCGACGGAGGGCTCTTCGTCCCAACACCCGCACGGCTTGGCGCCGCCCTTAAAGAACGTGAGGAAGCAGAGGTTTCGGAAGGTGTTGCATAACAAGGAAAATATCGAGGAGGTCGTCGAGCTGGAGAGGGAGCTGCTTCTGCTACTGAGGGCCGACAGTGAAGCGGTATGGATAACTTTAAGCGGCACTTGCCTAATCTTCCGTTATTGTAGTGTTCCACTCGGTTTGAGATACGGTACGAAGACCAGCCTCCCATCGTGAACGGTACGGTTCTGACATCATCACAAAGTTTTAATGCACTGCTTACAGAACGTGTCCTCTTTGGGGAGCCCATAAGTGATTCAGGTGGATCCAGCGAATCTTCCGAAGAGGTGGACAACGTGCAATAATTGAGCAAAATGTATAGGTATTTATTTATTGTATCCAGAGAATTCTGTTGTAAATAAAGTTGTAAGCACACAATGCGAGATCCAGAGGATCGAGAATGTGAGAAAGGTTGACGGAATCAAAGATAGGGAGTGTAGCAGATGGCCGCTTTCAAAAAGTATGGTTTTGAGTTTGTATTTTGGTAAACATAGGGAAATTTCCACATACATATACCGCTTCATAGCGAACATGAACGAAAGTATGTCAGGAAATTAAAGCCGATAACACGGTGCTCATTTTGAGATAAGCATTGGGGATATTTTAGACAAGAGACGAGGCTAGCCTTTCATATAGTTCGTAATAGTTCATTTATACATGATAAAATTTACGCGAGGCGACATTTTCGAATTGGAGACGCGATCGGTTAAAAGCAAGTTTATCAAAGTTAAGTGACACATTTGGGCAGCGCTTTTTGTGAAAAATCACATGTTGTATACAAAGGTGTTGGGCGTGAAATTTGAAGACAATTAATTGATACCTTTATTTTTTGTTTGGCATTCATCCGAACATACCGGGACCATATTTCTAAGTGAATTCATCTTTCCAAAGAGAGATAAGATCAATTCGTTACCAGAAGGGATTATTACCTACGTCAATTACTGTAATCTGTTTGGTTTGAAGAAATTTTGATATTCCTAAAGAAATCGACCTGCGAGAAATATTGACAGAAACAGATTTTGTATGGTATTTATTGATAAAAATGAATTTTTTGTTTCATTGATTGAAAATTTTGCGTTTACTTTCAGTAATACTGTTCCTTTGGGTGGATTAAAAGCATTGAGAAGGGGTTGTATGCGTGGTAAAGATAAAATATGAAATTTAGCATGGACATATCACGAGATAAGGAAACAAATTGTTGGCACGTCCATTTTGTTTTGATTAGAAGAACCTACCATCAAAATTTCGATCAAATTGCTCCACAAATATGGCCCAAAAAATGTATTTTCGATGAGCAATAAGGTTTTTCGATGGCGCACAAACTTCAGTATTGTTAAAGAAATAAAAATTTATTTTTTATCATATTTATACATTTCAGGTCTGAGTAATGTTGTGTTTAGCCTTTTTCTTTGAAATCTTCTTGTCTAAATCGCCCATGCTTTTCCGCCGTTTGTGCTCCTTTTGTACACCGTTCACTTTTGGCACACCATCACCCAACTCGCTATCCTCCTCGGCGTTGTCATCAACGTTAGGCTGAAGCGTCGCAAAAGATAAGTTCCCGATACCTTTCGACATACCTTCGATCCGTCTGGTTTTCGCCTCCTTCCTCTGCTTTCCAAGCTTGACCGTCGGCGACTTTTGTCGCTCGTCGTCCAACTCCTGTCGGCTGAACTTGACGATGTTCTCGCTCATTTTGACGACGTGGGGGATGTGCATCGCCTTGCACAGTTGGCTATAGACACTCTTGCCGTCCTTCGATAGCGGCACGTGCGAGCGAAATTCGCGCACTTTTTCCCCGATCGCCGCCCAATCGACATCCGTATTTCGGTCGGGATGCAAAAAGATCGCCCTGAGCAAACCGAAGAGGTTGCAGACGAACTTCTCGCGCATCGCCTTCTCTTGGGGATTCGCGCAGAAGTCGCCCAGTATTCGACGGACCTCGTCCAGAAATCGTCGCTCCTCTTCGCCGAGTGCCTCACGATAGTTCGCGTGCACGCGGCGGTTCTTGTAGAAGATCTGCAGAAGCTCGAGCGCTTGGTTGCGTCTGAACGGTCGTATTTCCTCGTTGAAGACGAAGTTGAGGAGGCGAGGCACGAACTTGAGGCAGCCGTCCCAGTTCATCTGGAAAATCGACTTGAAGAGGAAATAGGGCGTGAGGCAGTCGCGCTGGTTGAAGTAGGTGTCGATGGCCTTCTCCAAAATTTGGCCGATCGCGCGTTCGCACTTGCGCCTCAATTTGGGGGGGAGGGTGTCGTTCTGAGCGCACTTGATCACGTACACGCAGCAGTTGGCGATCTCGTCCGACATCTCCTGGACGAGCATTGCGTTTTTCGTGCCCTTTTCGAGTAAGCTGTCGAGGAAGTTGGCGAGAGTTGTCTCGGTTATGCCGTCGACCGAGCCGAATTTCTTCAAATTGGCCAGCTTGCGTATGCAGTGCCGTGTGCGCGCCAGTAGCGGTTTCTGGTGCTCGTCTTTGATGGCGAACTGAAGCATCTGGAGGAGAGGCAGCATCATCTCCAGGCAGCTGAGCATCGCCGGTTCCGAATCCAGGTAGATCTCGAGCAAGTCCATGACGCGTACCCTGAAGTGCGTCAACGTTTCGTCTTGCTTGCTCTGCTTCTTGCTTTTGCCGCGATTCGGCTTGAACTGCCTGAATGCGTCGGCCAGGGCCGTATCCAGTCGCTCTGCGTCGTCCTCGGTCATGTCATCCAAGTCTACACTCTCCTCGTCCGTTTGATAGCCATTATTTCCTAAAGCCTCGCGAACGGCGGTCCTCAACCGATCGTTAACCGTCTCGTTCTCCTCCTCCGGGTCGCTTCCAGGCCCGTCGCTTTCTTCCGACTCGGACTCAGATTCGTCCTCCTGCGACAGCGGATTCGTGTCGCTGTTCGGGTCCAGGACTGACAATATCTGGTGCATACTCGAAGCCGTCATATACTTACACAAGTAGGGGAACACCGAGCCGACGATGTTGCGCAAGAGCAGCGAGTTGTGCGAGAGCAAGTTCAGGAAGAGATCCACGACTACGTCAATCCAATCGGGATCGTCCGCGTCCTTTTGCTTGTGCGAGACGCGCTCATAGCACATGAACAGTTCGTTTAGCGACGACACCGCCAGCTCCTTTTCGTTGAACAGCTGAAGCCCCATGTGGAGAAAGAGCACGCGAAACACCAAAGCGCACTCGTTCTTCACCTTTTTCCCGATCACCTCGTGCACCTTCCCAAACTGAACCAGTTCGTCTTCCTCGAGCGGGTTCCTCAAGCTCTCCAATTCCGTCTGTAAATACCCGAGGAGTTCGCCCAACACCGAAACCACCTCATCGAGTTTGTTCGACTTCAACAGGTCTAACGCTCGAAAGAAGGTCTCCTTAACGTTTCCGGCCAACTCAATGCCGACATTCGTGTGCTTATTCAAAATGGCGACGTCCATAAGCAACTGAAACTTCTTCACCTTCCATCCCGTTTCGGACTGCACGGCGGGGTGCCCGAGCAACTTGGTGAGCAACTGCGCGGCGTAGATGCGTTCGGAATTGAGCCACGCCTCCGTCCGATCCTCCCCGATCACCTTCTCCTTCTTCATGACCAAGACGTCACGGTACAAACCGCCGAGCTTCTTCACGCTCTCCTTATCCAGCACGCGCACGATCTTCTGCACATTCTTCGACTTGGTCAGGTGCTCGAACATGAACGAGCCCGGGTAGAAGATCAATTTCTTGATCACCTTCAGCTTGGTCTTCACCTCGACGCCCTCCCGCTGCAGCGACCTGCAGAGCGCGTCGAAGAGGGTCGCGATCTCGTTCTGAAACTCGTCGTCCTTCGTGTTGGCCCGATTCGTCCGGTAGTGTTGGAGTAGCTGTCGTACGAACTTGTCGGAGAGCAGCGCGGGAATCTTGGCCGGGTCTTGGCAGTGAGAGAGGAGGGCGCGGATCAGATGCGAGGCGGCCATTAACTTGAGACGGTTGAATCGGTCCAGTTGTCGGTCGAGTTCGGCGACGAAGTTTACGTCGTTGCCGGTGGAGGCGAGCTCCTCGCCGAGAAGGGGGTACAGGTAGTGCTTTAGGGCGGACGTTGATGGAGGATTCTGAAAAGACAAGAGAGTAGTCAACGAGATGAACAAAAAAACATAATAAAGATATTGAGAATTGTGGAAAACTGGAGAGTTTTTAAGGATCTTGAAGGCCCTGGAAGTATTTAAGGATATGAAACGCTCCTGAAGGCTTTTTTCCTAAAGTTCTCCCGAAAACCTTTTAAGGCCTTTGCAGAGTCAATGGATCTCAAAGGCCCTGAAAACCTAAAGATCTGGAGACGTGCATATTTGACGACTTGAAGGTCAGAATGCACGCAGATCCAAAAGTTTAAAGGTTCAAAAAATTGAAGGCACAAACCTGAGCCCATGAGCGAAGGGGCCTGGGGGGGGGGGGGAGGGGGGGGGGGGTAAAAATTAATTTTATCTCTCATTGCATTCTAATTAAAGGTCTCAACGAAAGGAACAGTTTCCTACCAACTACTGCCCTTCTGTCCTCTTATCAAAGTACGGAGTGGAGGGAGAGGGGAGGGGAGAGAGGAGTGGAACTAGTTTTATCCTTCATGGTACTCTAATGAAAGGTCTCAACGAAAGGAATTAATTTCTACCAACCATAGCCCTCCTTCTCGACCTCTTATCGTGATCGGGTATATTCCCTTATACCTCAAGAACGGATTGTCGGAAGAGGGTACTCACAAAGAGCGATTGAAACGTCTGCAAGAAATATATCCATAGGTGATGTCAAAACAAAAGCTATTTCGGTTAAAAAATGCGCTTTATCTGCACAAGACCTGTGCACAAAACCTTTTAAGGCCTTTGCAGAGTCAATGGATCTCAAAGGCTCTTTTGTAGATTTGAAGTCTCATGTGATTTCTTGAGCCTTCTTAAATGACTGTAAAGGGTGTCTTGAAAACATGTAAGCTTGAAGGCCTTGGAAATTATTTAAGATCATTGAAAACCTTCCGAGATTTCAAGGTCTGTTAATGCCCTTTCATATCTTTGAAGGTCTGAAAATCTAAAGATCTGGAGACGTGCATATTTGACGACTTGAAGGTCGGAATGCACGCAGATCCAAAAATTTAAAGGTTCAAAAAATTGAAGGCACAAACCTGGAGTGTCAAGTGTGCTTAAAGCCTTGAAGGCATGAAATCCATTAAATTGAAGACCTAAAAGACTTTGATTACCCACTCCTTCGGCAATGACCCCTTTTATAGCGCATTTTTTAAGAATTAAAAAAAATGTGCTATTGTTTGCGTCCGTCCGTCCGGACTACTTCTAGGGGAATGGTCCTAGGAGTCCTGGAATGTTTTGCAGTAGGTAGCCTATACCTTGAAGGTGTGCCAGGCGACCATTAAATTTCGCTGCCTAAAAGGGGGACCCCCCCCCCCCCACGAATTATTTCCTGAGATGCTGTTTTTGAAAGTAAAACGTGCGTAACTTACGACAACCAATTGGTCTCAGATTTTGCAAACGCATGCCTTTAATGGTGCCAAGTTAAACTTTACAAAATGGGGGGAGGGGAAGGGGTAAACACATATTCTAACCTTCATGGTATTCTAATGAAAGGTCTCATCGAAATAAATTGGTTTGTACAAACTAGAACTTTCCCGTGCGACTCTTTTTCGAGATCAGTGTGCGACGGGGTCTTGATGGGGGGGGGGGGGGGGGTTAAAAATTAATTTTATCTCTCAGTGTATTCTAATTAAAGGTCTCAACGAAAGGAACCCTTTTTTTACAAACTACTACCCTTCTTTTTATCCTCTTATCAAAGTACGGGGAGGAGGGGGAGGGGAAGTGGAACTAGTTTTATCCTTCATGGTACTCTAATGAAAGGTCTCGACGAAAGGAACCGCTTTCTACCAACTACTGCTCTTCTTTCTGCCCTCTTATAAAAGTACGGGCTAGAGGGGGGGGGGGGGGGGGTTGGAACTAGTTTTATCCTTCATTGTACTCTAATGAAAGGTCTCAACGAAAGGAATTAATTTCTACCAACCATAGCCCTCCACCTCCACCTGTTATCGTGATCGGGTATATTCCCTTATACCTCAAGAACGGATTGTCGAAAGAGAGTACTCAAAAAGGGCGACTGAAACGTCTGCAAGAAATATATCCATTGGTGATGTCCAACGAGTACTACTATACGTTGCCGTCGAGCTTCAGTGTTAAGAACGAGGCCTTTTTCATGCCGATGACTTTTTTTTTGTTGGAACCAGTTCAACGAGTACCACGGCACGGCGAAATAGGCACAAATTAGATTACTATCGTGCTGTCGAGCTTCAATGTCAAGAACAAGGTCATTTTTGTGCCGAACTATGATCCCTTATTTTGATTGAAAGTGCACTCAAGCAAAAAAAGTACCAACATTTCCAATCCCGAGCGAGCTGAAGTCCAGTTCGGCACAAATAAGGCTACTACCGTGTCGCCGAACTTCGATGCCATTTTTTTGTGCCGAACTCGCCTGCGGCTCGCTCGGCAATGAGCCCCTTGTTTGGTTGGGACGTTAGTCCAGCACAAACACATTCAATGCTGAGCCAACTTACTGAAGGCGAGTTCGGCACAAATTAAACTACAATCGTGCCGTCGTGCTTCAGTGTCAAGAACTGTGCTTATTTCGTGCCGTACTCGTTTGCGACTCGCTCCGCAATGACACCTATTTTTTGCCGGAGGCGCATTCAAGTAAAATGATTACCAAAACGGTTAATGCTGAAAGAGGCGAAAGCGAGTTCGGCACAAATCGGACTATTTATCGTGCCGCCGAACTCGCCTGCAGCTCGCTCGGCAATGACCCTCTTCTTTGGTCGGAAGTACAAGTTAGGCGAGTACAACAAATTTCAATGCCGAGCGAGCTGAAGGCGAGTACTACAATCGTACCGTCGTGCTTCAGTGTCAAGAACTGTGCTTATTTCGTGCCGTACTCGTTTGCGGTCCGCTCCGCAATGACCCCCTTTTTTTTGTTAAAAGTGTATTCAAGTTCAACGAGTGCCAAAACATTCAAATGCCGAGCGATTCGAAGGCGAGTTCGCCATAAATCAGATTACTATCGTGCTGCCCATTTTCGGTGCCAAGAACGAGGTCTTTTGTGACCTCTTTTTTTGATTGGAAGTTCGATTGAAGTGAAACGAGAGCGCCCAAGGCGAGTTCGACACAAATCAGGGTATACTACCGTGACGTCGAGCTTCTGTGTCAAGAACGAGGCCTATTATGTGCCGAGCGAGCTGAATGCGAGTTCAGAAGAAGTTCTAAAAGAGAACCTTGAGACGTCTTCACAAACGACCTCTCGGTCTTCCAAGTAAACGTCCTGCAACCTTCACGCCTTAGGATCATCAAGTCAGGGTCTAGAAACCACAGACCTTCTAAGGTTTGAAAGGACCTTCAAAGGCAAAAAATGTGTAAAAATTAAGATTGTTTAATGAATAATATATACAGGGTGTTACTTTATTTGAAAAAAAAACGGAACCGAAGTATCACGTATAGAATTGCTTGATAAACTTCAATGCAACACCGTTGGTCCATCCGAATCCTGTCTGCACGCTGTACTCTCCGCCGCCGCCGTACTGTCCCGGCACCGCCGCATCGTATTTCTCGAACATATCGCCCGCCGTCGTGAAACCCAAAATGTTGGCGTCCACCCACCTGTGCGCCAGCTGATTGGCGAGCGAGCGTGCCCTAACGTCGCCGGTCGACCTCAAACCGTTAATGGCGATGTCCTGTAGCGGCGGCCAGGCGTTCGGAAGGTCCCACTGCTCCCCCGAGTTCAGCACCGAGGTCGGTACGCCGCCCAGGTACCCTAAAATGCCCTCCCGTTCCAAATAGCTGACGGTAGCATTGGCCAGCTGCGGCGCACGCTTCGATTCATAGCACCGCGACCAAAGCGGCGCGAGATTGCTACCGTAAAAGTACCTCCTCTGCTTCAGCGATTGCGAGTCCAGGTCGTACCAGGTGCCGTCGTACCGATTCCAAAACGCCACGTGAACCGCCCTCCTCCATTCCGTGTACTTCGCTTTCCAAAAGGCGGAATTGTCCATGTCGCCTATGGCGAGGTACATTTGGGCGATATCCCGAAACGCGCCGCAGAGGTACGCGTTTAGGTCCACGGGGATGGCGCGGCTCGTCATTATAGAGGAAAGATTCGCGTTGTTGCCGCCGTCCTCGTCGAAGAACCACCTAGACGAGAAATCCCACCCAGATTCGGCCCCGCTCTTAAGATCGACGTAGACTTGCTCAACTCCCTTCGCGGTGGCGTAGTCCTCCCGGTACGATTCCGGTCTTGGTCCTGAAGCTGGTACGGAGTAGCGGGCCAGAGTGAGATTGCAACCCCCAACATTGACGGGCACGGTGCGCTTGTCCAACCAAAAGCGCAACTCCTTGGCGATGTTGTGGATGTGCTTACGCACCCATGTGGTGTTCGAGGTGGCGGTGAAATAGCGGTGGGCCATCGCCGTCAGCAGGGGAGGCTGCGAACGGTTGAGGTAGTAGATTCGGCCACCGTTCGGCATAAACCCGTACTTTTCGACGATGAAAATGAAGTTCTCGATCATTCCACGAGCCGTATCGAACATCTCGCTGATCAGCAACCCCTCGAGGATCCAGTACGAGTCCCAGTAGTAAAACTCGCGAAAACGTCCTCCGGGTATAACGAAACCATTGGGCACCGGAATCAGACTGTAACGGTCCAAGTTCGCGCTTACCTCCTCCTTGATCTTCACGGCGAGCAACGGCCACCGACTGGTCAAGTTCTTCGCGAACTCCCTTACGGTTACGTTGCGGATCCTCATCAGGAACGCGGGATTTTCGACGTGATCCGTTGGCGTCCACTTGTCCAGCTCGTTACCGTCGGCGAAGTTGTCGTCGACAAACTTGGCGATCTCCACCTTGCTCGGTTGGTTGTTGGTCGCGTTCATCAAGGTACGAAAGTTAGTCCAGGTCTCTTCGGGAGAGTGCAGCAATTTTTTGTCGACGAAAGTTTTGCTGTCCTCGTAAATGCGGGCCATTTGGACCGTGTGCAGCAACTCGCCGTGACAGTAGATGTCACTGTCGCACGGAGGCGGTAGAGGCTCGCTGCAGGCGCTCGTCGCGCAAAGCACTATTGCAATCGCCAGAGCAAGCATTGCAATGGAGAGTGAAGGGACACAATTTCGCGCGCGATTTTATATTGCCAGTACCTCTCCAAAACTGTTGTCAACTGTATGGATTAGCCACGAGTAGGGTCTAATCTAAATTACTTACTTCAAGTGACGATTGTTTGTGTAAGTGATAAGAGATAAACAGAACTACCGAAAAAAATGTCGAAATCAACGCCGCAGAAGTCAAGGTCCCGAAATTCTTGCACAATGAACATTTTTATAGGTCGCCACGCACGAATTGAATTAAATTATAATGCGTGAACGATTAAAGAAAAATCGTAGTTACGCTTCAGAACGCTTTGCGGTCATTAAGAGCAATTAATTCATTGCATCATCACCAGATGCCACCACCAAGCGATCTTGTTGATAGCTGTTGCACTCGATACTGTTCGCTTTCATTAGAAACACGTATGAAATTTAATAAGACGTTTGAAAACCCACTCGTCGATGTAACACCACTGTAAATGATCAGTCATGGGAAAATAGACCATAGTCGCCATCAATTAGCGAAAACCCGAAGTCTCTAGATGGCCCAGGCGCCGAGATCTAGATGGAACAGACGAGCAAAACCTGAAAAATGTTATTTAAGTTTTTGAAATGGCCGCTAGGGGGCGTAACTGCAATCTGGAATCTAAAAAAGTGATGTTTTTATGAATTCCGCTATATTAACCTAACAAAAAATGTCCGGTCTTTGAACTTGACGATAATCTGAACAATTTTTATTTGACAATTTTTCCTGTATCTCTAAAAATGAAATGGGGGGGGGGGGGGTATTTAAAGGTTTCCGTAAAGAACACCCTGTATCTTCGAAACGGCTGATCCGATTTAAACAAACTCGGGTTAGTTCAAATACTATTTGAAGTTTTGTTAGTTTCACATATCACCGCTTGAGGGCTTTTTTCGACATTCGACAGAAATGGTACATTTTCTCAAAAAAATTAAATGCATTGGTTCGATTTTTTTCATGACAAAGTGGCTAAATGATGCCTAAACAAGTTCGCGAAAACATCATCTCGATATCTTGAGATATATATACAGTGTGTCCCAGATCGGGTGGGATTGCATGGGTAACTTTGTTATTATTAAGGATAGAGTTATATATATTATAGTTATAGATGCTTATTTAAAATTTCCTGTTGGAAATTCAAAATGTCGCATAGGTTCGACGTAAATTCAAAAATACTAAAATTGGTCATTTCCTTGAATGTCTTATATCATCGAAAGTATAAGAGATACAAAAAAAGTTTTATATAAAAGTTACTGTCTTTGATACGTTTAATTTAGAATTGATGTCAAAAAAATTCAAGATGGCTACTTTTGAGGAACATTTACCAACTTCCTAAAGTTAAATAGGCGCCATATGGGATTTTTAGATTACTTGATAGATTTTTTAATTCTCTTTTCAACGAGCCATCATAACATAAGATTGAAAATAAGTATATCAACGGTTTTTATATTTTAATTAAGTAGGCTGTGATGAATTAAAAAAAACAAAACAAAATCTATTCGAGGCAACAAAACAATGAAAATAATTACATCAGAGGTTTAAAAAAATGTACAGTACATTAAATTATAAAGGTAAGTACTTAATTAAAAAATAAAAGTAAAGTGGAAGTAGCTACCACTACAATAATAATAATAATCATCAATGGCAACACGTTGCCTAAACTAAACTGTCTTGAAGTGTGTTTCACAAATAATGGCCAGTATTTTAAACATCTGGTGTAATTACTTTCATTGTTTTGTTGCCTCGAATAGATTTTGTTTTGTTTTTTTTTATTCGTCACAGACTACTTGATTAAAATACAAAAACCGTTAATATAACTGGTATCTTATTTTCAATCTTATGTTATAATAGCTCGTTGAAAAGACAATTAAAAAATCTATCAAGTAATCTAAAAATCCAATATGGCGCCCATTTAACTTTAGGAAGTTGGTACATGTTCCTCAAAAGTGGCCATTTTGAATTTTTTTTTGACATCAATTCTAAATTAAGCGTATCAAAGACAGTCACTTTTATATAAAACTTTTTTGTATATCTCTTATACTTTCGATGATATAAGACATTCAAGGAAATGACCAATTTTAGTTTTTTTGAATTTACGTCGAAGCTATGCGACATTTTGAATTTCCATAAGGAAATTTTAAATAAGCATCCAAAACTGCAAAACATTGCCCATTTAACCAATTCTCTATCTTTAATAATAACAAAGTTACCCATGCAATTCCACCCGATTTGGGACACACTGTATATATATATTTTTTTATATCGTGATGGCCAGCATTTCGAGCCTTTACGGCGGTATTAAAAGCTTCCTTTTTTAAACCGATCCACCTTAGGGCAACAAATTATATAAGAAAAATAATTCCGGAAAAATTAGCTTAAAAAAATAAAATTTTGAGGATATAAAATTTTCTTTGGCCTAAATTTTAGGTTAGGAACGAGATATCGAGATGCGCTTTTCGCGAGCTTGTTTAGCTACTTTTTCATGAAAAAAAATCAAACCAACTCATTTAATTTTTTTTAGAAAATTATCCATTTCTGTCGGAATGTCGAAAAAAGCCCTCAAGCGGCGATATGTGAAACTAACAAAACTTCAAATATTATAATATTTGTAGCTGAAGAATAACTCTTTTCAATTAACCCGAGTTTGTTAAAATCGGCTCAGTCGTTTCGAAGATACAGGGAGTTCTTTACGGAAACCTTTGAATACCCCCCACCACTTCATTTTTAGAGATACAGGAAAAATAGTCAAACAAAAAAGGTTCAGATTATCGTCAACGTCAAAGACCGGACATTTTTTAGTTAGGTTAATAAGGCGGAATTCACAGAAAAATCACTTTTTTATATTCCAGATTGCAGTTACGCCCCCTAGCGGCCATTGCAGAAACTTACAAATATTTTTTAGGTTTTTCTCGTGGCCGTTTTAGTAATAAATTTTACCGCAAGCCTCTACGATGGACAGGTTCCCAGATACAGTACCTGGCATTCTTATTTGGCCACCCTGTACTGCGTGAGCACCGTATACTTGATTTCATCTATGAGAATTTGGTGCTTTTGTTTTTTCCACACCCCCGACAATATAGCTGCCGTGTTGTTGCTTAATTTTGTTTTTTGAATTCTGCCGACTGATCTCTGGTTACCTTAAAAATGTAATGACACCACAAAATGGGTTCTTAAACGGCGAGCAACCCTTGGACTTTGAACGACAACTAACCTTTGGACTTTGAGCGGCGACCAACCTTTGAACTTTGCACAACGAGCAACCTTGTCTTGTAATCGCCGAGTCAAGTTCAAACTAACTTTCCAAGGTCATTATTTCAAAGATAAATATCGTCCCGGACGGACGACCTAACGAGGTCTTGATCTACAGCTCACTTTGGCACTCTTGGACAAAGGGAGAAGTTTAGGGGCCAACAACTGATCGAACAAGGCTTTAACTCATTTTTCAAAATCACTAGAAAGGGAAATTAATCGCGGTGAATGACCGAACAGACTTTCACCTTGACTTACTCTGTAAGGTCACAGCCAAGCGCCTAACGGCCTTTGAACTTCACCCTAACCTATGCAGCACAGCAAAAAATGGTGTCATTAATCTATGCTAACCTTGAAAGCGAATGCCCTTGAGCTTGACTTGCTTTCCAGGTGACAGGCGACCTTTGAACTTAAATTAAAAAATGTCTAAAATGTGTACAGCAAAGCAAAAAATAGTTTGAGTCTCTACTAAGGTTCTTGTCTAAGGCAAGATACCATGATTGTACCAAAACTTACCAGAACAATATAGCAAATTGCCTCCAAATTTGTTTCGCACAATATCTCGGTAGTACCGATAGCTTTCTGCAAGATGGCGCCCTTCAAAACCGCCGGAAAGTGCCTACGCGTAAGCAGCAGCAAGTACAACGTATCGTGAGTCTGACCGGACCACGGCTTCACGACCTCCTGACTTATCAAATACCAGAACTGCCCGAATTGGCCCTCGTCGCTCTAAAAAGGTCGATCGCAAAATTGAGTGCGCTCGGCGATCTCGACTTACCGTCGTAATTAACTCGCTCAGAAACTTGACGGAAGCGAGCGATAAATAACTGCGGCTCCTACCGGCATTCACGAGCATGCGCAGCGCGTGGTCGCACTCCTCCTTCGAGCCGTCGAAAATTCGGTTCGATCGTATCAACGCGCCGCAGGCGAGAATTTGACCCGTGTAAATTTCGGCGGCCTCCTGCACCCAAACAACCAACGTTAAACCCGGCGATTACCGCATTTAGCGACTTACGCTCTTACTACTGCCGCCTTCGGTTTGTAAATTCTGCCGCACGCATTCCAAGACCTCCCGCAGGGACAGGTGAGGGAACAGGCGTAGAAGTCCGACTAGTGTCGAGTAAAAACCGGCGCGCGATGACGCTTTCGAGCCGCCCAAGCCTCGGATTATCCTCTTGAGCGCGTATTTAATCTCCGCCGTGTCCTGCAATGGGGGTTTAGAGGGCAACGGGTGCATCGGACGAGTCTCACCTTATCTCGGCTCGATTTGTACAGATACTGCAGCAGAAGGGAGCCGTTTTTGATACGTTTCGCTTCATTCTCGTTGGAAATGTGAGTAAAATGATCCAATACCGATTTTCTGAGCTTTCGTGTTACAGTTTCAGCGCCAGCATGCTCTTCCACTGCCATGCTTATGACAACATAACCTAAAAATTGCCCTCGGTGTTCTTTCACATATGATTTGCGGGTGACGTATGTAAATAAGGGATGTAATTTAGGGTAGTTTCCTTTCAGTCGGGTCCCAAAACAATGATTTTTGTAGAATTTCAAGTTTCTGGGCTCTATTGTATTTTTTCAAAAATTCAAACGGTGTTTACTAATACGTAAAGGTGTAGTTATTGGTTAACTAGGTTCGTGTCTATTGTATCGCTCTTGCGACACACCCAACAGGGTGACACAAAAGACGGCTAGCAAATCACATTCAAACAATAGGGAAGGCTTTATTTATCGCCAGAATTAGGGGTTTATCCTCTAACGCGTAACGATGTCGTTACACAGCGATTATCGTTCGGCAACGACTTGTTATTTACTATTCTGTATGACATTTAAATAACATAATAACAGTGAGACGGAATAGAGCTGTCGTTCAAGGTCAAATCGTTACTACATATATGATATCGTTTGTTAACGACAATATACAGAATAGACCCCTTAATTCTATTCTCGTTGACTTATTTTGCTCAAAATGTTTTTAGCCAAAGTTTCCAACTCCAAAAACCGTAGACCAGTCATAGAAGGCCTTAAAGTGAATTTAGATGCTCTTGCACCTGGTAAAGGGCACAAAAAGCTGTTAAAAACACGTGTAGTTCCTTAAAGATTCTTTTAAAGTACTCTTAAAAGCTCTTAAAAACTGAAGGAAAGCTCAAAAACTCATGAAAATGTGTGAAAGCCCTCCCTCACTGCTATTAAGGACTCTTGAAGATTTCATAAAACTCCAGAAGGGCCTTGGCCTTTAAAATCAACTCTTTATTGGTCTTAGAAAATGTTTAAAGGCTCTTGGAAACCGTTGCAACCGTTTAAACACTTTCGAAGTACCCTATGACTTAAAAATCGTAAAAACCTTTACCATTTCTTGAGACAGTTTCAGAGCACTTAAGAGTATTTAAGAATGCTTCAGGGTGTTTTACATTTTAAACGCCGTTAAGGTCCTGAGTCAACTTTCAAACACGTTCTAAAATACTATGCGATCAAAAATGAGTTGTTGTCGAGTCACCTTTGGAATTTTTGTTTACATGAAAAATCGTACTTAACTTGAACTTCCAAAGGCAACTTGACAGCAACTCATTTTTGATCTCCCGTTATTCTACAATCTTTAAAATTGTAACTTCTTTAGTTCTTTTAGTTTTTAAGTGCTTTCAGTGGGCGTCAAGAGTCTTCAAGAGTCATCAAAGATAGTTTTTTGAAATCTTCTTGAGGCACCATGAATTGTTTTGGGAATTACATTCATTCACTACTCTAATCCTCTCCGATCTTTCACGACCAGCAAGGACAGATGCTCTTTTCGAGATTTCGATGCACTTCCCTGGGACATTCAAAAAGCATAGAAAACCCTTCAACCCTCTGTCTATCTTGATAACACCCTTCTGAAATATGTCCAAGGTCTCATGAAGATGCTGTTCTAGAATGTAGCGGGGGTTGCAGACAAAGACGTTAAATTCTGGGAGCCTGTAAGAGGATGTGATGTTGTGGAGATGGTAGAATCATTAATAGAAGACAAGAACTGGGAGTAAATAGGGAATAGAACATCGAGTGCATACATATAGAATTGTGAAGAGGAATATCAGAAAAGGAAGAGCAACAGGAATCATAGTAACAGGGGCAAAAAGGAGTAAATTTGAGGCAGTAATGAAAGAGGAGGAAGGCATACAGGAATGACAAGTGGAATTGGAGGAGAAGAAAATGAGAGTGATAACTATATACAACAGAGAAGGAATGAAAAAGAGAAATATGGTCAATGGAGGCGTGGCTAACATTGGCGAAAGATTTAAACGCTGGAACAGGGAATAAAGGAAAATGAGAAGAGATGGGAAGAGGAACACTAGAGACAAAAAGAGAGAAATGTAGTGGATTAGTGTCAGCAAACAGAGGATGGGAAAAATTTAAACGTAAATATATGGAGGGAGATGGAGACGGGCAATACTCATACACGGGAGAAGAAAAGGGAGGTCGGTAATTGATTAGGTACGTACTAGTAAACCACAATATGGAAATGAGTCTAAGGGAGGAGACAAATGGATCAAGAAATAGAAAGATACAAGGAAGAAGGGAGATACAGTTATGAACAGGAGACACTGTGGAGACTAGAGGAACAAGAAGAAGAAATAGAAGATAGTACAAAGGAAGAGTGGAAACATTTGAAGAAGAGCATTAAAAAAGCAACAGGAGAGTGTACAGAAGAGCGAAACGGTGACAGAGTAATGATGGAGAAATAAAATAAGGAGAGATAAAGAAAGAGACGAAAGAACAGGAAAAAAAAGATAGATGGAGATACAGAAATAATATGAAGAAGAAAGCAGGGGAATAAAAACAACGAAGAACTTTTAGTATTGACAAGGAGAAGCTGAGAAAATTATAATAAACAAGAGATGGAAAGGAGGAGGACTACCGGAAAAATGGAAGGAAGGGGCGAGGCCGAAAACAGATAGCAAAAACTGTATGTACAATTATAAGGGAATTACGATAATAATTAATAACGACTGCACACAGAATATATGGAATGATATTGAATGAAAGACCAGAAAGAGAAATAGAAGAGGAAACACAAAAGAGGGATTCAGAAAAGGGAGGGGAACGATCGATTGTATTTCTGTACTACACCGCCGAATGGTTGAAAAAGGACTGGACAAAAGAGCGGAAAAGTGATTTAAAGGCGGCGTTTGATAGTGTGGAAGGGGAAAAGGTATATAGAATGATTGAGAGTGGGAAAATAGATAATATGCTAAAGGACAGAATCAGGGAGTTATATGGAGAGACAAGAATAGGATAGGTAAGTATAGGAGCGAAAGAGTCTGAAGTGTTCTTGACTTTAAAAAAACTGAGACAGGAATGTCCCCTTAGCCCAACCCCTTATTAACGAGCTCCTAGCGAGTTTATAATTTTGCGGTGTCTGTCCGTCTGTCCGTCCGTTAGCACGATATCTCGATAACGAATGGACGGATTACAAAAAAATTTTGTAGGTGGATTCTTTATCAAATTTGTAGATCGGAGTTCGTGAATTGCCAATGTAGCCCAAAAAATAAGGAAAGCCGTTTTGACCGAATTGCATGAAATTCAATATGCGTATAGCTTCAGCCATATAAAATGCAATTCCAAAAATTGAGCCTAATCAATCAACAGTCACAGTGCCCTTTTCGCATCTAGGCCATTTACAAACCGGATTGCAAACTTTCTTATTTATGAGGGGATTTAAATGAAATTTGATACATAGGCACTTGGAATAAAGGCAAATTTAACACCAGTTTCAAAATTTGGTTTTACGCATGCGCAGTGCCAACTTTCTTATTTATGGAGGGATTTAAATGAAATTTGATGCATAGCCACTTGAAATAAAAGTAAATTTAGCACCAGTTTCAAAATTTGGTTTTGCGCATGCGCAGTGCCAACTTTCTTATTTATGGAGGCATTCAAATTAATTTGATACATAGCCACTTGGTTGGAATAAAAGCAAATGTAGCGTCATTTTTCAAATTTGGTATTGTGTAGTGCCAACTTTGTTATTTATGGAAGCAATTAAATGAAATTTCATACATATACACTTTAAATAAAAGCAAAACTAACATCAGGTTTAATATTTGGTTTTGCACATACCCAGGAGCTCGTTTTCTATATTTGTTTAGTTCATTTAATTTGTAGATAAGAGATATGGAGAAAATACTATGACAAGGTCAAAATGGGAAGAAGGAACATGTGGTCGGTGGCATACACTGTCGACACAGTAATAATGGTAACAGAAGAGGATGAAGGAAGTGATGGGAAGAATGGAACAGTATTGGGAAAGAAAGGGAATGGAGTTTATTGGTACAAGCCCAACGGGTAACATGGAGTTAGAAATCTACTATAATAAGATTTGGGAAGGAAAGAGGAAGGAAAAGGAAAATAGAATGGAAATGAAGAGAGGAAAGGATAGAGGAATATAACACGAAATAATGGGGCAACTGCACAAGCGAATTAAGAAAAAAATTGCTGTCGCTAGCACATATACCACCTGTACACCTGGGCATGAGCGATTCTGCCGTTTTATGACTAAAAATATGTGTACTAAATTTGGATCCAATCGGTTCAGTCGTTTATAGTCGGAAATGAGAGTACAGACAGACCGATCGACATCATCGATATTTTTCCTAGCGTTTCAAAACGTGTATTTCCGTAAAAAAGGAGGGGGGGTCATTTTTAACCCCAATGCAATACCTCCCTTACTAACGTGCGAGTGGTCAGAACTAGAAGAAAACCTTTTTGAGGCAATGGCGAGAGGGGTGTTGATGTATGGAACGGAGATATGGGGTTGGACGTAATGGGAAAACCAAAAGGAATACAAGGAAGGTATTACAAATGGGTACTGGGACTTAACAAACGAATACCAAATTGCAAAGAGGAGGAATAAAAAATGGAGAAAATAAGGATAGCGTCGGGACGCAGGACGCTCAAAATTGAGGAAAGGAAAGAAAGAGAAAGTAAATTGGTGAAAGAATTGTGATAACAGAGAGAGAAAATACGAAGAAACAAAGGAGATAATGGAGTGGGTGCCGAAATAGGCATACGGGAGGGCACGAAAAACGTCAAACTAGTTGCCAAGTTCAGATGCGGAAATGGGCACAAAGGAAGGAGAAGTGAAGGCAAAAAGAAGAAAGGAAATGCAGACTTTGTGGTGAGGAAGTGTGGGAGGAAAGGGCGAAGCAACTTACGCTAAACAAGATCCTATCCTTTATTGATAAGAGCAGGCTCTGAACCCATTTGCGAAAGAAAGAGAGGGCATTTGGTGTGCCTAAGTGCTGCCTGGTCGAGCTCCCCTTATGAATAGATACAAAGCTAGATAGAAGGGGAAGATATTGATCATCTGATATAGGAATGCAAAGAAGTACTACAAAGGAAAGCAGGAGTGAAATACGGGAAGAGGAGCAAATGGACGAAGAGGATATTAGAAAAAAAAAGGAAGAAACACATAAAATATGATGTACTTAAATGTAGTGCCAAAATGCAAAATGGCGCAAATAAGGGATTGTCCGATTGATATAGGTACCGTAGCAGCTGTTTTCCGAGGAGGTACAAAGAAAGCTGTTGAAAGGCTCGAGAGAGATGGAACGACGCTTCCGAAAAGGTTTTGTAATTAAAAAAAAAGGTGAAATGTCAGCAGTTTCGGTGCGTATGGCTTGAGCGCCATCTTTCGTGATTACCAGTAGACTTGATTTTAAGCAGCAAAGCCGTTGGTAATGTAATTAACCCGAGACTGAAAACTAAAGCAGAGCTAAATCAAACGTCCAACCACATGTGAAGATTTTTTTATTCCGGCATATGTTCATGTTATCATTTTTTGCTGCCGCGGATGATTACAGATGTTTCACGTACGCCAACGATCTACATCTCTATCGCTCCCGTGGAAAATTCGTCCTTTTTCCCCTTCGATCATACTTGCAATACTCTGCACGATATCTAATCCTCTCGCATTGAATTCAGTCAGAAGTCATCATCCCATTTCAAAATGACTAAAAGCTTAACGCGCGCGCTTCTTGTATAAGTACGAGGCGAGTTCGGTTACATTTACCTGACGCCTAAGAGGGTAAAAGTGGAACGCCGCCCTTAATTTTTGCGCGCCAGTTTTCGATTAATTGGAAAACCGCACGTTCAAATAATCAATCGAATATCCGGAGTGAAATTTGAAAATTTTTACGCAAAGTGTAAGTGTTAATGGGTAGCCGGAAGTCTGGTTATGTTGATAAAACAGGAAATTCCTTACCGCAGCGTTTATATTTAGATCAGAGGAAAACGGTAAACCTTTGACTTATTAACAATCGAAGTTAGTCACGGTTTTTTTTTGTTATGTAAACTTTCCCAAAAAAAAAGGTGACGAATTTGGGCCCCTTTCCAACGTTGCAGTTTACCAACTTATCAAAATTCACAACATTTGGTTCTATACACCTTTTCAGGTTGGGGGAGGGAGTTCTCGCACCCTTTAGATTTTGAGAGATTCTGTGATTTTAATTATATAGGGGGTTCCATAAGACAAAGGGGATTCTTGCTGGTCTTTCAATAATTAATAAAGTCCGAAAGAACGGCGAGAGCGGGAAATTCTAGTACCTTGCTAGGTACGCCAGTCTATTTTTTTTTAGAGAACAGCGTATTCTTATGAAATCTTTTGGAAAATGGGGATACGTAATCGAAACTATTGGGGATGAAATGGGGAAAGCTAGATGAGTCTGAGTTTTCCACCCCTTTTTAATGTAAGTAAAGCACAAAATCAATTCCACAATTCCAATATGGCAGTTGGCACATACCAGGGCCTACTTGAGGTATAAGGGAATAGACCCGATCACGATAAGAGGTCGAGGAGGAGGGCTATGGTTGGTAGAAATTAATTCCTTTCGTTGAAACCTTTCATTAGAGTACCATGAAGGATAAAACTAGTTCCCACTCCCCCCCCCCTCCCCCTCAGGCCCCGTCGCTCACTGATCCCGAAAAAGAGTCGCACGGGAAAGTTATAGTTTGTGCAAGCCAATTTATTTCGATGAGACCTTTCATTAGAATACCATGAACCATGAAGGGTAGAACATGTGTACCCCCCCCCCCCCCCCCAATTTTCTAATGTGTAACTTGGCACCACTAAAGGCATGCGTATGCAAAATCTGAGACCAATTGATTGCCGTATGTAAAAGTTATGCACGTTTTGCTTTCAAAAACAGGAAATAATTCGTATGGGGGGGGGGGCTTTTAGACAGCGAAATTTGATGGCCGCCTGGCACACCTTCAAGGTATAGGCTACCTACTACAAAAAATTCCAGGACTCTAGGACCATTCCCCTAGAAGTAGGTCAAAACGGTAGAAGCCCGAATGCAAGACACTACCTTGGTTTGTGCAGAACTCGCCGGTTCCGGTTCCAAAAGCTACTATTGTCAAACGAACCGAAGGCGCGTTCAACTCAACCCGGTACCTATTTCTTTAAAATGATGCTTGAAACTTAAGGTTTCAGGTTTTAGGTTCCAAATTAGAGGGTTCGGACTTGCGGTTTCCAGCCTCAAGTTTTAAGATTCAGGTTTCAGACTTTTAACTTACAGGTTCCATGCCTCAAGTTTAAGGCTTCAAGTTTCAAATTTTAGGTTAGGATTCAGGAATAAAAATACATGTTTCCTGTATAAAAGTATTCAGGGACAAAGTTCAGATTTCAGGATTAAAATTTCATTTTTCTTGTTTCACGTTTAAGGTTTCATGTCAAATTCTCCAAATTTAAGGTTTTGTGCTCCGAGTTTCAAGCTTCGGGTTTTAGGCTCCAGTCTTTAGGTTTTCAGCTTCAGGTCCCAAGTTTTAGGATTTAGGTTTCGGTCTTCAAGTATCAGGCTTCAAGTAGAAGACTACAGGTTTTATGTTAAGGCTTCAATCTCAGGCTTCAGGTTACAAGATTCAGGTTTTAAATTTCAGGATTAAGATTTCATGTTTCTCGTTTCGTGTAATGGTTTCATGTCCAGGGGCGGACTTATAGAATGTGGCCTGTAGAATCCATAATTTCAAACAGATTGGGCTACTAGTTCAAAAGTTACAGCCCTTTGAATTTTTTTTCGAAATTGGTTTTTAGTCTATAACTTTTGATCGAGAAGTCTGATCGAAAAAGTACGAATTGATTTGGATTCTACGCGCCCAAATTAATAAGAAAAAGTGTTTTCCCGAGAAATTTTGGTGTAGTCAATTTTTGGTAAAAAAGGAAGCCTTTTTTTTGAACCCCGAAATAAAAATTGTCTCAGATCGGCCGCCCGGAAAAAAATTTTCTTTTAGAATGTGGCCTGTAGAATCCATAATTTCAAACAGTTCCAAGAGTGGGCTACTAGTTCAAAAGTTACAGCCCTTTGAATTTTTTTTCGAAATTGGTTTCTAGTCTATAACTTTTGATTGAGAAGTCGGATCGAAAAAGTACGAATTGTTTTGGATTCTACGCACCAAAATTAATAAGAAAAAGTGTTTTCCCGAGAAATTTTGGTGTAGTCGCATTTTTGGTAAATAAGGAAGGTTATACACAGGGGCGGACTGGGTACTTACGGGCCATTAAACCATTAAAGTATTAGTGTACTAATGAAGGTGCCGAGGGGGGGGGGTAGCTCTGAGGTGCACCACAAAAACATTTTAAAGTACACCTTTCTCGAAAATCNGTGTACCTGTCAGTTTGAGTTCTAATGAAAATCAAAATGTGACAGTTTCAAAGTATAACGCTTCTAACACTTTAGACTTTATTTCAGGAGTAAGTATAAGTAACAATACGAACTGTACGATTAATATTAACATTTATCCAAAAGATTTGTAATTACCTACATGCTGATTGTCAAAATATATGTGACATTGTTTTACTTTAACGGCCGTCACTATGACAGCGGCCGCGAAAATGAATTTCGCGGCCGCCATGGCGAACGCGAAGTTGTTGTTTCTCGTCCAATGCACCACAAAAACATTTTAAAGTACTCCTTTCTCGAAAATCAATTACCATACAGTTTTTTTTAATTGCAGCTGATAATTAAAAGTAACAAAATATACAATCCACACGAGGTGCGTCGCCTATCATTGTATTTCAGCTACGACAAAAAATGATAAATTCATTGTAAAACACTTCAATTAAAACAGAATTTTTAACAACCTAACATCAACCCCAATTAGAGAACCGTGTTAATAATTTATTAATAGTGCAAGAAACTAAATACAGCACATACTTATAAATTTCCAACGGGCCATTATGATCTACAGGCTAGGTGGCAATCGCCACCGTGCCAGTCCGCCCCTGTTCATGTCAGAGGCTTCGATTTTACTAACGCGCTGCCATTGGATTTTAGGCTTCATTGTAGTCTAGTTTTTAGGGTTCAGATTTCAGGTTCTAAATTACGGGGTTCAGACTTACGGTTTGAAACCTCAAGTTTTAGGATTTAGGTTTAGCTCCTTAAATTTCAGACTATAGTTTGCATGGTTCAGGTCTTATGCCTCAGGTTTTAGATTTCTGGTTTCAGACTTCAAATATAAGACTACAGGTTTTAGTTTTAGGTCTTTCAAGAATAAAGTTTCAGGTTACAAACCTTAGGTTTCAGAAATGAAGTTTCATGTTTCTTGTTTGACGTTTCACCCCACGGGCTTCAAATCGAAGGTTTCGGGCTTTGGGTTTTAGGCTTCAACTTTTAGTCTTTAGATTTTAAGCGTTAGGTTCTAAATTACGAGGTTTAGACTTACGATCTCAAGTGTCAGGTTTAGGTTTCGGCCTTCAGGTTTCATGCCTCTTTCTTTAAAATGAAGCCCGAATAAAATCGCATCCAGAAATAATTTCCTAACGAACCAGAAGCGAATTCGGCACAACCCAGGGTCTGTTTTTTTCAAAATGATACGCGAATGCAAGGCACTAGCGTGGCTTATGTCGAACTCGCCTCCTGTTCCAAGAAGCTCACCTTCGGTTCGCTGGGCGATGCCATTTTTGCTTGTGAAGAATGAATCAAATGGAATAAAATGATTGACGCTGAGAAAGCCAAAAACGGAATAGGCCCTGGTTTCTGCCGAACCCAGGAGTAAAAGCTTCAGGTTTCGGGATTAAGATGTCTTGTTTCACGTGACATACTCCAAACTTAAAGCTTCAGCTTTCAGCCTTAGCTTCTAAATTACGGGGTTCGGACTTCAAGCCTTAAGGTTTAGGATTTAGTTTCGATCTTTATCTTTCAGGTTTCAGGCTTCAAGTACCTATAAAAGTTTACAGGTTTCCGGCTTCAGGTTTAATGTTTTAGGTCAAGATTCAGAATTAAACTTACAAGTTTCCGGCTTCAATTTTCAGACTTTATGTCCTACGATTCAAGGACAAAGTTAGAAGTTTCTGGCTGCAGGTTAAAAGCTTGAGGTTTCAAGATTAAAACTTTATGTGCTTCTTGTTTGACGTTTAAGATTTCAAGTTACATGCTTCAAATTTAAGGTTTTAGGCTTCAGTCTTTAGGTTTTAAGCTTGAGGTTCTAGAACCAGTCCCAAGTTTTAGGATTTAGGTTTCGGTCTTCAAGTATCAGGTTTCAGGTATAAGACTACAGGTTTCATTTTAAGGCTTCATGTTTTAAGTTTCAAGAATAAAATTTCACGTTTCCTGTTTTACGTTACGGTTTCATGTCACAGGCTTCGATTTTACTAATGCATTGGATTTTAGGCTAGTTTTTAAACTTCAGGTTTCAGGTTCTAAATTACGGAGTTCAGACTTGCGGTTTCAAACCTCAAGTTTTGGGATTTAGGTTTAGTTCTTTAAATTTTAGACTTTTGTTTGATGTTTAAGGTTTCATCTCAAATGCTTCAAATTTAAGGTTTGAGGCTCTGAGTTTCAGGCCTCGGGTTTTAGGCTTCAGTCTTTAGGTTTTAAGCTTCAAATTTTAGGATGTAGGTTTCGGTCTCCAAGTTTCAGGATTAAGATTTGATGTTTCTTGTTTCACGTTACGGTTTCATGTTACAGGCTTCAAATTTAAAGTTACAGGTTTCGATTTTACTAACTTTGGATTTTAGGCTTCAAATCTCAGTCTAGTTTTTAGGCTTCAGGTTTCAGGTTCACGGGTTCAAGCCTCAAGTTTAGGCCTTTAAATTTCAGGCTTTAAAACTTGCATGGTTCAGGTTTTAGATTTTAGGTCTTTCAAGAATAAAGTTCAAAGTTTCAGGTTTCAGGTTACAAACTTTAGGTTTCGGAATACAGATTTCGTGTTTCTTGTTTAACGTTTGAGGTTTCATGTCACAGGCTTCAAATTGAAGGTTTCGGGCTTTAGACTTCAATCTTAAGATTTTAGGCTTAAGGTTCTAAAATATGAAGACACGGTTTCCAGCCTCAGCTGTCAGTATTTAGGTTTCAGCTTTCAGGTTTCATGCGTCATGGCTGTTTCTTTAAAATGAAGCCCGAATGCAAGAAACTAGGATGGTTTGTACCGAACTTGTCTGCGGCTCGGCAATAGTAGCTTTTTCTTGAGAAGGACAGCAAGCCGCGTAAAATGACATCTAGAAATAATTGCCTAGCGAACCAAAGGAGAGTTTGGCACAACCCAATGCGTTTCTTTGACATAAATCTTGAATGATAGACACTAGCAAAGTTTGTGCCAAATTCGGTTCCGGTTCTAAAAGGTGCCATTGCCGAGCAAACCGAAGATTAGTTCGGCACAACTCAGGGCCTGTTTCTTTAAAATGAACCTAATGGTTTTTTTTGCAGCAACTCCATGATGAAGGAGTCCTACACTATGAAGGAATCATCTTTTTGAAGAAAAAGGGCCAGATCCATCCAGCAGGAATCAAGAGGGTAGTGACGCCACATTCAAAACGCCAATTCTAATTTCGCCTCCAATAATAGAACAATTGCGGCTTTCGGCCGATAAACGCCCCATTATCAGACTTTCAGAGGTTAATTAAAAGTTAATGGCTTTTCCGCAGACTTTCCCCCTCGCTTTCCCCCAATTACAAAAATTCCACCTGCGCTTAATCGCGTCGAGCTTAATCAGTTTTTTTCTCAATTTCGATTTCGTTAATTATGCAAAGAAACTCGCCCGGGTAAAACTTCCATTTATCAGCTTTTAATGGTCAGCAACCGATTCCTGATAAAGAGCCTGCGGTCGCAGCCGTTTTTAATTGTTATCTACATTGTCCACATTTACAGGAAGCGGACCCCACCCGACAGGAAATCTATAAAAGTTCCAGCGATCGGCCATTATTATTCATTTCGCATTACGTTGCGCGGGCTATTAGTGAACTTCGGGTTTGGGGTGGAGAATTGAGAACTACTTGCAATGCGGCTCGTCATCGGGTAGCATCTAGCTTGATTTTGAATGCTAGCTGCCTTATGAAGGGCAACATGGCTTTAGTTGACTCGTCAGGGGAGAAGTCGCCAGTCGCCACCTGAAGGTTTGGATTTAGCACTGCTAGAGGTAAGTTTGTTCATTACTAGTTCCAGTTTTTCTTCGCCTGGAGGAATCGGGGGCACCACTTTGGTCGACAAGAAGAAACTGTTGGGTCTCCAAAAGCTTTGGACGAAGTCGAAAAAGTAGGCACCCTGACAGGGATTATTGCAATATACTCCTATGTAAGGTAGGACCATTAACTATCAGAGAAAATATTGTTCAAGTTTATCAAAGTGTTTCAAATACTATACCTAAGGCAGTTGGTTGTTTGTGTACAAAAATATGTATAAATATAAAGACCTTTTTGTTTTATGTGTGTATTTTTTTGCAACAAACGCAATAACAGATATTATAACATTTCAAATTCGATGGAATGCCATTTTGCCAATTTTGGTGGAGTTATCGCACGGTAGGTGGAACAATAAAAAAAGTAGAGGTTCTAAATAAGAGCCTTGGGGCACCCCGGCTGATATATGTAACGGAATCAACCTAAAGGTAAAGTCAACCATGTCTAAATTATGGTTCACGAAGTGTGTTCTGCCACTTATTATTCCCGAAGTTTCCCAAACACTAAGGAAATCTGAACAATTCGCCGTCACGCGAAGGAATCGAAGCGTGCGAAGAATTCAACTTGGGATTGTAGAATTTAAAGAAGAAAGCGTGAAGTGTAATCCTTAGATATTTCACCGACTCCGAAAATTGGAGGTGTTTTTGGAACAGCAGGGGAGTTCGAAGACCTTCTATCTTTCTTTATCTTGTGGTTACTCTAGGTGCTGATTGCATCAGTCGTTGCTAGAATCAGACCCCAGCAGCGCCTCAATATTCGCAAACTCATCCCAGGTCGAAATTGGCATAGCTCTTCGCAGCCTGGGCAGTGATATGCTTCCGTAGCTTCTTGCAGTTGTCCCTGTAGCAGTTGCTGGTGTTGTTGTGGTGGTTGTACTGACGTACTCCCCACCTCAGGTTCGGCAGGGTTACTAGCCCTCACCTTTAGACATGAAAACTGAGCGTCCCCTTCTTGGCGATTGGAGTAGCCTAGTCGGCTAGTCCTGATCCTTCACGGGTGTGTACACCAGCAACCTGGCTTTGCCCAGGATATCTGCACCTCCAAGCACCGCTTGACCGCCACGAGGTCGTCAGGTTCCCCCGGAACCCAGATGGCAACCTTGGGGAGCCTAGGAAATCTCTCTTTTCGCTCCCTCTGGTTTATTGTTTTGATAAGTGTAAATTCGCCCACTAGCTCCTCGCTCACCAGGAAGCCCAATAAGAGGACGTCTATTCAGACACAAGAACTACTGGAAGAATAGGTTCTAAGGGGTAGCAGGGCCCATACAGACACCTGAATGTACTTCGGTGTGAGTAGTGTGGGGTGCAGTGTCGATAACGGTGTCCCTCGAATACCGGGCGAACTCTAAATTAACCCTTTCTGGACTCCTGGTTAGACCTCAAAAGTGCGGTAACGGGATAGGCTCCTCGAAAGAGGTGATGGCTCCAGCGCAGGGCCTTATTGAAGGACCTGGTGGTGGTTCAGTCTCTATTTGCAAGGACTGACGAACAGAAGGCGATGGCCAGGAAGCGCCGGCTCGAGGGTAAAACCTCGGACCAAGCGGGCCCTGCGACTGGGTCGTTGGCAACCCGACGTCAGGGACCAAGCGTCTCAAGCCCTTCAGGGTCTAGCTCAGGACAGCTGGGGACGGAGCCTAGAGGTTCTGAAGCACCCGAAGTTACAGGTGGACCACGAACCTATGGGCGCGGCTGAGGGTGGAGATCGTTCCCGTATCACACCCGGTGGTGGACATCACTGAGCCTTAGTCGAGGTGAATTGCGGCTGCATTGAATGCAGTTGTCGATGGGATTGAATCCGCAGAGTGCTATGGTGACCGAATGCGAGGACCAGTGGACCTTGGGCTGGTTGGAGAAGACCGTCTCTTTTGCTAGATCCTGGGAAAGAGCGTATCTGAAAGTTCAGGGCAACCAAGGTGACGGTTGTGTTATACGGGCTCCCGGATGACACGGCTCAACCCCCTGGTTCTTATGTGGGTGGATAGATGGTGCAGTAGCCATGGTCTTCCGTTAACTCGGAAAACACCGAGGCTGTTCCATTTACAAATAGAACGAGAAAGGACCTTGATGGACTCACTACTCTCCGAGGACGTCAATTAGGTCTCACCAGTAGTTCAGCAAAAAGGCTACTATGGGCATGTACAAGGAATTTTGGTTGTACAGGGTGTCCCATTAATAATGGTCACAGGCTATATCTATGGAACCGTTAATTGCACAGCTTCGGGAACAAAAATTTGTTAACAAAAGGGGCCAAGAGAAATCGCTGGAAATTATTTTCAAGTTTCTAACTTCGCCGCTAGAGGGCGTATGATTCATGGTTAGGTAGAAAAATGACTTTTTCTCTAAAATATACCCAACAAACATGCATAAAAAATACATGCATAGTAATCTTGTATCAATTTTGCATCATTTTGATGGAGCACAAATTGCTCTAGCTCATAAAATATGAGGAGTGGGGAAGGGGAACATCTCTTTAAGGAATTGATTGTAACTTCGGATTAGGTTAACAGATTTTCACAAAATAGGTCTTGTTGGAAGGAGCTCTCTTCGCGGAATCAGATTTTATTAAATAGAGTCTTTTTAGTAAATGTGATGAGTGGTAGAGGGCGCGATGTGACATTAACATAAACTTTGCAGGTTTTTTTGGTAATTTCAAATGGAATGATATTATTTTGCCTTTATTTATTTATTTTGCCTTTATTTTTTAAGTGGGCGGGGTTTCAGCCGAGGCTGCTCTACCAACCCAACCCACTATACATTTACAAATATCCATGCCCGAACCCGGATTCGAACCAGGGACCCTGTACCGCAGTCGAGCATTTATTATATGATATTATCAAATAGGGTGAAATAGTGAGAATATCAGTGAAAACCGGATTTTGATATCTGTTTTCTAACCATAGATCTGGCGAAAATACGAATACATTCACAAATTTTAATTGCAATATTGATGCTCATTCAAGTTGGCTTTGAAACAAAAGAAAACAGAACAAAAGAAAGTTTATCAGTCCTTTCATTAAACGTATTCGTCCGAATTATCACCACGATGGGTGCCCGGCGCATTTCTTGGTAAGCGAGAGTGTTTGAATTTGAGTTATCCTGGCAAATGGATAGAAAGAGGAAGTATTTTTTCATGACCAGCTAGGTCACTCGACTTAACTTGCTTAGACTTAAATTTGTTTGAAAGGATAAAAGACGCACAGTCTTTCTAACAAGGCCAACTACAAGAAACGATATGGTGACGAGAATTAGAAATGTAATTCATAGTCATGGCTGAAGTTAAAGCAACTGTTCTCTCTACACAGCAGAGACTCGTCTTTGTGTCGAAAATAATGGCAGACATTGAACATTTACGTTATTTATAATTATTATTTCTTTTATTATTTACTTAATTCATATTTCTCTGATTTAAAGTTTGAATCATTTTTTTGTTGCTCATAATTAAAAAACTTAGATTGAGTGTTAATTTTGAACTGCCATCGCCTCATTCACTTTGACATCATTATCGGTTGCTATGTGTTCATTTGTTTCAAATCCAACTTGGATGAATATAAATATTGCAATTAAAATTAATTGTGAATGTTCGTATTTTCCCCATATCTCTGCTTAGAAAACAGATATCAAAATGCGGTTTTCACTGATATTCTCACTTTTTCATCTTATTTGATAATATAATATAATAATCATATCGTTCCATTTGAAACTTTTAAAAAAACTTGCAAAGTTTATGTTAATGTCACATCGCGCCCTCTACCACTCGTCACGTTTACTAAATAGACTCTCTTCATGTAAAATCTGATTCCACGAAGAGAGCTCTTTCCAACAAGACCCATTATGTGAAAATCTGTTAACCTAATCCGAAGTTACAATCAATTCCTTAAAGAGATGTTCCCCTTTCCCCACTCCTCATATTTTATGAGCTAGAGCAATTCGCGGTCCATCAAAATGATGCAAAATTGATACAAGATTACTATGCATGTTTGTTGGGTATATTTTAGGAAAAAAAGTCATTTGTCTACTTAACCATGAATCGCACGCCCTCTAGCGGCGAAGTTACAAACTTGAAAATAATTTCCAGCGATTTATCTTGGCCCCTTTTGTTAACAAATTTTTTTCCCCGAAGCTGTGCAATTAACGGTTCCATAGATATGGCCTGTGACCATTATTAATGGGACACCCTGTACATGGGGTTTGAACCATCGTATGGTGGCCTGCCATGCGCAGGGCAATCAACACGAAGCAGCTAGGAAAGTTCAAGAAATTTCTGGGAGTCACTGGACCCCTGGAAACCACGCCAACTTTGACTATGGAGGTACTTCTGGGACTAGAGCCTTTACACTTAGCTGTGAAGGCAGAATATCGGAAGGCTTCCATACGGCTAAACGATTGGGACTAGTGGAAGGATCGCGGCAGCCTTGGGCACGGGCGGATCTGGGTGGAAACGCTAAGATCCCATCCCCTTCTCGCAAAAAAGGGATGTGATCCTGACTGTCTTACTAAGACCAAAGGGTTATAAAGGCAGTGTCTTCGTCGGGACCGAGCGTAACCTAGAAATTGCTCTCTCCGTTGTCCAGGATTAAACACTGGGTGACCAGTCAATTCTAAGCTAAGTGGCAAAAAACAACCGAACACCATGGCCTCCTGGGCCTTCTAAAACTGAGGAAAAGCTAGATTATAAAGATCACCGGGGTCCTTAAGGGGCACTGGATGACCAACTGTCACCTGCATAACATTAGGCTTGTGGAGGAGTCCACGTGCAGGTTCTGTGGCGAGGTAGATGCCGAGCGTGTGGTCTGTCACTGTGACGCCTTGTTTAGAGACATCAACTCCTGAACGGGTGAGGATGAAGCAACTTAGGTTTATCAGGGTCCAATTATTTATTGAGAGGAACGGGCTCTGAACCTAGTTGCGAAACAAAGAGCCTTATGTGCTTAAGTGCTGACTTGTTGAACTCCCCTGTGAATAATTTGATAAAGGGGGCGTGAATAAGAGGCGCAAGTTACGCCACTGATTTTTTTAATGAATGACAGATGTCAGATGGGTTGCCTATACCCTCCGATTTTGTTTTGCCCGTGCCGCTTAATGTTAAATTGCATTAAACATTTATTTAGTCATACTTTTTCGCTGTAATTAAAATATAATTGGCGAATACATATTAACAGCGATCAAATTCGTATAAGTCCATTGTTGCAATGGTCGAAGTCCGCGTGTATGACAAGTTGCCTACACTTCCGCAATTGTCTCTGCGGTTGCTAAGTAGCGTTTTGGCATTTTTGGCAAAAATTCGCTGTATACCTACAAACCGCCGTTTTTTGCGTAAATCCGAATTGCCGAAAAGGAAAATTTAATAAAAAAAAACGGATGGGAATTTCAAAATCTGGTTCTTAAATGACAACGTTGGCTGCCTTGATTTTCCTGGTATCTGGGGACGCGCGTAAGCCCTTTGGTTTTGGTTATCAAATATGGCCGGTCGTGGTGGTTATGAAGATCGCGATAACAGGTATTTCGAATCCCTCGCATTTCTTACGCCCTTCGCTGCCCCAGAAACGGTGTCGGCGGCTCCGTTCCACCCTTTCGCACTGTGCCCATTAACCTAAATGTCAATCAAACCGTCGTACGCGTCTATTTAAACGTTCCCGGTCGAACGTACCCCTTTCTTGTGTCAAATGCACATGTTGTTAAACCTTTTTTTGTTTGTTGTGATTGCAGAGATTATGGGGGCGGCGGTAGGAGAGGAGGCAAGAAGCCCTTTCCGACGGCGCCGCCGTTTACAGCCTACGTGGGGAACTTGCCCACCGGTATCGTCCAGGGGGACGTTAATCGTATCTTCGGTACACTTAAAGTGAAAAATATACGGCTTATGATGGACAGGGAGACGGATAAGTTTAAGGGATTTTGTTACGTCGAGTTCGAGACGCTCGAAGACTTAGAGGCGGCCGTCTCGCTGGACGGGCAAGTCGACGTCGAGGGACAGGAGATTAAAATCGATGTCGCCGACGGTAAGTAGCGTACCGGCTTGAAATGGTTTCGAATTGTTTGTTGTAGGGAAGAAAAACGAGAAGGGTGGCGGATTTTACAAAAATCGAGGCAATCAAGGCGGCTTTCGCGGCGGACGGTCCGGTGGCGATCACAGAGGCTACGATGATTTCGATCGACGGGGTGGAGGTAACAGGGGCGGTTTCACAGGTAAGCTCGATCGGGAACGTGCCAGGTGTATTGTGTGCGTGTTTAGATCGCGACCGAGGCGGTCACAGGGGAAATTACGGCAACTTCGGCGAGGACGGCGGTCGAGATTGGGGTCGGGGCGGCAACAGGCAGGGGGTGCCGGCTAATTTCGGAGGTAGCCGCCCCCGACCGGAACGTAAAGCTTTCAATGACGATGTCGCCAATTCGATACCAGGTAAGCCCACCCTCTTCCGACCGACCTCTCTGATAATAATGTGGTAGATACATCGGGGCGGCCGAAGCTAATGCTACAGCCGAGAACAGTATCCATGCCGATGAATGCGGTCGCGGAAACCTCACAGACGTCGACGATTTTCGGCGGCGCGAGACCGAGAGAGGAAAATATAGAAAAGAAAACTGGACCGGAGAAACTATAAAGTACCGAGAGTTCTTTGTGTGTCTCTTATTATAAGTTTATTGTGAATTATTTAATTTTAAACCGTCGTCCCCCCATTGCTTTTCGTACTAGAAATAAAATCGGCACTTACCAAAGTCGCATATTGTAACAAAATTTCGTTGTTTTCGGCTTGTCTTCGATCGTCCAATGCAAACACTCAGGCAAACAAGGGCTTTTTTTCTTGTAAAAATTTTTCAAAATCAAATCTTACAATTTGTAGTAGATTTAGCGCATAGAGGTATCGCGAGCATTGCAAAAATGTGGTAGCCATTTTGTCGTCGACTTATTTTTGTTTTGGTATAAGCGAGAAATGCGCCATCTTTTTCCAGTGCTTGTGCATGTTGTTACACCTTTTACGTGTAATTCAACGTGCATGTGTATAATATAAATAAAAGCGTAAAATTTACATGCTCTTATTCATTCAATTTTATTTAAACGACTTGCCTCCTGTCGCGAGGTTAATTTCTTTTTTTTTACTTTTATTTATTTCACCTTATTAGGTAAGAGTTGTTTTTTTTTTATTCAAACAACATCGCAATGTGTAGATGATATGTTTTAGTGATATCATTTTTTTGTGCTTTTTAATCTTAATTTCGTTATATCGCAATATATCGATAAGTTGTTGCCAATTCGCATTAACATATGCTGGCAGCTTTCAGTTCAAATTTTTTAAATAAAATAATAAACACTGCGTTTTGATCATTCCGACTAGGCAATGCTGCAGCTGGGAGAGATGGGGGGGGGGGGGGCTCTTGTCCTAATGTGACCAAAGAATTTGATAACAGATTTTCAGCAATGACTCTGGAATCATTACTTTGAAGTAAGTCTAGGTTGCCTGGGTTTTTAAAAGTGGTCATATCAAAATTAAAAAACAAACCTAGGCAGAGTGTTTGCTAGGATGCCCTCCCTTAAACCTTAAGTCTAGGTTGCTTGGGTTGTTAAAAGTGACAATCCCAAAATTAAAAAACAAACCTAGGTAGAGTGTTTGCTAGTGTGCCTTCTCTTAAGCTGAACTTCTACTCTGCCTAGGTTTGTGTCGAACTCGTCTACGGCTCGCTCAACAATGACTTTAGATTCATTTTTTAAGTAAGTCTAGGTTGCCTGGGTTGTTAAAAGTGATCAGTAATTCTAAAATTAAAAAACAAACCTAGGCAGAGAGTTGCTACCTTTTAAGCTGAACTTCTACTCTGCCTAGGTTTGTCTCGAACTCGCCTTCGGCTCCCTCGATAATGACTAGATTGATTTTTTAAGTAAGTCTAGATGGCCTGGGTTGTTAAAAGTGATAAGTACTTCCAAATTTAAAAAACAAACGTAGGCAGAGTCCTTGCTATGGTGACTTCTCTTAAGCTGAACCTCTACTCTGCCAAGGGTTGTGCCGAACTCGCCTTTGGCTCGCTCGACAATGACTCTAGATTCATTTTTTAAGTAAATCTAGGTTGCTTAGATTGTTAAAAGTAATAAGTAATTCGGAAATTAAAAAACAAACCTAGGCAGAGGGTTTGCTAGGGTGCCTTCTCTTAAGCTGAACTTCTACTCTGCCAAGGTTTGTGTCGAACTCGCCTACGGTTCGCTCGACAATGACTAGATTCATATTTTAAGTAAGCCTAGGTTGCTTAGATTGTTAAAAGTGATAAATAATTCCAAAATTAAAAAACAAACCTAGGCAGAGTGTTTGCTAGGGTGCCTTCTCTTAAGCTGAACTTCTATTCTGCCTAGGGTTGTGTCGAACTCGCCTTCGGCTCGCTCGACAATGACTCTAGATTCATTTTTTTAAGTAAGTCTAGGTTGCCTGGGTTGCTAAAAGTGATAAGTAATTCCAAAATTAAAATACACACCTAGGCAGTCTTTTGCTAGGGTGCCTTCTCTTAAGCTGAACTTCTATTCTGCCTAGGCTTGTGTCGAACTCGCCTTCGGCTCGCTCGACAAGCACTCTAGATTCATTTTTCAAGTAAGCCTAGGTTGCTTAGATTGTTAATAGTGATAAGTAATTTCAAAATTAAAAAGCAAACCTAGGCAGAGTGTTTGCTAGGGTGCCTTCTCTTAAGCTGAACTTCTGCTTTGCCTAGGTTTGTGTCGAACTCGCCTTTGGCTCGCTCGACAATGACTTTAGATTCATTTTTTAAGTAAGTCTAGGTTGCCTGGGTTGTTAAAAGTGATCAGTAATTCCAACATTAAAGAACAAACCTATGTAGAGTGTTTGCTAGGGTGCCTTCTCTTAATCCGAACTTCTACTCTGCCTAGGTTTGTTTGTGACAATGACTCTGGATTTATTTTATAAGTAAGCCTAGGTTGCCTGGGTTGCTAAAAGTGATAAGTAATTCCAAAATTAAAAAACAAACCTAGGCAGAGTGTTTGCTAGTGTGCCTTCTCTTAAACTGAACCTCTACTCTGCCAAGGTCTGTGCCGAACTCGCCTTCGGCTCGCTCGACAATGACTCTTAGATTCATTTTTTAAGTACGTCTAGGTTGCCTGGGTTAAAAGTGATAAGTAAGTCGGAAATTAAAAAACAAACCTAGGCAGAGTGTTTGCTAGGATGCCCTCTCTCAAGCTGAACCTCTACTCTGCCTAGGTTTGTGCCAATGACTCTGGAATCATTATTTTGAAGTAAGTCTAGATTGCTTTGGTTGTTAAAAATGATAATTGCAAAATTAATAAACAAACGTAGGTTTGCTATAGGGTGCCATCTTTTACGCGGATAACCTCTACTTTGCTTAGATTTGTGCCGAACTCGCTTTCGGCTCGTTCGGCAATGACTCTAGACTCATTTTTTAAGTAAGTCTAGGTGGTCTGGGTTGTTAAAAGTAATAATTGCAAAATGAAATTAACAAACCTAGGCAGAGTAGTTTACTAAGGTATCCTCTCTTGAGCTGAACCTCTACTCTGCCTAGGTTTGCGACGAACTCGTCTTCGACTCGCTACGACAATGATTCCGGAATCATAATTTTTAAGTAAGTCTAAGTTGTAGACAGAGTAGGGCGCCATCTTTGTTTATCGAGATCTCTTTTGCAAGCTCATTTTTCATCTTATCTCCCGATTTATATTTTATCAATTCCGTTTTATTCGACTTATCAGTGAAAGAAACTGAATAGCGTATGCTTCTTAGTGAGACTTGCTTGTTACATTATTCGCTAAAATAAAATTAATTATCTGGCCAGTGAGAAATTTGAGCTAGAGGTAATATTTTTCCAACTCCTGATTACAAGTTTTTAATTATGAATCTAACTTCAGAAAAAGTAATTGCTATTTTAACTCTTAATCTGAGCTAACCTGGAAGTCAATAACGTACTAACACGTACGGAAGAAGAAGAATTTACCATTTAGCGCGCGGGTTTTCTAAAACTACTGTGACTAGTCAAAAACAAATACTTAGTTTTCCTGATTTTGTTTATTTGCTCTACGTCTTGACCGGTTTACGTAAGGTGTGATCCAAAACCGCGTCTGCTAAACTATCGATCGGCCTTACAATTAACGGTATAAGCGACAAACCCGCGCAAGTGGTCAAGGCGCTTTGGACGAACACTGGCAAAATCTTACTACGCGCCAGTCGGCGGCACGTCAGGCTACAAACCGATCTAATGACCACGCCTGGGAAGACGACGGAGGCCATCAGACGCCAGAGAGCCATATCCGCAAGTGTCAGCAAAACCTTGTCCACGTCTCTCCTTTGCCGTTCCTAAAATCGCGATTGAGCAAACGCTAAGGGCGCGCAACGCAAGCTTACGCGAACTTCGGCGTATTTTCCCGCGGTTTCGGCAACGACGAACGATGCGGCGACGAAGTACGTCATTCGCGCCACTCTCGTCCCGAGCAACGGCCGAAACGCCTCGCCGATCTGACTTGAATATTCTAAGGGATGCGCGGGTTTACTTTAAACAAAAAAAAACTCAGTGAACGACTCACCCAAGAGTGTTAGGACATTCTCTGGACAGTAGGTTTCCGTGATATTATTGCGCATAATTTTTTAGGACAGGTCATGTTGACATTAATTTGAGATTTGGCTACTGGGATGCATTGCTTTGTCTCAATTTTAGGCCCATTGCTCCTACCCCCTTCTTAATTTCCTTATCGGCGGCTAAAACGGCGCCACAAATTAAACCCATTACTTTTACCAAATTGTGTAACAACCCGTTACAATTGCCGCTCAAACTTGGGGCTTTAAAAATGAATCGCAATGTAGATGAACTAAAATCGACGGTGGCGCCATCAAGTGCCTTCGTGGCAATCAAGATTAACTAAAGTAGATGATGGCATCATTTAAAACCCAGGTTCGATGGTGCCTTCAATCAAGGTCAAGGTAGTGTAACGTGATTTATAAATTCGGGTTCGATTTATATCAATATTTATTAAACAAAACTAAAACACTATAAAAACTGTACAATTTGTATCGACTATTTACATCACACACTTCGCAATTTACATTTCCGCGCTCTATGTTTCATACGTACTCGATCTCGTTCGGTAGTAAAACTGCTTGCGATGTTCGGTCCGCAACCATTTATACACGCAAGCAATGTAAGTCAAGAACACTCGCGTAATTACCGGGTAAGTCTGGAATATTCCTATACAAATCCCACTATCGCGCGCGTAGAAAATTCCAGAGCGCCAAAGGCGACGACATGTCTGGAGCGTTTCCGTTACAGTAGCAATGTAGATGAACTGTAATCGGCGATGGATCCTTTAAGACTTTACGGCTTGGAGGTCGAAGATCGAAAATGGGAAATGAAGAATGATGATTATCTAGGAACATGAAAACCAAGGTATAAAAAGTGAAGGAAGACTCTGGCGAAGCTTTTAATACTCTGCAGCCTTTCCTCGTACCATGAAATGGAGTTAATGCATGCTCGATGGTTTCGAAACCACCAGATCAACATTTTCCTTTGACACATTGTCAGATTAGCTACTTATTTATTAGTTACATTTCCGGGAACACGGAAGGTAAGTGGATTAATTAGCGCCGACGTACTTAAACTGATAAGCGCTAATGTAAAATGGTTGTTAATTAATCAACGGGGCACCAGGTGCTCGCCATTGCTTGACCGCACTGACACGAAACCAGTCTCAGCAAAAATGTGGTGGGCAAGCATTCCCAAAGGTATCAAGACCAAAGGTGGGGTCCCGCGAATAATTTCGGTACGAATGTAATTGTGCTCGTTTCAGCTTCATTTCTCCTTCTCTCTTTGGGAGTGCTTTTCGGAACCACCTCGCTGCTCATTTTCACCCTGGACCCCGTCGACATTCTAACGCGGAAGGTAAAGCGCCCTGTGTACGATTACTAAAATGAAGGGATCAGATTTTAGAAATTAAGCCCTACAATTTTGCGTTCGGGATTTGGAAGGATCCTCCATACGAGGTTATGGGTAAGGTCTATATCTTTAACGTAACCAATGGTCAGGCGTTTTTGGATGGCGAGGAGAAGCTGAAGTTCATTGAGGTTGGGCCTTACGTGTACAAGTAAATGCACCCCCCTCCCCCTCCTACCGGTTAATATTTTCGCTTGCAGAGAAGCCATTTACCGCACTAACATTAGCGTTAATAACGATGGGACGTTATCGTTTATTTCTCGTCGCACGATCCAGTTTATGCACGAACTCTCGGTGGGAGATCCCTTAAAGGACACGCTCTGGCTGCCCAACCTTCCTCTACTGGTACGGTGTTGCAAAGGAGAAGGGGTTGTATTCGGTGATTTTCAGGGAATTATCTCTACGATGTCAGATAATGTGTTACCCGTCAGAATGGCGGTTGGTTATCTAAGCTTGTTGTTGAGCGGCAATGAGTTCCTGAATCTAACGGTGGATGACTACCTCTTTGGATACGATGACCACTTGATCACTTTGGCAAGTCAATTTATGCCGAACTGGATACACTTTTCGCGTTTCGGCGTTGCAGACCGAGTGAGTTTGACGGTTTGAAGAAGATAATCAGGTAACCTTGGTTTCAGCTGATGTCGTTGGACAACGCTTCAAACATAGCGTCCATGACTCTCGAACCCGGACTGGGCCAATACTCTGTGAAGGACTTTAATGGATCCCCTCGCTTAGAGCAGTGGGGCGACGGATCAAATTCCACCTGCGGACTCATCAGGGGCGCTTACGTTGACCCAGTCTTCCCCAGAAACCTCCCGAAAGACGCAACCCTAACCCTCTACAGGCACGGATTTTGCCGACCAATCCCGATTCATTACAACCACACCGACACGGACAAGTACGGCTACAAGACCTACACCTACGCCCTCAGCGACCACTTCCTAGCGCCCCTCTCGGAAAACCCCAACAACCACTGCTACTGCAAGAAGGCGCGTTGCGACCTAAAGGGAATCGGCGACATATCGCCGTGCTACTACGGCGTACCCATAGCCATATCCCAACCGCACTTCCTAAACGCCGACCCCAAACTCCTCGAAGACGTCGGCGGTCTCTCGCCCGACCCCCGAAAGCACAACTTCTACACGGTCATCCATCCGGAATCCGGGCTCGCGCTCGAGGTCAAGTTCAGAATACAGCTCAACCTGAACGTCCCGGACACCGACTTCAATTACAAGACGCGACCTTTCAACAATCTCGTCGTGCCGCTGGTATGGCTCGAGCTTTCGGTCGACGGCCCTCCCGCGCTGATCAAAATCACCATCGACCTGTTATTCGTCGTATTGCCGTGGGTGCAGCAGATCCTACGGGCGATGTTCGCCTTCTTGGGCGCTACTCTTCCTATGGTCGCCGCTTGGATTTATTTAACCAAGCTCAAATGCCTCGAGCTAGACTCGACGCGAGAAAAAATAGTCCTATTAAAGTAGATTTACAATTTAGCAAAGATACATGGAAATGGGTGTATGGCGAGATTAAATAGTACTTTGGTGAGATTTTCGTTTTTTAAGTTCCTCATATTTTAACGTCCTTCTCACACACTACTAGCGATGAAGAGAGTCTGTTATCTTGTTATCTATCACTTGTCATGGTCGATGTACAGCTACATCAAAACTGGTAACATTGACCCTAAATCGCAAACTAGTTACAAACGGGTGAGCTCGATTTCGCCGTTCAGTACGGCAATTTTTAAAATATAGTGCAACAACTTCACATCCTCGTCGTCTTTACTCGATACTACTATCGAATACCTTCCATTTAGAAATCTTAAGCGTCTTCCCCGCCTAGGGTGCCTTTAATACCGTCTTGGTTCATCGAGACTTCCTCCAGGGTTTTTTTGATGCCATCATCGACGCTTATTTCATCCAGATTTCCAAAGGGGAGATTTGGCGGATCTGTCACCCTTTACTCATTGATCAAATAACGTTGCTGGCTGCTTTAGCGCATTGAATTTGACATGAGGTAATGTGTAGGGGTATTTTGAAACCTTTGAGATTATTTTAAACTACTTCAGAATTTCAAGATCTTTTAACGCCTTTTAAAAGGTTTTTTTTGGGTCTTTAGAGGGTTCTAAAATCTTAAAAGGGCTTTTAGAGCTTTTAGCGATCCTTTAGCGGATCTTTAAAAAATCTTATGGGACCATTAACCCTTTTGGAGCATGTTAAGCTCTTACAGACTATTGGAAGGGGCTTTAAAGGGTTTTTAGAGTCTCTAGTGAGTCTCCACTTACTTTACCGAGTATTTAGAAAACCTTTTGACAACTTTAACCCTTTTGGAGTATTTAAGCTCTTATAGACAATTGTAAGAGCCTTTAAGAGATTTTAAAGAAAGTTGTAAAACCTTAAATAGGTCTTTAAAGCCTGTAGCGAGTCTCCATTTAGTTTACTGAGTATTTAGAGAATCTTTTAAGACCTTTCACCCTTTTGGAGTAATGTAACTCGAGTTTAGTCTCTTATAAACAATTGGAGGGGTCTTTAAAGGGTCTTTAGAGTGTTTTGAAAATTCTAAGGAAAGTTCTAAAACCTTAAATAGGTTTTTAAAGCCTTTGGCGAGTTTCGATTTGACTTTACTGAATATTTAGAGAATTTTTTGAGACCTTTAACTCTTTTGGAGTGTTTTAAGCTCTATATTAGAAGGGTATTTAAAGAGTTTTAAGAAAGTTTAGTACCTTAAATATGTTTTTAGAGCCTTTAGCCGGTCCCCACGTACTTTTCTGAATATTTAGAGAATCCGTTGGGACCTTTAATTCTTTTGGAGTATTCTAACCTCTTATAGACTATTAGAAGGGACTTTACAGGGTATTGAGATCTTTTGGAAAAGAGCTTTAAAACCTTAAATCGATTTTTAGAGCCTCTAGTTAGTCTTCACTTACTTTCCTAAGTATTTGAAGAATCTTTTGAAACATTTAACCCTTTTTATGTTAAGTATTTATAGACAATTGGAAGAGCCTTTAGAGGGTTTTTAGAAGATTGTAAAGAAAGTTATAAATCCATAAATATGTTTTTAGAACCATTAACAAGTATTTAGAGAATCTTTTAAGACTTTTAACCATTTTGGAGGAATTTAACCTCTTATAGACTATTAGGAGAGTTTTTAGAAGATTTTAAAACAACTTCTAAACCCTTACACAGATTTTTAGAACTTTTAGCGAGTCTCCACTAACTTTACTGAGCATTTAGAGAATATTTTGAGACCTCTTTAAATCTTTTGGAGTATTTTAAGCTCTTATAGACATTAGCAAGGTCGTTAGAGTTTTTAGATGATTTTAAAGAGAGTTCTAAAACCTGGATTTTTAGAGCCTTTAGCGAGTCTACTTACTTCATTGGGTATTTAGAGAATCGTTTGGTATCTTTAACCCTTGTGCAGTATTTCAAGCTATTATAGACTTAACAGGGTTTCTAGTAGTAGTATTAGTAGAGTCATTTCAAGAGCCTTTAGAACTTTTAGAAAGATCTAAAACGTTAAATGGGCTTTTCGAGCCTTTAGCGAGTCTCTACCGAATCTTAACTGAGTATTTAAAGCTTACTCGTAGATTTAAAGATTGTTTTGGAACCTTTAAGTCTTAAGGAGTATTGTTAGCCCTTACAGACCATTTAATGAGTCTTTGGTGTTTTAGAAAAATCTAAAATAGTGACGGGATTTTTGGAGACTCGTGAGTATTTAAAAACTCGTTAATTCTTTTAAAGAGTATTTTAAACCTTTTTAAAGGTTTCCGAAACAATTGGAGGGGTCGTTAGTTTTTTTTTGAAAATTTTAAAGCAAGTTCTAAACCCTTAAATATGTTTTGAAAGACTTTGATGAGTCTCCATTTGTTTTACTGAATATTTAGAGAATTTACCTGGAGTGTTTTAAGCTGTTATAAATAGGTTTTTAGAACCATTAACGAGTATTTAGAGAATCTTTTAAGACTTCTAACCATTTTGGAGTAATTTAACCTCTTGTAGACTATTAGGAGAGCCTTTAGAGTTTTTAGAAGATTTTAAATCAACTTCTAAAACCTTACACAGATTTTTAGAACTTGTAGCGAGTCTCCACTAACTTTACTGAGAATCTTTTGAGACCTCTTTAACCCTTTTGGACTATTTTAAGCTCTTATAGGCATTAGAAGGGCCGTTAGAAGTTTTAGATGATTTTAAAAAGAGTTCTAAAACCTTAAATGAATTTTTAGAGCTTTTAGCGAGTCTCTACTTACTTCACTAGGTGTTTAGAGAATCGTTTGAGACCTTTAACCCTTGTGCAGTATTTCAGGCTCTTATAGACTTTACAGGGTTTCTAGAGAGTATTAGTAGAGTTTTCTAAGCCCTTTGAAGGGAATTTTTAGAGAGATCTAAAACGTTAAATGGGCTTTTAGAGCCTTTAGAGAGTCTCCAACGAAACTTAACTGAGCATTTAGAGAATGTTTTGGAACCTTTAATCCTTTTAGAGTATTGAAGCTCTTATAGACTATTTAATGGGACAAAGAGTCTTTAGTGTTTTAGAAGATTCTAAAATAGTAACGGGATTTTTGGAGACTCATGAGTATTTAAAAACTGGTTAATTCTCTTAGAGTATTTGAAACCTTTTTAGAGTTTTACGACCTTTTGAAGAAGTTTTCCGAATATTAATAGATTTTTAGACCCTTTAGCGACCTTTTAATGAGCCTATAACCGAGTATTTAGAGAATTCATTAATTCTATTGGAGTATTTTAAGCTATTTTTGAGTTTTTAGGCTCCTTTGCAGGGCTTAAGGAGGAAGTAAAGCCCTTTAGACTCTTTAGATTTTAAAATTTTAACATCGCCTTTAGAGCTTTTAGTGAGTTTTTACCTTTCATCGGGAACAGTTTATAGCAAGCATTCAATCCTTAAGGTCTTCCTCAATCTTTGCATTATTTTGAGTATGTAGGGGACCTATCCGGAGTCATTATTCATTGTTCCAGTGTCCCTAAGATTTTTCGCATCCTTTTGAGCCTTGGGTTGGCAATCGTGCATTACGTCTTAAATCTTCAAACTTCTCAGTCTCATCTTGCTCTTTAAAATGCCTAGAAGTTTATGTATAACCATTGTTTAAATGTTTAGCATTAATATTTTCATTTTTTTGCGTTTTTAAGGCCTTGGAACAGATTCAAAGTTTTCACGACTACTGAGGTCCTCGGCCTTCAAAGCATTCACAGTTGTCAAGACGCCCCCAATAATTGCAACCCATATTCATAGACACGCCGCCACTGTGTACGGTACGTGATGTATTGTCGATTGTCTACGAGTCAAAGACAAAGGGAGCAGCTCGCTAGAGGACCAAAGGTGTATTTGTTAAGCTTTTAGATGTCTATTTTATGTAGTGATCAGTTAGGACCAGAGATCTGGTAAGGACTTATTAATTAATTAAGTTTATTATGTAAAGTCATTGTTTATTTATATATATAAAGGTATTGAATTCACTAAACATTATCAAAAGTTGGTAGTACTGTTTTGTGTGGCAACACTGTATTCCCAACCCAAAGCGTAGCGTAGACTAACCAAGATTGTGCGATTTTCACATTTCGTGTGTGAATTCTTCACAAAGTGTGAAAGGAATGGATTTGGTGTGTCGAACTTGCTTAAATGTTGTTAAAAGCGACTCTTTCTACATTCATCTCAACCAATGGAGTGGCGGAAACGACGTAAGGGACAGGGAAAAACTGGAAGCATGTGTACCAGAACTGGTGAGTTTGATCCACATTCGCCTCCTCTACAATCGCTAATTGCAGACTCTGGACGTTGTTGTCGACCCGATTATTTGTGGTTCATGCAAGGAGAAGCTCACAATCTTCTTCAAATTTAAGGAAGAGTGTTTGGAGACCGAGAAATTTTTGTTTAATTGCATTCAACAAAGGCGTCAGAATGAGAACTGCACTGACCTCTTGAGCAATTACGATTTGTTGACGCTTGTGAAGAATGACGTCGTGCTCGAGCACAGCTACTCGAGCATCAAAAAGTTTGAGACCTTCACCGACGGTTTCGAAGATGATTCCCCGACAAATGTGCAGGCGGTTATCAAATCGGCTTTAACCTCGTTAGTGCAGAGCAAAGGAGGTGCTCCCGATTCCGGCGTCGAAGACGAACTCAATTATGACATTGACCACGTTGTACACTACGAGACTGTCGAGTGCTGTTATTCCGAACCTGAAGAGCTACCCGAAACTAAACCCGTTCTCAAGTCCATTATGAAGAAACCTAGGAAAAAGAAGAGCAAGGGGAGACGCGTAACTCGTGGCTCTTCGTCAAATCGCAAAAGTGTGAAAATAAAAATGCAGTTTCCGCCGGTGAAGACTAAAGCCGCGCGTAAAATGTCACCGATACCTAAGGTCCCGCCGCAGTCGCCGCGTAGGTCGGTAACGCCGCGTAGGTCGGTAACGCCGCGCAAGTCCTCACCGTCTACGCGTAAGTCCTCATCGTCCTCGCGTAAATCCTTACCGCCCACACGGAAAACCTCACCATCCTCACGCAAATCTTTATCACCCCCACGTAAATCCTCACCCGCTCCATCAAAAATTGCACCCCCATCACCTTCACCCAAAACTTCCACACCGAAAATTATGGCGCCACCGAAAAAGCGGAAAATTTCACCCTCCCCCGAACATGTTTCAGCCGACACTTCGTCCCAGTTTGACACCGAAGATAACGTGCAGAAGGCGATCGAGGAGAACAAGGAGAATGTGAGTACGGAAACGAAAGTGAAACCCGCGCCGAAAGCGAAGTCCGAACCGAAACCAAAGCTCAGCTACCTGTGTCCGGATGGCTTTCAGTGCACGAAGTGCGACAAGGCGTTCAGGTACCGTTGCCACTTTAAAATGCACGAGAGGGCCCACCTCCTGAAAAAGGACTACATTTGTCCTCAATGCGGGAAGATCTTCACGCAGGAGAGATACCTGAAGTACCACATCACGACGCACACGGCTCCGAGGACGCCCCGGTTTCGGTGCAACATGTGCAACAAGTGCCTGGGGTCGCGCACTTCGCTAAGACGCCACATCAGGCTGCACACCGGCGAGCGACCGTACACTTGCAACGTGTGCAAAAAGGAGTTCTCACAAAAAACCCAGCTCGAGGTGCACGAGCGCACTCACTCCGGCGAGAAGCCTTTCGTCTGCAACATGTGCAACACGATGTTCTCGCAAAAGAGCCACCTCCAGAACCACATGCTCATTCACACGGGCGAAAGGCCATACCAGTGCGAAAAATGCCGAAAGCGCTTCTCAAAGAACAGCGTTTTACGCGTCCACATGCAGATCCACGAGGATAAGCCGTACCAGTGCAGCGGATGCACCAAGTTCTTTAAGGAACTTTCCAGCTACCGGAAGCACGTGGGGAAGTACCTGCCGAAATGTGTCGCGGGCCGACGTGCCTTCAAGGTGGAAAGCGTTAAGCTCAAGGCGAACTCGAAGGTCTTGGAGGATATCAACAATGATCTTAACGAAATTAACAGGGATATCGCCGAGGATGTGGCTAAAGCTTTGAAGCTGAAGACGCTTCAGTACTTCTGTAAAGTGTGTAGTAAGGGATTTACGACGAACTTTAGCCGCAATCGCCATCTTAAATTTCAGCACCCCCCAAAGTGAAGTGTTTCGGTGTTTAAGTTACGGATTGTAGTAGCGTGTATTGTACAAAATATTTAATTTTAATGTAAATAGAGTCTTCTTTGCAAATATAATTAGGGAAACTCTCTTTGCACATTTTTTTGCACGTGCGTGCAATGTTCTCAAACAAGTGTGCTGTACACAAACTCAGAGCACTTGAGATAGCAGAGACATTTCTCCTTTTATGGCGCTGGTTTTTTTTTATTTTCCAGAGGAAGCTGACAGAAGTTCACAGTGCACTTGCACCCTCATGTGTAAAAGTAGTTCGTTTCATTTCTCGTAACATTTAATTTGTGCTGTAGTACACAAAATTAGCACAATTGAGCTCATGATTATCAATGAAATTTAAGCAGGGCCGCACAAAGTTTAAATCAAGTCATCGTTGGCGCTATTTTTTGGAAAGTGACATCAGAAAATCGCACAGGTGCAAAGTGCACTTGATACTCGCGTTGTGAAAGTAGTTCATTTAATTTCTAACAGTCATTTACATTTAACTTGTGCTGTACACAAAATTAGCACCGACTGTGATTATCAATGAAATTTAAGCAGGGGCGCACAAAGTTTAAATCAAGTCATCGTTGGCGCTATTTTTTATTGGAAAGTGACAGAAAATCGCACATGTGCAAAGTGCACTTGATACTCACGTTGTGAAAGTAGTTCATTTAATTTCTAACAGTCATTTACATTTAACTTGTGCTGTACACGCACAAAATTAGCACCGGCTGTGATTATCAATGAAATTTAAGCAGGGGCGCACAAAGTTTAAATCCAAGTCATCGTTGGCGCTATTTTTTGGAAAGTGACATCAGAAAATCGCACAGGTGCAAAGTGCACTTGATACTCGCGTTGTGAAAGTAGTTCATTTAATTTCTAACAGTCATTTACATTTAACTTGTGCTGTACACAAAATTAGCACCGGCTGTGATTAGCAGTGAAATTTAAACAGGGGCGCACAAAGTTTAAATCAAGTCATCGTTGGCGCTATTTTTTGGAAGGTGACTGAAAATCCCACAGGTGCAAAGTGCACTTGATAGTCGCGTTGTGAAAGTAGTTCATTTAATTTCTAACACTCATTTACATTTAACTTGTGCTGTACACAAAATTAGCACCGACTGTGATTATCAATGAAATTTAAGCAGGGGCGCACAAAGTTTAAATCAAGTCATCGTTGGCGCTATTTTTTGGAAAGTGACATCAGAAAATCGCACATGTGCAAAGTGCACTTGATACTCACGTTGTGAAAGTAGTTCATTTAATTTCTAACAGTCATTTACATTTAACTTGTGCTGTACACGCACAAAATTAGCACCGGCTGTGATTATCAATGAAATTTAAGCAGGGGCGCACAAAGTTTAAATCCAAGTCATCGTTGGCGCTATTTTTTGGAAAGTGACATCAGAAAATCGCACAGGTGCAAAGTGCACTTGATACTCGCGTTGTGAAAGTAGTTCATTTAATTTCTAACAGTCATTTACATTTAACTTGTGCTGTACACAAAATTAGCACCGGCTGTGATTAGCAGTGAAATTTAAACAGGGGCGCACAAAGTTTAAATCAAGTCATCGTTGGCGCTATTTTTTGGAAGGTGACTGAAAATCCCACAGGTGCAAAGTGCACTTGATAGTCGCGTTGTGAAAGTAGTTCATTTAATTTCTAACACTCATTTACATTTAACTTGTGCTGTACACAAAAAATTAGCACCGGCTGTGATTAGCAGTGAAATTTAAACAGGGGCGCACAAAGTTTAAATCAAGTCATCGTTGGCGCTATTTTTTGGAAGGTGACTGAAAATCCCACAGGTGCAAAGTGCACTTGATAGTCGCGTTGTGAAAGTAGTTCATTTAATTTCTAACACTCATTTACATTTAACTTGTGCTGTACACAAAATTAGCACCGACTGTGATTATCAATGAAATTTAAGCAGGGGCGCACAAAGTTTAAATCAAGTCATCGTTGGCGCTATTTTTTATTGGAAAGTGACAGAAAATCGCACATGTGCAAAGTGCACTTGATACTCACGTTGTGAAAGTAGTTCATTTAATTTCTAACAGTCATTTACATTTAACTTGTGCTGTACACGCACAAAATTAGCACCGGCTGTGATTATCAATGAAATTTAAGCAGGGGCGCACAAAGTTTAAATCCAAGTCATCGTTGGCGCTATTTTTTGGAAAGTGACATCAGAAAATCGCACAGGTGCAAAGTGCACTTGATACTCGCGTTGTGAAAGTAGTTCATTTAATTTCTAACAGTCATTTACATTTAACTTGTGCTGTACACAAAATTAGCACCGGCTGTGATTAGCAGTGAAATTTAAACAGGGGCGCACAAAGTTTAAATCAAGTCATCGTTGGCGCTATTTTTTGGAAGGTGACTGAAAATCCCACAGGTGCAAAGTGCACTTGATAGTCGCGTTGTGAAAGTAGTTCATTTAATTTCTAACACTCATTTACATTTAACTTGTGCTGTACACAAAATTAGCACCGACTGTGATTATCAATGAAATTTAAGCAGGGGCGCACAAAGTTTAAATCAAGTCATCGTTGGCGCTATTTTTTGGAAAGTGACATCAGAAAATCGCACAGGTGCAAAGTGCACTTGATACTCGCGTTGTGAAAGTAGTTCCTTTAATTTCTAACAGTCATTTACATTTAATTTGTGCTGTACACAAAATTAGCACCGGCTGTGATAAGCAGTGAAATTTAAGCAGGGGCGCACAAAGTTTAAATCAAGTCATCGTTGGCGCTATTTTTTGGAAGGTGACAGAAAATCGCAGAGGTCCAAAGTGCACTTGATACTCGCGTTGTGACAAGTAGTTCATTTAATTTCTAACAGTCATTTACACCCTTTATTTTAATTTTCCGTAGGAAGCTAAAAAAAAGTCTCCCTCGCGGTCGCACTGGCGCAGTGCAAAGTGCACTTGCTTGTTCCAAAAATTTAAATAGGTCTTTAAAGTCTTTAGCGAGTCTCCATTTACTTTACTGAGTGTTTAGAGATTTTTTCGACACCTTTCACACTTTTGGAGTATTATTGGGAGGGCCTTTAAAGAGTCTTCAGAAAATGTTAAAGAAAGTATTAAAACCTCGATTAAAACATTAAATTCGTTTTCAGCGACCCCCCACTTCACATTACTGAATACTTAGATAATCTTTTTATTGACCTTTAAAGGGTCTTTGGAAGGTTGTAAAGAGACCAAAAGTCCTTGGTGTTTTAGAAGATTCTGAAATTGTAACAGGATTTTTAGTATTTAAAAACTCGTTAATTCTCTTAGAGTATTTTAAACCTTTTAAGAATTTCCGACCTTTTGAAGAACCCTTAGAGAATCTTCTGAATCCATTAATTCTTTTAGAGTATTTTTGAGTTCGTAGGCTCCTTTGCAGGGCTTAAGAGGGACTATTATAAAATTTAGAAACCTTAGCGAGTTTTTTAAATTAAATTAAATTAAATTTCCTTTTATTGCCCAACAGAAAAACAAACATTCCAATTACAGGACAATATGACGTTACGAATAATAGAGTGTGCAAAAGTGAAAGTGAAAGATTAGTGAACTTTTTATCGAGTATTTAAGAAATAGTTTAAAATAATCCTTTTAAGGTATTTTAAGCTCTTTTCGAGCATTTACAAAGCCCTTTAGACTGTTTAGAAATTAAAAGAGCCGAGGACGTCGCTACACATTTCGACGTTTTTTGAATGAATTAAATTTTTGTCGTATTCGCACTGTTCACTTTTAAAAATTGACGCACACACTGTACTACTTTATGTGCCACTCCTTAAATTTTGTGCTTCATGTACACAAAGTTCATGAAATTTTTAACTCCCACAGCATATTTCAATTTCAACAATTTATTTCGATTGCATTACTCTATGTTTTGTTTTCGGGGGGGTTTGGTTTTACGGAACACACTGTATAATGGAAAATCACTTGAGATATTTTATTAAACCCTTACATGCTGGGTAATGAAAGGGATTTTATAAATTTTCAATTCAATCTTTAGAGAGGACGGGAAAAAGTACGCAAAAACGTAAGTAGAAGCCCTTGTGATTTGAAATGACATAACCTCAAATTTGGTCAGTTGATCACTTGCCAAGTTGACTTTTGTGACATAATTCTTTTGCTTTTTTTAGTACCTCAAAAAATGTCCGCACAACATTAATGTGAAAAGAGAATGTTCTCCCTTCGCAGCAGCTGCCAATGCGTCCGATCATTCTCGTTGGGCAGAACGTTAGCGAAGAACCACTACGACTCCCTCGGAATTACACCGACGGCCACTCAGGCGGACATAAAGGACGCCTATTACAAATTGTCGATGGTCTACCATCCGGATAAGACGACGAGCGAAAATGACGACGCGGTGAAGAAATTCCGCGACATAACCGAGGCGTACGAGGTGCTTGGCAACGTGCGACTGCGACGACTGTACGATAAAGGTGCGTGCCGCCGACATCGAAGTCGATTAATTCGCGTTTTTCTCGTTTTAGGGGTGTCGGACGTCGGCGACCTGTCCTTGAATAAGTTTTACAAGTCGAGGGAGAAGAGGTCGCGTCCGCCGTCGACCGGTCGCAGTCCGATCTACGACTTCGACGAGTGGTCGCGACAGCACTACGGCGTCCTGCTGAGAAAGGAGCAGGAATTCAAGCAGAGGGTGCAGGAGCACAAGGAGGCGAAGGAGCACGAGGCAGAAAGCGTGCAGATGAGTCGTATCATGCTGGTCATGTTGCTGCTTCTCGCCGGGTTTTCGGTGTATATGAATACCGGCCATGACCATGTACGGAATATTGATAAAAATGTCACTCCGTCAAATCCTAAATAATGTTGTACAGTTTCATAGTAAATTTATTTATAATCGAAATTATTATTATTATTATTATAATAGTACTAGGGGTGGTCCCAGTCGGTTCCTGCACTGCGACCTTTTGGTCTATTGTGCTTCAGGGTATTGTTAACCCCTCCAGAATGCCTGTATCTTTAATAAAGTCTGGGATTTTCCTCCTGTCTTTTTTTTGTATTTCCCAGTGGGTGTTCCCTTGCCTTTATGATATGCTTGATATTGGCAAAGGACATGGTGTGCCCCGAACGAGGGGCGACGCTACCTATCTTGCGGGCGAGATTATGCTAAACTCTTAAAATCTATGTGTTATATATGAGTGGCGATTCAATAATTATAACGTTGCCGGGTTGAATTTATTTCCCTGTTCTTGTAGTGTGAAGTTAGCGTAGAACCTCAAGGCTGTGGAACCACTGATCCACTTGGTTGTTGCTAGAAAAGGACCGTGAAAGAACAAGCCTATCTACACAGCGTTTCTGGATCTAGAAAAGGCATTTGACAGAGTACCCCCATGAGGTCATATATGGCATGCACTCCGATCTCACGGTGTCCTAGAAGAGGTATATCCGATATGGGTCTAACTACTTTATAAAAATGTGACGATCAGCGTTGTTCACTGCCCGACTCTGCCCCTACCTTCCTCTTGGAGAGGAGTTTGAACGTCACACGTTACCTTGGGACCCTTCTTCCTGTCTACCACACGCCTAATTGCTGGTTGTAACTCCAGCATTTTGGATTTCGATCTTTTTCAGGATATCTCATGGAGTTGCTCTCGCTAGCCAACGATAATTGATCTGCGCATGTGATCAGAAGCGCTCTTTCTCGGGGTAATGGACAAAACGTAGTAGACTCTGTCAAAGATCCAGCCTTTGATTCGCCTTATCTCCACTTCCAACAGCGTTCCCTCCAGATCCTCATGGACAAAGCCACTTTGAAACCGGTAGCTGCTTCGCTAAAGCAGGTTCTGGTATCATTTACGATCCTACTTCAGCAGATGGTAGGTCAGGCTGCCTAGAGCTTCCTCTGATTCCTGCCTCATCTTTTTCAGTTTCCGGCGCGCTGCTTCGGAAAGCTCCTCAGGCTCTCCAGTACCAGGTGTTTCCTTAGATTCTTGCGATTTTAGAGTATTTGGAGATTCTTAACAATTTTGGAAATCTAGAGATTTGTAAGATACTTGTGGTTTTGGAAGACGTCTAAATTTCTTGAGGTATTTCAGATGTTTGAGGTTATTGCTATGATCTTACACTCAATCTTTAGCAAAAACGTAGAACAGGTGCCCATAATACGTAAAAAAGCATTCCTCAAAAAATCCACCCTCTGCATACGTTCAAGTTTTAGCCAAAATGTGTATCAGGAGAAGGTGATACGTAAAAAGGTGTTTCTGAAGGACTTCGTTATCTTCTTACATTCAGTTTTAAGACCAAACTTGTATCAGGAGAATGTGCAGTTCATGCGCGTTTCTGTGACACTAACAAATCAATTTGTAAATGAAAGAGTGTACCAGGATAACATTATACAAAAGGAATTTATCGTTCTGACCTTACATTCAATTTTTGGTAAAAATATTAACCAGGAGAACATAAATGTATAAGACTACTTGTTTACCACATTTTTGACGTATGAGGAGAATATGTCCCGTAAAAAAAGGTGTATCACACATACGCTTGATCTTGAGACAAAATTGTTACCAGGAAAGCATAAAATGTGAGAAAACGCACTTCAAAAATTCCGACCCCACGCATTGCTGTGATCCGGACTACAAAATCTCTAAAGGTAGAAGTGTATCTTCATATCTTGTATGTGTCCGATATTGAGCAGGAGAACATAATGTACAAGAAAAATCTTACGTCCAATTTTTAGTCTGAAATGTGTATCAGAAGAACATACCACGTAAAAAGGTGTCTCTCAAAGGCCACACGCACGATTTTGAGGTATGCGAGTGTTACCAGGAAAGCATAAAATGTGAGAAAACGCACGCAAAAATCTCTTCTCATTGCTTTTCTGTGATCCTGACCGAATAATGTTTAAATAAAGAGTGTATCAGGACAACATAATACTATAATAATGATTCATGTGATTCTTGAGGTTCTGCAGATTCTTGAAGTTCATGAGGTTCAAGTTCTTAAGAATTGTAAGATCTTTTGGTTTTGGACCACAATCTTTAGTAGAAATGTGGATCAGGAGTAAATAATATATGTAAGAAAGTGTCTCTCAAAAAATTCATTACGTTTAAACTGTAAGGCAAAAATGTGTATCAGGAGATGACACGTAAAAAAGGTGTCGCTGAAGGACTTCATAACCAGGAAAGCATAAAATGTGCGCAATGCACTTTTTTCCTGCGATCCCGACAGAATAACGTTTAAACAGAGGGTATCACGATAGTATAATAAAAAGAGTGATTCACTTCGAAGACTTCGACGCCTTTTCACGCTTATTTCTTAGATTCTAGATTCCTGGGTTTTCTGAAAGTTTTGAGATTTCTGAGAATTATGGGATTCTTGGCCTTCTTGAAATTCTTGAGATTTGTACGATACTTCTGGTTTTAGAAAATTATTATTGCGAGTTTGTTACACTTAATCTTTAGTAAAAATGTGGATCAGGAGCGCATAATACGAAAGCGCCTATCCAAGCATTCAACCTCTCCTTACGTTCAACTTTTAGCCAACATAAAAAGGTGAGGGACTCATATTCTTACATTAGCTTTTTAGACAAAAACTTGTATCAGGAGAGCATTCGTGAAAAAGTACAGTTCATGTGGGTTTCTGTAGCACTAACAAAGCAATTTGTAAATGAAAGTATCAAGACAACGAAATTCAAAATAAAAACGTGTGTCAAGAGAACATGACGTGTCAGGAGAACATGACGTGTACGTTGTGTCCTCCAATGATGTCGGTAGGTTCCCACGTATGATATTTAGGCCTTGGCATCAGTAAAGGAAGCGCGTTTCAATTTTCTACCTCTTGCGTTTCTGCGATTCACACCAAAGAATTTTTGTAAGAAAAGGGTGTATCAGGATAACACAGTAAGAAGAATGGTGCCTGTTGGAAACCTAGACACCCCCTTAGGTCTAATATTTTGCCAAAATGCGTGTTACGGAAACAAAATACCTAAGAATACGTCTCTCAAAGACTTTAACCTCTTCTTACGTTCAATTTTTAGTAAAAAAAAAGTGTAAGTATCACAATCTTGTGTTCGATTTAAAAAAAAATTGTACCACCAAGTGCACTTCTTCAATTTCTGGGATACTGGCTAGAGAGTGTATATCAGGACATAGTATGAATGAAAGTGTAAATATGTGGATCAGGAGAACATAATTCGGCGTCTCTGAAAGATTTCAACTCATTCTTACGTTCAATTCTTAGTCTATGTGTCAAGACATCGTTACTTTCGACAAAATTTGTATCAGGGGAGCATCAGTTCATCAATCAATTTTTAAACCTTGCCTTGAGTAAAAATCTGGATCAGAAGAACATAATGTGTAAGAAAATACCCCAAAAAAATTTACAGTTCTCCTTACTTTCAATTTTTAGTCAAAAATTTCTATCAGGAGAACATTACACGTAAGAAGATATCTCTATCACCTTCTTATTTTCGACTTTTAGAATAAAGTTTGTATCAGGAGAGCATTCTACACTTTGCAATTCTGTGACACGGGCAAAACAGGAGACCATTCTTGAAGAAGTGCTCTTTGTGAATTTCTACACCTTACGTTTCTGTGATACTTGCAAAACTATGTGCAACGGAAAGAATGTATCAGGACAACATAACAAAAAAGAGCCCTTGAAAGACATTCGACATCCCCTCACGTACTTTAACGAAATTTGTGTAACCTTTTACGTTAAATTTTTAAGGGAAGATTGTATCAGGAGTAGAAAGTGCAATTTCACTGTTTCTGGGCCTTCTGGCGTTTCTGAGAATCTGGGGCAGTGACCGTTTGTTATTTTCTAGACTTGTGGTCTTGCTTATCGCAGAAGTTTATTTGTCCAATATTGACCTTTGGCTTATGTGAATTATCGAATATAGCAACACGGTTGAGAAATGCGCTCGTTGAGAGTGCAAGATGAGCTCGCCCCGTATAGTCGTAATAGGGGCAGGAGCCTCAGGAATTGCGGCAGCTACGAGATTAGCCAAGAATGGCTTTTCTAACATTACAATTCTGGAGGCCGAAGATCGTATCGGTGGTAGAATTTGCAGCGTCGAATTCGAAAATGACATCGTCGATTTGGGCGCGGAACTCGTTCGCGAGGGTAGTCTCGTGTACGACTTGGTGAAAGATTACGACGTAGTGGAACCGAGAAATGCCGCAATTGAAGTTTACCATCCGTCACTTGGACCGCTTCCTAAAAGCTTTGTGGACGCCTTCGTCGCGAGATTTACCGATCTCCTTGACCGCAAAGACGACGGAATCTCGTGGCAAGAGTATTTCGACGAAAAGTAAGTTGATTTCCATGCGAAAACTGCTAACCTCCTCATTCAGCTATCAAAAGTGCATTGTCGAAAGTTTCCGCAGCGAAACTGAAAAACATCTTGCGGTGGAATGCAGGAAATGCGCAGAAAATTTGCTTTTATTTCATGCCTTAACTTTCCCACTTTCGGAAGGTGGGGAGAGATTCGGCGAGGCCCCTCTCACGTTTCAGTGGGGGTGGAAAACTGGAGGATATCGTACTTTTCTGGACATTTTGATGAAAGACTGTGCGAAATTTCAGGAGAAGATCGTCCTAAGCAGCGAAGTGATAAAAATCGATTGGCAGGAAGAGATCAAGGTGGCCTGCTCCAATGGATCTACCTATCTTGCCGACCATGTCATAGCAACTCTACCGCTAGGGGCGCTAAAACGACAGTACAGAACCCTGTTTCAGCCTCCACTGCCGATGGAGAAAGCTCAGGCGATAGAACTGCTGCGATTGCAATCGCCTTCCCAAATATTAGTTCATTTTCCAAGTAAATGGTGGGGAAGCAACGATATGGTCTTTACTTGGACTGAAGAAGAGATGGATTTGGTGGACTTCGAAATGGGACCAAAAAAGGTGCCATCTCCCTCGCTCCACAGCTTCATTACAGTGTGTCTCACTTTTAGAACGGACGGTCATGGGTAACGGCAATAATAGGTTACTTCGTAGATCCACGTTATAAAAATTGCCTATCGCTGTACAATGTTGGAGATATGGTCCAAGAAATGGAGCAAATGGACGAAACTGTTTGGCTGGAAGGATTACACTACCTAAATCAAAAGTTTTTCGCCCGTGCTTTCCCAAACATATGCAAACCTACAAAAATTGCACGGTAAGTGGGGTGAATTGTGAAGTGCTACTAACTTCACTGGCGGTTTCAGGTTCAAATGGTACAGTAATCCCCACTTTGGTGGGGTAATTGCTACGGAAACATTGGAAAGTAAGCAAAGAGGTTTCGGGTTTAAAACCATGGCGGAACCGTTACTTGACAAAGCTGGTGGTTTACGCGTTTTATTCGCCGGTGACGCCACCAACGACAGTTCTCATGCTTTGGTAAACGCGGCGGTTTACACCGGTTTCAGAGAAGCTGACAGAATCATCAATTTCTACAAGAAATAATCACTAAAATTTGTAATCTTTCTAAACGTAGCTTCACCTGTTCAATAAAGATTTTTTCTCAATTATGTTATTGATATATTTGAAAAATTCGACGTTGTTCAGGTTCTTCGTTTCGCGAAAATTGTAATGAGAACACCCTTTATCTTTAAAGGCCATTTTTAGCTTCAAATTTTAATGTGCAACCCCCCAATCTTAATGAGAATAGGTATACTAGGTCCTTTATAATTTAAAGGACATTTTTAGCTTCAAATTCTAAAGTAAAACCTTCAATCTTAATAGTGGACCATGAAAAACGCAAACATTTAATTGATATCACCCTTTATAGTTTAAAGGTTATTTTAAGCTTCAAATTTCAATCTTACAATGTGGTCCATGAAGGCCGCACGAATTTCAATGAGAACATTCTCTATACTTTAAAGTTAATTTTTAGCTTCCAATTAATGTGAAACCCCCAATCTTAAAATGGGGACCATGAAGACCGCGAAAATTTTAATGAGAACGCCCTTTATAGTTTCAAGGCCATTTTTAGCTTCAAATTTTCATGTGAAGATCGCCAATCTTAACATGTGAGGCATGAAAACCATAAAAATTTCAATGAAAATACCCTTAAAAAGCCCTTTTTAGCTTCCGATTTTAAAGTGAAACCTTCAATCTTAAAAATGGACAATGAAAAACGCCAACATTTAATTGAGAACGCCCTTTATAGTTTCAAGGTCGTTTTTAGCTTCAAATTTTCAGGTGAAGATCGCCAATTTTAACATGTGAGGCATGAAAACCATAAAAATTTCAATGAGAATACCCTTTAAAAGCCCTTTTTAGCTCCAATTTTAAACTGAAACCTTCAATCTTAAAAATGGACAATGAAAAACGCCAACATTTAATTGAGAACGCCCTTTATAGTTTCAAGGTCATTTTTAGCTTCAAATTTTCAGGTGAAGATCGCCAATCTTAACATGTGAGGCATGAAAACCATAAAAATTTCAATGAAAATACCCTTAAAAAGCCATTTTTAGCTTCCGATTTTAAAGTGAAACCTTCAATCTTAAAAATGGACAATGAAAAACGCCAACATTTAATTGAGAACGCCCTTTATAGTTTAAAGGCCATTTTTAGCTTCAAATTTTCATGTGAAGATCGCCAATCTTAACATGTGGACCATGAAAACCATAAAAATTTCAATGAGAATGCCCTTTAAAAGCCCTTTTTTGCTTCCGATTTTAAAGTGAAACCTTCAATCTTAAAAATGGACAATGAAAAACGCCAACATTTAATTGAGAACGCCCCTTATGGTTTCAAAGTCGTTTTTAGCTTCAAATTTTCAGGTGAAGATCGCTAATCTTAACATGTGAGCCATGAAAACCATAAAAATTTCAATGAGAATACCCTTAAAAAGCCATTTTTAGCTTCCGATTTTAAAGTGAAACCTTCAATCTTAAAAATGGACCATGAAAAACGCCAACATTTAATTAAGAACGCCCGTTATAGATTAAAGGCCATTATTAGCTTCAAATTTTCATGTGAAGCCCGCCAATCTTAACATGTGAGCCATGAAAACCATAAACATTTCAATGAGAATACTCTTAAAAAAGCGTTTTTAGCTTCTAATTTTAAAGTGAAACCTTCAATCTTAAAAATGGACCATGAAAAACGCCAACATTTAATTGAGAACGCCCTTAATAGTTTTAAGGTCATTTTTAGCTTCAAATTTTCATGTGAAGCTCGCCAATCTTAACATGTGGACCATGAAAACCATAAAAATCTCAATGAGAATACCCTTTAAAAGCCCTTTTTAGCCCCCGATTTTAAAGTGAACCCTTCAATCTTAAAAATGGACCATGAAAACCGCCAACATTTAATTGAAAACGACCTTTATGACCGAAAGACCTTATAATTTGGGACAGAGAACAACTGATATTTTCTAGACTTGTGGTCTTGCTTATCGCAGAAGTTTATTTCTCTAACATTGACCTTTGGCTTAGGCGCCGCGTATAGTCATAGGTAATAGGGGCGGGACCCTCCGGAATTGCGGCAGCTTCCAGACTAGCCAAGAATGGCTTTTCTAACATTACGATTTTAGAGGCCGAAGATAGGATCGGTGGTAGAATTTGCAGCGTCGAATTCGAAAATGACATCGTCGATTTGGGCGCGGAACTCGTTCGCGAGGGTATAGTCTCGTCTACGACTTGGTGAGAGATTACGACGTAGTGGAACCGAGAAATGCCGCAACTGAAGTTTACCATCCGTCACTTGGACCGCTTCCTAAAAGTTTCGTGGAGACAGATTCACTGATCTCCTTGACCACAAAGACGACGGAATCACGTGGGAAGAGCATTTCGACGAAAAGTAAGCTGATTTTCGTGTGAAAACTTCTAACCTTCCTTTTCAGCTATCAAAAGTGCATTGTCGAAAGTTTCCGAAGCGAAACTGAGAGACACCTTGCGGAAGATTGCAGAAAATTCGCTGAAAATATGCTTTTGTTTCATGCATTAACTTTTCCCCTTTCGGAAGGCGGTGAGGGGTTCGGCGAGCCCCCTCACGCGTTTCAGTGGACCTGGAAAACTGGAGGATATCGCACTTTTCTGGGCATTTTGATGAAAGACTGTGCGTCCTAAGCAGCGAAGTGATGAAAATCGATTGGAAGGAAGAGATCAAGGTGTCCTGCTCCAATGGATCTACCTATCTTGCCGACCATGTCATAGCAACTCTACCGCTGGGGGTGCTAAAAAAGGCAGTACAAGACCCTGTTTCAACCCCCCACTGCCGATGGCGAAAGCTCAGGCAATCGAACTACTGCGATTGCATTCGCCTTCCCAAATATTGGTTCATTTTCCTAGTAAATGGTGGGGAAACAACGACATGACCTTTACTTGGACCGATGAAGAGATGGATTCGGTGGATTTCCAAATGGGACCAAAAAAGGTGTCATTGCTCGCTTGACAGCTTCATTACAGTGTGTCTCACTTTTAGAACGGGCGATCATGGGTAACAGCAATAATGAGTTACTACGTGTATCCCAGTTATAAAAATTGCCTAGCGGTATACAATGGTGGAGAGATGGTCCAAGAAATGGAGCAAATGGACGAAACTGTTTGGCTGGAAGGATTACACTACCTGAATCAAAAGTTTCTCGCCCGTGCTTTCCCAAACATATGCAAACCTACAAAAATTGCACGGTAAGTGGAGTGAACTGTTGCTAAATTCACTGGGTGATTGCAGGTTCAAATGGTACAGTAATCTTCACTTTGGTGGAGTAATTGCTACGGAAACATTGGAAAGTAAGCTGAGAGGAATCGGGTTTAAAACCATGGCGGAACCGTTACTGGACAAAGATGGCGGTATACGCGTTTTATTTGCCGGCGAAGTTACCAACGACAGTTCTCACGCATTCGTAAACGCGGCGGTTTACACCGGTTTCAGAGAAGCCGACAGAATCATCAATTTCTACAAGAAATAATCACTAAAATTTGTAATCTTTCTAAACGTAGATTCACCTGTTAAATAAAAATTTGGAATTATCTTTTGCTAATCCTTTATCGACCTGATGGTGCCTCGATGTCGCTCTATATTTCTAGAATATTCGCTACATTATGTTGCCAGGGAAACCAGAGACAAAAACAAAGTGATAGGCAAACAAAACTTATCCTACCTCCTCACATATTTTCCTGATTAAGGGTTGTAGTAGAACATAATTGATATTCAGGTTCACAAAGACCGTGGCCACGAAATTGATAGTAGCTAAAATTCGATCCTATATTTCATTGGTGGTCAATTGTAGGGGGCGGGGGGGAGTCCTCCAAGAAGACAGTCACATGACTCCGGGTAACCAGAATTGAAATACCTCCTAATAGTAATGGATACTACTTATTTATTAGTTCTCCTGATATCCGGAGAAGATTTCCAGGATATTTGTCAACAGATACTCATATAATAGCAGAGGGTGACTATATTCTCTTGAACCAACCGTTCTTGGAAGATTAAACAAAAATAACGTATTGAAATGGCCCCTTTATTTCTTATGTGATCCTGGTAACCACCGAAAATTTATTGTACGAGTTGAAAGGTTCCAATTCGAACCTACCGCGCACATAATTAATTCAAATAGTAATTTCTGCATTTCATTACAATTTATTTGTTTGGTATAAGTACAACATTTTACATTTTTCGATTAACAATACTAGAAAAAGTGTATAAGGGCCCAGCCACATGTATTGGACCAAAACAAATATTCACCACTTTTACCAACGTTAATAATTATAAAATAAACAAAAAGGTAAAGTAACGTTTCTTTTGGTCCAATAGATATGCGTCTGGGCTCGTAGAAAATCCCGTTAACTTTTAAATTGAAACCGTGGTCTTGGTCTTGATGGTCACTTGCCTATGAGAAAATTGTCGAATTCCATTGATTTGTTGGATGGCCGCCGTGAAGAGACAATCACAAAGATAGGAATAACTGTAACGAAAAACCTTTACGACAACTGGTTGATCGCAAAGCCTTTCTTTACCAAAACGTTTTCCGCACGAGAGCCCAGTCACCTGTTTCAGGGGTGGGAACCTGCTAACAAAATTATCAGTTTTGATTTGAGTGTATTTGTGGTGTACTTACCTTGTTTGATCAGGATCAAGTTGGCGGGGATATTCTCACCAGCGTGGTTGAAGTTCGCGTGCCTTGTCTGACAGTGGTGCTGAAAACAATCAATGAGATTAGTGGGACAATGCTTATTAAAGCCCATTTACTAACCTTCCGTTAAAGAGTGCAATCCTTCTTCAAAGTTAAACCCGCAGAAAACAATCACTTCGCTTTGTAAAACGGTATGGCTATGAACCCAGAGTCATACACATTGATACAAAGCAAACTGATTGATCCCACGAGAGCAACTTCGCGAAGAATAATTACAATTATTTTCTGTTGTCAAACGGAGATTTCCATTCTTCACTAAAGATCATTTTTAGTTGCACTATACACTCCACTTTTCCCCCACTGCTAAATACACAACAAAGAAAATACAAACATGCGTCCTACCTTTATAAGGCTGCTCTTCCAAAATCTGAAACAAGAGAAAGTTGAATTAATATAATTGCGAAGAAAAACATTATTTAAAATTAATCAAAAAATGTATGTTGGGGGAGGGAGAGATTAATTTTTCTTTATTGAAAGAGAGGCCAGAAAGTGAAGCACTTTTTGCGATATTACATTTGCTACTACCTACATCGTCTTAATAAAGAAGTGCACATTTACCTTTAGCCTTATTAATTCTGACTCCAGGAAGCACCGGGAGTTCACGACCGCGGGCTACTGGCATGGATTCTCTTCGAAAAGCCATTGCCAATAACTGAAAAATAAAAAAAAACGCCATTACCTCTGGTTTTGTGTAGAACAAACAATTGGAATTATAATTATTTTCGAGATTCTATTACTATTGTCCATAATTTTTTTCTTTGGACTACGTTACGTATGAAATCAAAATTTGGTTTGGAAATTTCTGTTACTCACCTCGTTTGCGTGAACCATGTCCATATAATCGTTAACCAGGGTTGAATCGCTCTGATCCATCGCAGAAGTCGTCGGTAATGCTGGGTTAAGGGGGAGACTATGAGGGCGACAGCGATTTTTATTATTATACAGGGTGTTCGTAAATATGATGTAAATACGGAAGGGGCTAATTCGTTGGCTTATTTTATGACTAACGGTTAACATAAGCATAGGTCCGCAAACAGACAGACGTACAGGGTGTTATAATTTCATCGTACACTTTACAAGTTTAAACCTTTCAGTTATAAACATATGCAAACACAATTTCAAATGCAAACTGTCAAGACTAATAAAAATAAGAAATTATCCAAGTAAAACCAAGACCTACTGGACCATTTTAAAAATGTTACTTACTTGCCGAAAATTGTTTTTTATTTTTTTTTCAATAAGGATCGAAAATACGCAAACATGACAAAACAGCAAATCAAATTCTTATTTTACAATCTCCGAGAGGCGCACAGAAAAAAAGTTCAGGGGAAGAAATTGGAACATGACATCTGAAAAACAACACCCTGTAGATTTTCACTACTAATGATGTAAGTTCTTCAGCATAAGTTATATTTCAAATTTGAGCAAACTATCTGAAAAATTGCAGAAGATATAAAGAAAAAACTTAAACAATCTTGAAACTTTAACACCCTGTAGATCGGTAACGAAGCGTTTGCGAACCTATGTTTATATGAACCTTTAGTCATAAAATAAGCCAAAGAATTAGCCCTATGGAAGTACCAAAAAATATTGAAAAGGGAATAAAAAACTCTATCAATTAAGTTAGACCATTAAAAAAATTCCTGATGCGCTTTTTGATTTAAAAAAATTTAAAAAATAAAAAATTCCATGGGATAAGAAATTAAATAGGTACCAAATAACCTATTTGAAACATTTTTGAAAATATTGATGTTTACCATACGATATTCCATACTTTTCGGACAACCTGTATATCACACGATTTTATTGGCAGAGAAAATGCATAGAAATAATAATTTTAAAATTTTTAAAGTGCCAAAAAATATTGAAAAGGGAATAAAAAACTCTATCAATTAAGTTAGACCATTAAAAAAAATTCCTAATGGGCTTTTTGATTTAAAAAAATTTTAAAAATAAAAAATTCCATGGGATAAGAAATTAAATAGGTGACTAATAACTTATTTGAAACATTTTTGAAAATATTGATGTTTACCATACGATATCCCATACTTTTCGGACAACCTGTATATCATACGATTCTATTGGCAGAGAAAATGCATAGAAATAATAATTTTAAAATTTCTAAAGTGCCAAAAAATATTGAAAAGGGAATAAAAAACACTATCAATTAAGTTAGACCATTAAAAAAAATTCCTGATGCGCTTTTGATTTAAAAAATAAAAAATTCCATGGGATAAGAAATTAAATAGGTACCAAATAACTTATTTGAAACATTTTTGAAAATATTGATGTTTACCAAATTTTTTTCTATATAAACAAAAGAATCAAAAAACTTGAAAATTTAGTTTCTTGTTCAATTGTTTCTTGTCAGTTAAAAGGGGGAGGGGTGGGGAGGCTTTCGTAGGTAGCCCCCTAGCTCAGAAACCCTTAACCCAGCACTGGTGGTAGGCGTAATCCTCACCAACAGGTTGAGTGACGTCGATGGGGCTGTAACAATCGATGAGATTAGTAATTACGTAACCATGTAAAGCAAGTTCAAGTACAATTTTTTTTGGTTAATGAAGTAATTCATTAATATATTATGAACACGCACTTACCTTCCTCTAAGCTGAACTTCGTGCGATAACAAACGAAGGTATAATAATCCAATCCTACGTCACCAGGGTGACAGAAGGAGAAGATTGTTACAACTTGCATAGGGTTATAGCACGAAACTCAAGCGAAGAGCAATTGTTGATCTTCCTTCTCGTTGATATATTCACTATTCACTTTTGCCCCCCTTACAAGAAAATATGAAATGCAATACACCATGCATAAAAGGAAAAATCCTACCTTCATGAGGCCGCCTTTCTGCAATCTGTAACAAAGAGAAGATTTATGTTAGAAATGATATTAAAATATTTTGTGTTTTGAGTATTTATGGTTTAAAACAATTATAAATTTTGACTGGGACAGTGAAGCATTTGTTTGCGTTTTACAGTTTTCTTAAAGAAATCGATCTATAAACCCTTGCAATAAAAGGAATGAACACTTACCCTTTAGCCTCATTCAATATCTCTGCTGAGAAGAAACATCAACCAATGTAGAGATGAAACACTGCAGATCTTCCTCGTTCGTTAAGACCTGAAAAGAGAAATATATTTAAATAAAATCAATCGCTCAGTTAATCAAAATGTTTCTATAATTATTAAATTTATTGATATTTTTTGAAAACAATACCATGTGCGCATTTGATTTTTACTATATATTTAATTCGGTAATAGGGCACTTAATTATTAGCACCTAATTATTGGTTAGTTCACTTTTCATTTTCTTGGTTTTTTAAGGTAGTGCTCTGCTGAGTTCAAATGAACCTGACAGAACATATCATAATTTTTTTAAAAAAGGGAGCATTTAATTCGGTAATAGGGCACTTAATTAGCACCTAATTATTAATTAGTTCACTTTTCATTTTCTTGGTTTTTTAAGGTAGTGCTCTGCTGAGTTCAAATGAACCTGACAGAACATATCATAATTTTTTTAAAAAAGGGAGCATTTAATTCGGTAATTAGTCACTTAATTAGCACCTAATTATTAATTAATTCCTTTTCATTTTCTTGGTTTTTTAAGGTAGTGCTCTACTGAGTTCATATGAACCTGGCAGAACATGTCATAATTTTTTTTCAAAAGGGAGCGTTTAATTCGGTAATAGGGCCTTAATTAGCACCTAATGATTAGTTAGTTCACTTTTCATTTTCTTGGTTTTCTAAGGTAGTGCCTCGGGTTACGGGTAGTGCTCTGCTGAGTTTATATGAAACTGTCATAACACGTCATAATTTTTTTAAAAAAAGGGAGCATTTAATTCGGTAATAGGTCACTTAATTAGCACCTAATTATTAATTAATTCATTTTCATTTTCTTGGTTTTTTAAGGTTGAGCTCTGCTGAGTTCATATGAACCTGGCAGAAAATTGTCATAATTTTTTTAAAAAAGGGAGCATTTAATTCGGCAATAGGGCACTTAATTAGCACCTAATTATGCAATATCTTTGATTGTGTCTTGCGCTGCTAGGTTCATGCACCCCACCTTTCCTTAGCTACGTTCCTGAATATGAAGAAATGATCATGTGTGTTTTGTTCTTTTTGAAAGCATTCAGATTAATCCAAAGACAGAGAGATCATGACAAAAATTAACTACAATTTACTTAGAACACGTACGCCACTGGCAAATATTCTATCCTACAGTTCATTACTTATACTCTCTGATTAGTGCAGGTGCATGACAGTTTACTGTTTACTTGATGTTGATGAAGTGAAAAGGAATTAAAAAAGAGAGATTGTAGAAGTGCCGCAATGGATGAACGAATTGGGATGTGAATCCTGGTAGCCGGTGTGGGCCCCTGTCTCATTTTGTGAAATGTTCACAAGGAGAGTATCACGTTACTTGGTTTATGCTTGTGACTCGATCTTGATTTGTCAATATCGTAGGTATCGGAGGAGAATCAAGATGTGAACGACAACGATGCGTACGGTTCTCGTTACTTGGCAGCAACCCGAATTAAATTAGTAAAATTGGCAAGATCCGTTTGGACTTGGAATGTACGTTCTGAAATTACTTAAAGCTGCCGGGGGAAAACTGAAATGGACTCCAAAAAGATAATCTGACGCAGTGGAATTGTTTGTAAAGCAGAGAAACGTAGGTCTAGAGCACAGCAAATGGAGTTTTAACGAAATAATGCACAATTGACAGAGTTACGACTGTAAGTACCAGCATTTCGATGAAATTGTCACAATCGTAGTGCAGTGTTCTGCAAACCTGTGGTCATTCCATTGTATATTAGCACGTTGGCCGCCACATGTACAGCCAACTGTCGTAGGAGATAGTATTTCAGGATGCCGGTTGTACACATGGGGTGACTGTTTAACGTAAGTATATGGCAGCCGGCTGACATGCGATAACTCTTCTAGGACCAGTACAGAAGACCCCTCTGGCGGTTAACGTGTTAAAAAACAACTTGAATGCATGTGACAATGGATGCATTAAACAGACGAAGCGCTTCATGAGCGCCACCTAAAGGCGAGAATACTCTAACAAGATTTCTGGCGCAAGTTGCTGTCGAGGTGTAAATACCACCGTACGTCCGACTTAGGGGGCATGTACCTACACCTCGACACTGCTATCAAACAACAACTTGCGTGAGAAACTTTGTTAAAGTATTCCCGCCTTTAGGTAGTGCTTCGTCTGGTGAACGTAAGCGTTACAACCTACTTCATCATCGGATTAATATGAAGGGTGGCAAAGTATTAGAGTGCGGTTATCGTACAGTGCGTCAAGTTACTGTTCAGCCCTACGTTTTGCGACTGATAAATGAACTCTGGCCGTAGCATTTATACCGAAATGAAATATACCGAATACTTTGAACGGATTGTTACCGTCGATACTAGCTACGTCATATCTTAAGGGTGGCGCAAGGCATTATCGTAACCATTACCATGCAACTTGTAAAGGTCTACAAACTTACCCCAAATCAACATATCGTTGAAATCTTGGGCTTCTTGATTCCAAAGACGAAAAATGGGGCACTAAACGTTAAGTTTTAAACGCAAACAAGTGAATTTGAAATAGGACGCCATTTTATTTAAATTTCGATAATCTTCAAATGACACCGAAAAGACCGATTTACTAACACTTCCCCGTCAGTTTTTATTAATTTAAGGGTTGATTTTAACAAAATAATAATTTACGCGATCGCGTCCCGAGAGCCACCACGCAAACGCCGATTTAAATTCGAACTAAAAGTAGTTGGGACGCCAGGACTTTTCCTAGCTTAAATTACGTTTATACACCGATTTACGTACTACGGGCCGAAACGAACGACGTCCAACTATTTTCCGCGTCTTTTATTTGCCTTTTTTTAAGTTTATTTTAATATCGCACTTCCCAAATTATGAGAAAACGAAGAGTACAACACGCTCGGCACGGCAGCAACGACATACTGGATCACGTGATGAAACTTGCGATAAGACGCCACGACTGCGAGAGTCTCTCTCTGATTGGCGCATTTTAAAAAATGGTCCAATCAAATGCATCCGACTTTTTGTTTACTAATTATTCTTCGAATTCTAAAAACGGTTTCAAATATTCTATTGCTATTGCAAATTATCTATTCTGCTTCCCATTTATCGTTATATATCCATCTTACGTAACCTGCTGGCGTGTCTTTTAATCCAAAACGTAAACAAAACACTTTCTAGGAACAAAAATACGGTCCAAACAACTGATAGTTAACGATCTTTAGTCCGAAAGCTGTACAATTCGTCCATGTTTGCGTCAGCGTTTTTCCAGCTCCCATTGCCCTTCAGGGTCTTCTTCGGACCTCTCACCCTTTAGATCCATCACACTACCTCACTCGATTTCTTCCTCCGACTGCTCAATTTTGCCGGTTTTTCAGTTCTTAGACTTTGCTGACCTAGTCTTCGATTCCTCACACTTTTGAGTCGTTTATAAATGCTTCTTGATGGTCTTAAAGGCTTCTCAAGTTTTACCTTTTAAACACTCTTAAGAAAAGGTCCCGAAAAGCCTCTTTGAAAACTTGTAGGCATTTTTAAAGATTTTTAAGGGCAGTAAAATGTTCCTAAAGCTAATTAAAGGTTCTCAAAACTCGAGAGCTGTACAATTTGTTCACATATGTTTGCGCCAACGGCTTTCCTGCTCCCCCTACTCTTCGGGGTCTTTTTCAGACCTCTCACCCTTAAGATCCATCACACGTACCCCACTCGATTTCTTTCTCCGACTGCTCAGTTTTTTCGGTCTTTCAGTTATTAGACTTTGCTGACCTCGTCTTCGATTCCTCTCACTTTTTTAAAGATTTAAAATGCTTCTTGATGGTCTTAAAGGTTACTCAAGGTTCGCCTTTTAAACGCACTCTTAAAAAAGGTCCCGAAAGTCTATATTGAAAACTTGTAGGGGATTTTACGTCCTTCATGTTAATGAGATCGGAGACTTTTAGTTTTTTTTAATTTTTATAAAAGGGCATGGCCTTCTTATAATAGTGTATCAATTTCAGCGCGTAACGCTTACGTTTAAGGCCTTGTTGAGAGGTATTTTGGATTTGCATTTATGACCATTTTTAAGGACCTTACCGGCGGAGACTTTTCGATTTTTTTAATTTTTCTAAAAGGGCATTGTCTTCTCATAATTGTAAATTAATGGCATCACGTGACACTTACGGTTAAGGTACTTTTTGAAAGGAATTTTGAATTCACTCAATTTACAGCTGTTTTCATAAGGAGAACCCAAAAAGGTTCCAACGGAGACCTTTTGGCAACCGTAAAACCTCTGTACAGAGGAAAGTGACCTTAAAGAGAGGCTTTATTAAAAAGATTCTCTAACAGAATCCAAAAAGATTTTGAAAACTAGGGAATTCTAAAGATCCCAGATTCTAAAGAAAACCCACAAGGTGAATGTTCTAAAGACCTTTGACCGTGTTGGTTTCAAGGTTATGGTCTAAAGACGTCAAAAACTCGTTAAGGCCATCAAGCACTGAAATTTCACTGGTGTTATCCTTTGTATGAAAATTGGTTACTTGTATACTTTTTGCGACACAGCTAGCTGTACCAGTTTTCATACAATATAATTATAATTGAGGTTAAGTTTCAGAAATACGGCCTGTTATTGAAAAATTCTTCTTGCAATGTATTTAATGTATTACATAGACGACAGTGGCAAGCGAGTGTACACCTTAAAGGTAAGCCATTTGTTGCACTTTGGGGATCTTATGATTTCTTTGCAGAAGACTGATTTGGTCGGTAAACCCACGATGACGGCTCACCCAGGTAAGACGCAACCTTTTCTAATTTACGTACATTAGCAATGATTCCAGCACGTTTTTCTCCCGAAGACAAGTACTCACGGGAGCGGCTAACGATAAAGAAACGCTTCAGAATTCTACTCACACAAACGCCCGAACCAGAATGTTAATTTTTATTACAAACTTAAATAAATACAGCTAAAATCGACCGCTTCGTTTTCGACCTGTATACTTCGTGTTGGCCCTTGATTCTTTCCCCTGCTTTCTTCGCCTTTCCTTCTTTTCGAGGATCCAGGAGCGACTCCCTTTCAACGATTTCCCTCTGGCTTTCCTAGCCTGTTCGCGCTTGGCAGTGTATGGCACGCCTCCGAGCCAAAAATGAATTTTGGGAATTCAATTCCATTCGCTTACCTTGGGAACTTTCGTCCGCTCCTAAAGCCGTCGGTAACGGAACGTTGCCTCCGGTCATCAGTACAAGAAAAATCTTCTTCGCCTTAGCCGAATTGGGGTAATCGACGACCATGCCGCCGTAAAATCCCGCCTTCATTGCCTGAGTGGTCACCAGCTCCATTTGGTCGGCATTTTCCGGGTAAAATTGAAACACGGCCCTTGCGGATCTGGACTGAGACTCCACCGGTTAGACCGTCACCGACGACGGTAATTCAAGCGTCTTACCAAACACGCGTAGAGTGAGCTAAAAAACTTGTACAATCGCTGCACAGGCTTGTGCGACGTCTTATCTGCGTTGCACAACCACTGTAGGGCCGATATACTGATTGCACCGTCGAAGGTACCCGCCCGAAAGGGACACCCCTGTCCCATGTCGGAGAGAATCAAATCGCCCTCGACTTCACGATCCCGTGCCACATCTACGACGTTACAATCACACACTCCGTCACGACGTGTAGCGGAACAAACCTAACATTGCACTGGAAATGTCTAGACCGGTCCAATAGTGGCCCTGATCCTCCAATACACTTCCGCTCAATCCCGAACCGCAACCGATATCCAAGAGGAAGCACGGCGTGTCTTCGGGAAGGACTAGAAGTTCGATTGCGCGTTCGCTCATCTGCACTTGGATGTCTATGATTCTGGAACTAAGAACGATTTAGTTTTGGTGTTCGGTGGAGGTAACGACGAACTTTTGGGTGTACTTCTTCGCCTCCTCCTCATTGTAGAACTGCAAGTGGAATTTTAATTATTTAATACTGAACTGGCGCCGAGATTCTTACGATTTCCGGTGGTGCCAAGTGCTCAGGACGAGACATTTTACAAACTTTATTTATTTATATGTGGTAACATAACCTAAAAAAAGCACGTGAAATTAATTACAGGATGTGGTTACTACAGCGGCACCGATTTATTAGACTAGTCTATGTTGATCATAGGTGGCGCTTGCGTAAATGTGGAATGTGGAAGGAATACTCGTGTATGGCGCTGGGACGCTTTGGGAAGGCTACCTGGAAATTATAGATAAAGATCTGGTCCGGAAACTTTTAATGCTGTTCAGAAAGTTCTTTTTATCGACTTCTTAGTCCTCTTCTTGGGAGTTTTTTTAGTGCACTTTCACTTTTAAAAAAAGTGCTCTTTACGCCTGTCTCTGTCTGTTTGCCTGAGTCACAAAGGCTCCGTAGTTTTCCGTAGAACTCGATTTTCGGGTGCTTTTGAGCACGAATTCAGTGAATTTCGAAACTTTCTACTGTCAGTGCTGGGCACGCCTTAGACACATCGGGTGAGGATTTAGTAAAAACAGGACAGCGTAAATGATGGCCCAAGAATGGATTTCGATCGCCCCAACGATTTCTTGTGCGTTTCAGATTTTTTCGAAAACTTAGGGATTTTGGATTTTTTCCCGAAACAAAAAATCTCTATTGTCTCTAGAAGCTCTAGTTTTTCTCGTCTTTTTTGCCTCCTTTACCTCTTCAACCATCTTAGCCTCTCTTTATTGTTTATTGTCCCTCTTGTTCTAGGCCCTCAATAGGCTTACGCCCAATTACAGAGTGATCCACATAATGCTTTTGAGAGGTACCACTGCAGAAGGTCTTAAGTTGTTCTATACTTCTCCGGTATCTACCTTAGTCATTAGGAAAACTGCAGAAAAGTCCAACTCTCTACCACTGAGGTACATCGTCGGTCACTCCCTTTCATTGTTTCTAGATCCCTTATAGCCAGTCTACTAGTCCCTTTCGCGTATATATTATGTAAACTGTTGGTTCACCCTGTAAGATGCATTTCAATTATTTTTTAAGCGTAAATGTGGTTGTTTATTTGAGATTAAACACACTGTCGATCATTTGATGTGTCGTAATTATTTTGTATCTATTTAATGTTCTAAATTTGTTTAAATAATCGTCTAGCATTTTGTTTATTTAATTGTAGAGTAGCTATTTCGTATTAAATGATTCTTTTGCCGGTCGTTGCGATAAGAAATTTGTTACCGCTGATTAAATTTCAAGATAAGCACGTGTTATTACCGTAAGAAAACACATGTGTCGGAATTCAGTCAGTGAGAACTGAAACGAAAAGGGTAGGATGCTTTAAATACATGAAGCAGATGTGACTAGGGATTCGTTTTAGTGGTGAACGTTAATTGGTTTTTTATGGCTTGGTGGACGTTGCAACGTAGCCGGTTTCTTTGGTTTGGTGTTCGGCAGTTAGCCGTACTTAAGTGTATTTTCGCAAGACAGTCAGTCGTGCCAGTTGTAAAGTTCGTTGTACAGAAAGTTAAGGATTATTTAGGCGAGCGGTATAAGTCGAAATCAAGAAGTGAAGTACCGAAGAAGTTAGTCGGAGTGTTCAAAGAGCCAATTTTGTAATTACAACGCACTTAGTGTTCAGGTACAATTAAAGTAAAGAAGAGAACTTTAGAAGCAATATCACCTGGTGTTTGTGCATCAGTTAAAGACAATCGAAATTGATCGGGTGCAAGGATTTTTAACATTTTAAGGTAATTCGCATTTCTTTTAACTAATTTCTTCTATCGATTGCTTGTACGTGGTATGTGTCTATGCCTATTTTTTCATCTTAATTGATTTTGTCGAATAAAAATCATTTCGCATTTGCTTAGTACCTGGAGTTTAATTGAACTGGGTGGGTGGTTTAGTGACGACCAAGAAAAATAGGACTGAGGCATAGAGGGCGATAGCCAGGAAGCGCCGGCTCCAGGATGAAACCTCGAGTCAAGCAGGCCCTGCACCAAAGCCTGGGTCCTGGCTCAAAGGGCAACCCGACGTTAGGGACCAAGTGTTTCAGATTGAAGGGAAGCACTTCGGGGCTTGGCTCAGGGTACCCTGCGAAGAAGCCTAGAGGCTCTGGAGCCCCAATAGTTGCGGGTGCACTACGAACCTCTAGGTAAGTCGCTGCGGCGGGGCTCAGGGTGGCCATTGTTCCGGTATCGCATTCGGAGGTGGAGATCACTGAGCCTCAGTCGAGGTGAATTATGACGGCATTGAATGCAGTTGACGACATGGAGGGGGGAGGCTTTCCTCGGCTGGCAGGGTCCCGCTGGAACCCGCAGGGTGCCATTGTGGGCAAATGCGAGGACTTTGGACTGCTTGGAGAGGACCGTCTGAAAGTCCAGAGGCACGTCCCTAGGGTAATCAAGGTGATGGTGGTGTTATACGGCGCCCCGGATGACACGGTCATCATCTTGAAGCTTCTCCAGAGGCAAAATCATGGTTTCAGGACGAGCCTATGGAGGACGTTCTTCCGCAGGGAGTAGCCTGGTAGGGTCCTCCTCGTATTTGGTGTCGACCACTCGCGTCGGGATTACTATATATACTACCGGCGCCGGAAAAAGGGACGGAGGTCACGCTTAAACATGAAATCTGTAGATAAATAAATAAATGTGACATAAATAAACAACAGTTTATCTGATTAAGCACTTGACCTTCCCTATCATAATGGCGCAATTACCCACACGGGACGACGTTTGGATGTAATAGAAGATATACCGTTTACAATCAATCATGCGTTTGCTTCTGCACCTCGTGTGTACGTTACTCCTTCTCTCTTGCGCTAACTGCATCGACGACCCTGGCGTCGTAATAATCGGTGCCGGCGCCGCCGGCATAGCGGCCGCCAGCCGACTCTACAAAAATGGTTTCAAAAATCTTACAATATTAGAGGCCGAAGACAGGATCGGCGGAAGGGTTTACAGCCTGAAGCTTGGAGACGCGTACATCGACCTGGGGGCGCAATGGTGCCACGGTGAGAAGGATAACGTGGTCTACGAGTTGGTCAAGGATTTAAACGTGCTAAATGACGACTTCTTCGTTCCGCTATTTTATCACTCGAAGCGGAAGCTCATCGATACCGAATTCGCTGTCAAAATGACCGAGATATTTGAGACGACCTACGGAAATGTGAGTACTGATCAGAAAGGGCCCTTGGGGGAGTACCTCACCACGAGGTGAGTACGTGAAAGCTTCCGCTGGATTTTAGTGTCCACTTGCAGGTACAACGAGGCCACGCGCGACGCGTGGAAAGACGACGAAGATAAACTGGCGTTGGCCGCCGACTGTTTGCATTCGTTCCGGATTTGGGTGGAAGGATACGAAGCGGCGTTCTCCTGGTTTGATGTAGCGGCCAGTAGCATCTACGAGGTGTGCGAGGGTAACTCGGCGCTCGGTTGGAACGGGCTGGGGTACAAAACAATTCTCGACGTCCTGATGGAGAAATCAGCCAAGTCGATTACTGACAAAGTTCTCCTAAACCACGTGGTAAAGCAAGTCGTCCGGAGCGATTCCAAGGTTGAGGTGAAATGCACCAACGGCGCCAGCTTTACCTCGGACCATGTCATTTGGACGCCATCTCTCGGCGTCTTAAAGCGCGGCTACAAAACTTTGTTCACACCACAGCTCTCCGGCGAGAAAGTACAGGCCATCCAGACACTGGGCATGAATGCTGTTTTAAAGGTCGGCCTGTATTTCCCCACGAAATGGTGGAACGACGACTTTAGAGGCGTGGTGTTTTCATGGGCAGCAAGCGACTTGCAAAAATCAGGGGAGGCGTTCCCATACGGTCCCAAAACTGGGAACAAATCGTGGATTACCACGATAATATGCGTGACTTCAGTTCCAAAAAGTCCAAACCTGCTCCTGGCGTGGCTTGCAGGTGCGCTTGTTCCAGAAATTGAAAAAACCTCGGATGAGACCATCACAGACGGAGTCATCTACACGTTACGCGAGTTCATGGGCGAGGACTACCCAAATATCACTCGACCGGACAGAGTCATACGGTAGGCACCTCCTCCTTGCAAGGCCAATACGTTACTGATGTTCGCCGCTTTCAGGAAGAATTGGTACATCGATCCTCATTTCCACGGCACGTACTCGTTTGAGACGGTGGAGTCTCGAAAACTGGGCAGGCCGCAGGCGGAGGTCCTTGGGGAGCCCATCCTATCGGATGAGGGAAAACCGATCTTGCTTTTTGCGGGAGAAGCTACAAATCCGAGACACCACTCGACTGTCCACGGGGCGATCGAGTCGGGATTCAGGGAGGCGGATCGTTTAATTGAACTTTATCGAAGATTTTAGGACTCAATTTTCTTTAGTTATTATTTCACACAAAAATTTACTTGTTACTCACAAAACAAAACAAAATAAAAGAAACATTTACCTCTTAAATAATGTTCCTTGGAGGTTACTGCCCCCCCCCCCCCCCCCATACTTGAAACTTTTTTTAGTAAGTAACTGCTTTTCTTTTTTGAGCTAATCTCGCGCCAAACGCCGGAAGCCTAAAAAAATCAATCACTTTAAGAGGCTCAATTTACACCATTACAACCTACAACAGAACGAGTTACTAGTCTCGAACGTTTACTTAAAGTGCTCGGCGCTCGCCCACGAGCGGTTTTTCCGCGAATGAGCTTTTTTTCCGCTCACGAGCACTTTTCCCGAGCGTTCGCGATATACCTCTCGAGCAGTGTTAGGATTGCTCGGAAGTCGCAAGCGGTTTCGCGAGCATTTTTGAGAAAATTAGAGCGCTCGTCGCTCGAGCGGTTTTTTAGAGCGCTCGACCCAGCTCTGTCTTTAGTCCTTCTATTTCTTAGCTCAAGTCGGGATCCGAAGCTGCTTTGGAATGTATCCAATTATATGTTGCTCCGACTAGCCCTGGAGTACGGAGGGTACCTACTGTATTACGAGATTTTCGTGCGTGATTAGCCCCCCCCCCTCCCTCCCAATGCTACATTCTCACTTAGAAATGGAAGCCAAAAAAAGAAGAGGCGATGGTCCTTTCAACAGGCTTCAAGGCGTAGTGTATTTCGGAAAAAAATAACACCAGATGTTGGGGGTGGGGGGTATGGAATATTCCCATGCAAATTTACGGGGGGGGGTGTTATTCCAGACCTCCGGATGTTATGTTTTCTTTCAGAAATACTCTGATTTTCGTTTACTGGGGTGTATTCTATACCCCATGGTGCCACGTTTTCACCCCAAAAACGGTAGTCAAGGAAGGAAGAGGTCTAGGGGGTATGGAATACTCCCCAGTAAACGATAATCAGATGACTCTTTCCCTACAATCATGAAATCAGACGAAAATGTAATATACTGGGGGGTGGAAAAAACCTAACACCCGAGGGTTTGGGGGTATGGAATACCTTTCCCTACTTTTATGAAAGCATATGCACGAAAATCTCGTAAAATACTGGGCAGTATTCCATATACCCAGACCCTCGATGCTACGTTCTCACCCAAAAACGAAAGTCAAAAAAGGAAGAGGCGATGGTCCTCTCAACAGGCTTCAAGGTGTAGCGTATTTCGGAAAAAAATAACACCGTATGGAGGGGGGGGGGGCTGGGGGTATGGAATATTCCCATCTAAACGAAAATCAGATTACCCTTTCCCTACACCCATGAAATAATGCGCACGAAAATCTTGAAATATACTGGGGGGGGGGGTATTCCAGACCTCCCGATGTTATGTTTTTTTTTCTGAAATATGCTACACCTTTAGCCTGTTTCAAAAATGAAAATCGACTTTTCCTTTCTTGCGTCACGTAGCACGGGGGGGGGGGTCTGGTACTCACCCCAAACACAATAGCCAAGGAAGGAAGAGGTCTGGGGGGTATAGACCCCTCCGCCCCGTGTTTTACGAGGTTTGCGTGTGTATGATTTCATGATTATAGGGAAACGGTCCCCTGATTTTCGTTTACTGGGGTGTATTCTATACCTCATGGTGCCACGTTCTCACCCCAAAAACGGCAGTCAAGAAAGGAAGAGGTCTAGGGGGTATGGAATACTCCCCAGTAAACGATAATCAGTTGACTCTTTCCCTACAATCATGAAATCAGACGAACGAAAATGTAATATACTGGGGGGGTGAAAAAAACATAACATCCGAGGGTACCTTTCCCTACAAAGTATACGCACGAAAATCTCGTAAAATACTGGAGAGTATTCCATATCGCCAGACCCCCCGGTGCTACGTTCTCACCCAAAAACGAAAGTCAAAAAAGGAAGAGCCGATGGTCCCCTCAACAGGATTCAAGGCGTAGCGTATTTCGGAAAAAAACACCGGGCGGAGGGGGGGAGGTCTGGGGGTATGGAATATTCCCATGTAAACGAAAATCAGATTACTCTTTCCCTACACCCATGAAATAATGTGCACGAAAATCTTGAAATATACGGGGGGGGGGTATTCCAGACCTCCCGATGTTATGTTTTCTTTCCGAAATGCGCTACACCTTTAGCTTGTTTCAAAAACGAACATCAACTCTTCCTTTCTTGCGACACGTAGCACCGGGGGGGGGGGGGTCTGGTTCTCACCCCAAACACAGTAGCCAGGGAAGGAAGAGGTCCTGCGGGCATGGACCCCCCCCCCCCGGGTCAGTGATTTACGAGATTATCGTGTGTATGATTTCATGATTGCAGGGAAATGGTAACTTGATTTTCGTTTACTGGGAGGTATTACATACCCCCCAAACTTCCCGATGCTACGTTCTCACCCCAAAAACGGTAGCCAAGACAGGAAGAAGTGTGGGGGGTATGGAATAGGCTATGCCCTGAAGCCTGTCGCGATTCTTTACAAAAGGACCATCCACTCTTCCTTTCTTGGCTTCCGTTTTTGGGTGAGAACGTAGCGCCGAGGGTTGGGGGGAGGGGGAATCCAATACCCCCAGTATTTAACGAGATCTTCGTGTGTGTGTGTGATTTCATGAGGGAGTATTCCCTACCGCCAGACTCCTGGTGTTATGCCCCCCCCGCGCTCAGTATAGCTTTCACGGCATAGTCTATTCCATACTTCCCGCTGAGGTATGCATTGGTTTAAAAATTTACTCCCACTTTTTTTACGGAAATATACCTTTAGAACATCGAGAATCAAAATCAAACAAAATCTGGATGGTGTCAGTCTGTCTGTCTGTCCGCCTGTCGGTCTGGATCAGTATTTTAGAGAAACCTGGCGCTTGGTTGGAATGGCTTGGGTTACAAGACTATTTTGGACGTTTTAATGCGTCAGGCTTCGGTGCCGATATCGTCTTAAATAAATCGGTTAGCGAAATCTCGTTGGAATCGGGCAAGGTCCGCGTGAGCTGCACAGATTTGAGTAGCTACACGGCCGACCACGTCATTTGGACTCCCTCCCTTGGTGTGCTCAAGCACCTCCACGCGAATGTTTTCAAACCAAAGCTCCCCCAAGGGGAAGATTCGAGCAATTCAAACCTTGGGAATTGAGGCTGTTTCGAAAATATTCTTCCATTTCCCCGCCAGATGGTGGGAGACCGTGTTCGAAAGTGTTGCATTCGTATGGACACAAGCCGACCTGCAGACTGCGAGCCTGGAATATACGGACGAGCCCAAAATTGTAAACCAGCAACCAATGTCTCAATAGACTGCACGTTAATTTTTAGGGTAACAGATCGTGGATCACCACAATCCACTGCATCCACCCACTCCAAAGAAACCCCAACGTGCTTTCGGTGTGGTTCCTCGGCCCGCTGGTACCGGAAATCGAGCGGCTGTCCGACGAGTCCATCATCAAGGGCGTGATGCACGTCTTGCGAAAATTTCTGTCGGAGGATTACCCGACCATCTCGCGCCCGGATCGGATTATAAGGTAACCGACCCACGAAATGGCCCAATGTAATTCGTTCTGTAGGAAAAAGTGGTACTCGGATCCGAACTTTGGCGGTAGTTACTCGTTCGAAACCGTCGAGTCCCGAAAGCTTGGCCGATCTCAGGCGGCGGTATTGGCCGAACCGATCAGCGCGTCGGATGGGAGACCGGTTATTCTGTTCGCCGGGGAGGCGACCAGGAGCCCTATTCTCGACAAGTGACTTTCAAATGCGTATGCGCATTTCCATTCGAATGACTAAAGAGCTATTCTCGACCGCTCGTATTCAGTTCGTATACGAATTGAAACCGAATGGTTTACAGCGAGCGGAAATCTGTAGACGCTTTCAAATAGTGTACGTTTTCATTTTATAGTCGAAACAAAAATTCGGATAATGGAAGATGTTGTACAATTATTGTTGATAGAGGAGTTAGAGGACATAGAAGTAAGAAATAGACGAGCACATAGACGCCGGTTGGACCCATTTAATGAACTTAGCGATGGGTATTTCATAAAAGTTTTTCGCTTATCTAAAAAGCATTAGCGCAATTTTTAGTACATCTAAAAGATTACATCGCCCCGCAAATCGTTCCACTGATACGTAACAACGAAGGTAATTTGAGTATCAATATTTTCAAGGATATATGCTACAAGGTACAGTCTTAATTTTAGCGATTTTTTTAAGGTTTTAGTAACGTTGAGGTTTCTTGTGGAAGCTACCAAATGGACGTAGGATCAAATTATAACTTTGAAATATCACAACCTTTAGTATCAAGATGTATTGAAGAAATTGTAAATGCTATGAACTGAAATGAGATTTTTAACGCTTATGTATATTTCCCTAGAAATATACAAGAACTCAATGCTGCTAGAATGGGGTAGATACATGAATCAATAGTGTGGTTAAAAAGACAAATAGCTTTCTAGGTTTTTTCAAAAGTATAATTTCCCAGCAATAATTGGGTGTATAGATTGCACACATGTTGCAATATTCCCCCCTAAAGTGATTTTACCACCTTCCTCCAACTCTTCCAGTTCCGCTTTGCCCCAGGGATGATATTTAACGTGCGTCCTATTTTTTCCCATTCGGTTCGGGCATCTTTATATGTAAATGTGGTAGAAAATTTGCCGCTTTGCAGTTCTTTGTTACTTTTCATCAATTCAACCAATATTTGCTTTTGTTCAGTAGTAATTTGTACATGTTTTTTTATGTTTCTCCATAATAATTCAAATAATTTGTAATTTAAAAAATTCGTTCGCACGCAAAGAAATGTCAAATTAAATTATGACAGTGTTGCCATGCCGTTCGTTCGCATAAATTCCAAGCATACGTTTTGATAAACGAATAGCAGTCAAGAATACCATTTTATGAAAGTACTCGTAAANTGGTATGTTTTTACATCTGTCACTTCTCTTAACATTAACTTATGCTAGGCGATTACACATGATTGCAACATGGTATGGTTGCAATACCAAACAACAGTTACTTTCCTGAATGTAAAGGAACTTTGCATGCTTCTCGAATTTTTCTTGGTTGGGGAAATGAGCTTTGAATTTTTTCGTTAGAGACTTTTTCAATTGTTTCAAATGTTTTGTATAAACTAATGTTATGGTGGTTTCCTCCTCGCTGACCAGATTGCATATTTAATTTTATTGTGTCCTCTCTTTCGAGGGACGACATTATAGCTGTTAGTTTTTATGACGCTCGCGAAAATTATTGAATGATGTTTATTTTTAGCGTATTTTCCCCGATATACCTTGCGTGAATCCCCTCCGTCCGTCCATTGGTTTGAGATCTCATCAGTCATCAGATCCCGTGCAAAGCAGTGGTTTTTTCTACTTATATTAATTGAAGATTTATACGGACATTTTCATCATCATCGTCACCCGATGTAATGAAAAAATGTTTATTTCTAACGGCGCCTGAGGGGTTAATAAATAAACACAATTTCAAAGTATACTTGCAGAATAATATACTGTATTGTAATATGCATAAATGCTTATCTTGCATAATTATAATTAGCCGTGTACAAACAACTGAAACTTTTTAAGAATGATAGCTGCGTCATCCACTCATCCTACAGCCTCACCGATTCAGATTTCGTGATTGGTTCTAGAAAAACAAACGCAATTAATTGCCTGGCGCGACAGATATTTCAGTTCCATGTTTCTTTAAAGAAGGTTGACATACAGAAAAGGTATTCCACAGGGATCAGTACTAGGCCCATTGTTGTTATTCATCCGCCTCGTTCCACAATTGATCTTCTGTAGCTGCGAAGTCATTTCATTGCCAATTATGCAGCTTGTATGGACACGATTTGACGGGGCTGGGATTGGAGTTCGAACCTGGTCGACAACAAAAGTACGTATACTGATGATAGTCACCCTTCCAGACAATATCGGACGATTTCTCAGAAACGGCATATCTTGCTGATGCAAGACAACCAACGTGATCAAGGACTAATTTCATTTTTACGAATCAAACCAATTACGAGTCCCTTATCGCAATAGACGTTTTATCTGACCGATAATAATAAGAGGACAACACTCGTAAAAGTTTAAAAGAGGAGATCGTTCCGCTTATTTGCCGTTTCCATAGAAGCGCTTTAGAAAGTACTTCTTTGTAAAAAGTGGGAAAGGTTGGAATGTGTGCCGTTACGAAATAGTTTATGGTGGATTCGGGCAGGTAGGTGAAGTTAAACGTATGCAAGCACCCATCTCATAATAAATCATCGAGACAGCCATAACTTTTTTTGTCGGTTGCGTAATTACGACTTGGAAAGAAAAAAGTCGAAGAAATTTATTTTTAATTTACATCGATTACCTTTCTGGGAACGTCCGCTTGTACAGCGGTTTTTACTATTCAAGTTTACGCCAAGGTTCTTCTCATTTCCTTATTTAGGCGCTGGTTCGGTTTTTTTCCTCGCACTAATTTAGTTGTAAACATTTTGTTGTCGGGCAATTAAAAGAATTTCGTAGAAGATGCGATATCACAATCCTCCCATCGAAGATCGGTACGATATTGCGGCTGGTTGCGATGTGGGGTCAGCGCAGGCTGCATCGGATTCTGCGAAAATCATCGGATCAGACTTCTCGGAACCCACTTTAAAATACTTCCGCTCTTTATTTAACTCTCATACAAGCGAGACTGGGGATAACACGAATTTATTGCCTTCTTCTACCTGCCCTTTTTTATGGCTTCACTTAATAAAGGACTCTGCTTGGCTCACGTGAAAGTTCAACGTACTTCGAATTCTATTGTTCGAAAATTGCCTCTGGACGTTCTCAATACAATCACCGTGTACCTTAGATTACGTCACCGCCAGATGCTGAAAGAAACTTTTGGTTCGTATCGTAAACCCCCCTCATTTTAATGATTTAAGTTGCTCCTTTGTGCAATAACAAAGGACGAATCAGGTTACCAAGTTCTAGAATAGATGTTTTAATTATCTGGCTCGAAGGACTAACGCTTTCAAGACAACCACTAATAGTACTCCAGCGCAACTATTCATTTGGAAGGACTATGTTAAAAACTTATAGTGATAAGTTTTAGAGAATTTAACTAACATGCGTATATTTTGTTTCAGACTGAAGAAACCGGGCATGGCATTTGCGTGCAATGTTAGGCTGTAGCACAGTATGTCCCAAATGTCAGCACCAGTTTGCGTGCTGCGGACCGACGCCGCCATGCAACCGAACTCGCAGGTCGCTGCACGCGCTCACCGGCGGCGGTCTGGTGGCGACATTAAACCAATCGCTAGTACCTGTAGGACCATGCCTTTCACCGCAAATATCGCCCAGTGCGCCGCTAGCGTTCGTAATACCACCGTTCGCGCCGCTACAACCGACCATATCGCCCATAGAGGCGAAGCCCGAAAACGAACTCCAGAAGCTCTCCGACACCGTACGGGCTCTGCGCCAATCCGGTTGGTACTACGAAGGCATCACCTATCAGCAGAGTCACGATCTGTTAAAGAACAAGCCGCTAGGGACGTTTCTGGTGCGCGAATCCTCGGACCCCCGATTTTTATTTTCTTTAAGTGTACAAACAGAACGGGGCCCTACTTCGGTGCGAATTCACTACATAAATGGTTACTTTCGGCTGGACTCGCAACCTCACCTTCAGGGTGCGATGCCACTGTTTCCTAGTGTCGTCGAATTAGTGCAGCATTATGTGAACCAACGTAGAAACTTAAGGAACGGTGCCCAAGTGTGGGTCGACTCGAATGGCTCGTGGTATAGCGCCATTTTGTTAGATAAACCTTTACGAAAGGATGACGGCGCGCCTTCTCTAAAACATTTAGCAAGATTAGTCGTCCATAAAGCTATTCAAGCAAACGGTATGCCTCGCTTAGCTCTACTGCCACCTCCTCATACACAATTAGAGTTGCCACCTTCGCTGACAACTTACCTATCTCAGTATCCATACTCATTGTAATCGTGATGATCTTCAGGGAAAGAGGGACTTGTTTATATTTACTGACTGTTTGTTAAATCATATAAATCGTACATACTTCATATACCTAAGTTGATAGATAGGGTATTTATGTAAAAGTATTCCAATGAGTTTTTTTTGATTTGTTCCTTTGGTTTGATATTCGAATATCATTCTAGCAATAATTATTTTGTAGCAGTAAGAATCACAAAAGTTTACTTTTATATTTTGTTGCAGCTAAAGGTGTAGCTAGCGGCACACATACAAAATTATGTTATATAAATTTATAATTGTAATCTTTTCATTTTTATAGGCGTATTATATTGTTCAGTGATTTTTTTATCATTACATACTCGTAATATATTATATAGCTGTGTTACTTTTAGTAACAGCTAGTGTTCTAAAAGAAGTATTTTCCTACAATGTAGGTATATTAACTTAGGTAGGTATCTATCAACCAATTTAACAACTTAAAACTATTCCAATTTCATTTTCAACCAACATAACAAGCATTAACAAACAGAGGATAAAAAACATTCTAGATAATCAATGTGTGTGGTTTTTTTTTTATTTATGTTGTGTACTTTGAAAGTGTGTTGATGATAACTGTGAGAATGTTACTAGAAAATTTTGTATTTAAGAACTACATAAAGAACTGTATTTATTACACTAGTTAAATTCAATTACATTAAATTATTTATTATAATTTGTTGTTTTAGTTCATTATCACAATGTTATTGTAAGTGTTTTACATGTACAGTGAAGTAATAACACCTATTACTTTATCTTAATTGTTCAAAAACACAAATTTGCTGAAAACATTGCAGACAAATAGACTCACTGAAGTAATGGCTACAAAAGAAGATAATAAAACCTCTCAGACAAATAGTCTCGTTTAAGTAATGGCCATGAATGAAATATGCACAAGCTGTCACTTTTTACGACCTCAAACTGATCATTTCTTTGTTCCTAAAGAGAAAGTAAGGCAAGTCGTACAGATTCGTACTTGCAAAGTATGGTTCATTGTCGGTAATTTTGAAGGTGAATCGGTGACTACGCTACCTAGGATGTATGGTGCTACAAAGACCAGAGACAAAAGGAACAGGACATCTCAGTACACCTGAAGCTGTTGGCACGATGTAGCAGTGACAGAAACCGCCGCCTTCAAGTGTATTACAGAAACTGGACAAACCTTCTACATCTTTTAAAGCCCCTTCCCACAAGGCGTTTTTGAAGCGATGCAAAGTGGCGCGTCAGAATAGCATGGTACGCGATTGTGTGGCGCATCTTTGTAGGGCTATTGTGCGTGCTGTGTTGACAGGCACCCATTGAGAACACACTTTCCGGACAGCACTGACGAACTCTTAGCGTTCAACGTGCAAAAGCAGAATATCAGCTTCAGCAGGAGCTAATGGCGTGAGCTCGAGTGGCCACGTCTTTAAATAAAATGGTCCTATCCCCTCTACTAACAATTTACATAATGATCCAAGCCACATAGGACCTAAGACACAGAACATAGGACACACTTTGGACAAGGGTAAAGTCCCTAGATTACTTCATATTCCTTAGTAACGCGATACATTAGGCCTGTATTAGACAAAAAAATTGGCCGTTTGACACCTACTGTCAGGTTTGACATTTGCGACGCATCTCGCGCGAATCAAGCAAATACTGTTCCCGCACGTAACATGTACCTATTCTATTTTTTGCACGGATTAGTTCAATCGAATTTATATAAATTCAAATCCTTGTCGCGAGATTTTTGCGACATTATAATTCTTTTGAAAAAATCAAGTCCTCTGCCGATAAAGTAGAAATCTAGAAATTTAAAATGTCAATTTATTGTTCAAAACTTCTGGTTTAAGCTTATTTTTGCCCCTGTACTACAGGGAATGATGTAAAGTGTATTTATATTTTCTTTTTTACTCTTCCATCATACTACTTATTAGTTTATGATCCGCACTAAATAGATAATTTCGTTGAATTTTTAGGCACTAGTGCGCGAAAGTAGATAGTCATTTGTAAAATTGACGTTCCCGACTTTCGTGTTTTATTGAAAAAACGCGATTTAGAACAAAGGAGTGCAAAAAAGAAAGAAATTACTCAGAATTTTTCGAAAACTTTCAATGAAGATCAATTAAAATATTTAGAATTGGGTATGTACCTACACACAAGAGTTTTATGTGGAGTGGTGAAACGATTGAAAAAGCGATGCAATTCCATTTTTCTTGTGATGTTTAAAGATTATTAAACGATCCGCTCACAAAACTTGCCCTGTCCAAGTATCCGCACAATCCAATAGAGCGACTACAAAATACATACTTTCCAACTGTTGATCAATTTCAAAACTGAGCCAAAATGGCTGCTATTCGCGTTACTTTAGTTATCTAGGGACTTTAGACAAGGGCAATCTCGCTCGTCACTTGGTAGCGACATTAGTTAACTTTAATGGGTCAACGTAAAGTTCAATGGTCGTACGGCAATTGAACAATTACCCCATTTTTTGTGGTGTCAAATTTTATTATCAGGTAAACAAAAGGCTACGTCCTATTTTTGTAGTGTCAAATTTCATTTTCAAGGTCAACCAAAGTCAATGAACCTAAAGTTATAGATAGCATGGTTATAGGAGGTACCCTAATAATGTGTTCTTTAGAAAACAATCATTTCGAATAAAGAAAGCTGAATTTTGAACGTCATCATGACCAACAGCAGCGACTGTGAGCGACTTTTGATCGATAGCTTGAACTACTTTTCAAAACCGTGTACTGTTCATCTACACTTGGACTTAATTCGCAAAGTCACCACCAGAAGCGAGAGACCGTTATACTTCACTGTTTTAGGAGCAGGGAAGGGGCCAGCGACCTTTGATCGATTTGACTAACTTTTCCGTCATCGAGGGAGAGATAGAGACATTTGAGCTTCACCTCTCCCGAAAAATTGCCAACATTCTGAAAATCAAAAATCATTGGCCTTTGTTTACCTTGAAAATCAAATGTAATACCAAAAAATTCTTGTAGTCATTGATCCTTGTTAACCTTGAAAATGTGGTGTTCTCATAGGGATAGGGTATATACTCCATATACGCCGTATACTCTCAAGGATTTGTTAGACATATAGCGTATACTCTCAATCAAGGCGCCACTGGACATGATAGTTATACATCAAGCGAATTGAAGGTCTTATGTCTTATATTTAGAGCGCTGAAACTGCGTTTTGAGTATCAAATTTTTATAAATTTGTCAGTGGATGACCCCCCCCCCCCTCGCGGTTTAACGGGAACATTACAACCACCCGCTCAACTGAGCACACTCTCAAAGAAATTGATGAGAATATCACTGAAAATAAAGTACAAAATATAGAGATGTTACGCACAAATATCGAAAACGCTCAATGAGCGAAAAAAACCCACATAACGCGTTATGACCGCAGCTAAATGACCAAACACTGAAATTAAATATTTTTCCGTGTTATGGTCGTTAACTTACGACCACCACGCGTTATGGTCATTTTAGAAGCGACCACAACGCGTTTACTCGTTTGAAGAATTACCATAATACATTGAATTATTTATTTAAAAAATATAATGCATTTTGAAAATCGCATGATGTAGACGTTATTTCGGTCTAAAGACAAAAAATTATGACATCCTGTATATGACAAAATTTCAATTTATTAAGTGTAAATCGGGGGATTACCTATGAATAAGCACAGAGGTGATTTTATTTGAATTTGAATTTCCGTATTTGTTGTTCGTTTTAGAATTGTTTGTACCTAATTGTGTACAACACCGCGCGTACCCTCGCGCGACTGATGTGCCGAGTCGAATGGTGTACCGCCACGTGTGTGTTATAACAGGAGGCATAACACGTAACACGTAAAAATATTTAATTTCAGTGTTCCTGGTCATTTAGTTTCGGCCACAACGCGTTGTGTGCGTTATATTCGCTCATTGAACGTTTTCGATATTTGTGCGTAACATAGATACCTACATCAATAAAACTAGATCAAGGTTACAAAAGAGTTGAAGACATTCTTCTGTGTGAACGACGGAGCGGGGTCTTGATCTACTTTCAGCCTGACATCTGAAAAGAGAGGGAGAGGTTTAAGGGTCAACGACCGATAGAACAAAAAGCTTTGGTTCATTTTCCGAGGTCACCACATGGCCACGAAGGGGGAAATATTTAAGGCTGAACGACCGGACGGAGCTCTCCATGAGACGAGTGATCTTTCAACTGCAACTATTTTCCAAGGTCACCACTAGGTGGCGAGCGACATTGAACTGGTCGAGAACTGGACACAAGGCCAAAAACAGAAGCAAGACGAGCTCTGGGACTTGTATAGGGCTGCACTTGCTATATACAATTCCGAAATAATGAGACTCGCGCGTGCATTTAGTGAGGGCATCAATACACCAACCTCGCGTTTACAAAATGTTGTATCAAAAGATCACTAAATGGTATCGGAAATCTTCGAAAGGTTGATGGCGCCATGGTAACTATTACCGAACATTCCCTTTCAAAGCGCTCACCAAATATTGGCATCAGCTGATACAAAAGACGGACTGAATGGTTCCTAACGCTCTTCAGGTCGCCATATTATTTTCCCAGGGGCTGTTACAAAAACAGTAGGTACTTGATACCTATCAGTCGTTTGTCATGTACAGGGCCAGCCTCTGTCTATTGTACATAAAAAAACGCGTAGCGGAGGGTGAATGTGGCCCATGAGCCAATTTCTGCCAATCGCCGAGGCTCTATAGCACAGGCGTGCCGATCAAACGGGAAATCCACAATTACGGTCCTACACATGTTAGGGATAAAATTCTTTTATTTGTAACATTAACACAAACTGCAAGGGTACTTAAATTATAGTAAGTCTTCTTTCTTTTGCCCACTTTCGTATCACTTTTGCGATTTGATCAGCTTGATTGGAGGTGCTGCTACGCAGAAGTTGAAGCACGTCACTCAGCATATCCACAGGAAATCGTTGCGCGATAACACCCTAAAACAACACTGTATTCTAGACATTGAAGGCGAAAACCGTTCTACCTGAAAAACACCCACAATTGCACCTCTTTTTCCCTCCCAGAATTCGGGATTCGGTTCCAGCCTATCCAGCATGTCGAAAGCCTTGGCGGCGTACCAAAACTCGCCCATTTTATAGCAGTCGTTTGCGATCAAAAGCAATAAGTTGAAGCTTTCCGCACTGGTTTCCATCTTCAAGTATAACTCCCAGGCCAAATGGGGTTTCTTGTTCATCACGTAACATCTCGACAAATTAGAGATGTAGATGTAATCATTTTTTATTTTCACATCTTGGACTAATAGTAATGTTTCTTCGGCCTCTTTGTACTGTTCGCAAGCAGTTTTTGCCTGGCCATAATTAAAGTTGAAGGTATCGTCTGAAATATTACGCCAACAGTTAAGAGATGCATTCCCCACTCCATACTTAGATTTGTGACAAGCCTACTTAGGATAGAGACACAACCCAGTAGATTTAATTTTGTCTAAGTACGGGTCTTCTATCTGGCTTACCTGAGTGATAGAAGCTTCTGATTGATGTTAAGTACACTAAGACTTCCTCAAATTGTCCTGCCAAGAAAAATGCTGCTGCCATACACTGCCTGCCTGGGATCGTGTCACACTCGCTGGCAGAGCTCCCCACCAAATGGAAACACTCCTCGGCTGTTTTTATGTGCTCAGCCTACGTTTGGGATATTTTACTACGATGATAAAAAATGACAACTTACAGAGTTCAATTCTTGGCCCAACGCCGCGTTGACCACACCTTTGAGGATGTACTCCTGCGGCACCGCCGGTTGCAAATCCTTCAACAGGTCGTAGGCCTCTTTATTATCGTCGTGCTTCAAGTGGTGTATAACCAAATTTAGTCGCGCCTCTGGGACGACGTCCACTAATCCCGGAAACACCTGCATCGCGCCCTGGCCCTGCCTGAAAACCACCAAGTTGTGTTTTACAAGATCATGCCCGAATCCCACGTTGGCGCTCTGGTCTACTATCGCCCTTATTTCACTTTCGGCAGCTGCGCCATTATATAAACGGAAATGATTGCACGCCTAAAAAATACTGGAATGGGCGCCACTAGGTAAATTCGGCGATTACCTTCAAGTTGGTGGCAATAACGGAATCATTGTATTGGTTCAAATAAATTCCCAACACTTCTTGGGATACATCGTAATAATCAAGCTTGTAGTAGCACAACGCAACGTACACATTTAAAGCTAAATTCTCTCTAAAAATTTACACGTTACCTAGTATGCTGATCCTGGCGACCTACCTGTTTTGCAACAACAGGCGTTTATAGATGTCAATTGCTTCCTGATAATGTGCACGCAAATAGTGAATGGCGGCTAAACTTAGCTGATCTTCTAAGATATCTTGAAGCTGTTGGTGATATTCCATCAGTGCTACTTCATCGCCCAGTTTGTGAGAGAGGTGGAAATTTAATCGAGTTTTAAGGCCACTTTGCGATTCTTTTTCTAATGCCGCCTTCGACTCCGTGTACATTCCTAAAACCTAGCTGGCTAACTCCATGGACTGTAAGCAGTCGGTTACTCACCTAAATAGAAATTGCAGCACGCTATGTTAACAACAACGTTTTTAATTGGGCCATGTTTTGCCAGTATGTTCGTGTAGATATCAAAAGCTTTTTTGTAATTTCCCAAGTGAAACGCGCAATACGCCATCCATAGAGCAACGTCAGCGTTGGCATCTTGACTGTGCTGAAACTGCATTTACATTAATTCCACTGCGTGGTGGAAACGACGAATAGCTATAATTACCTCTAGTAAAGTTATTGCTCCCATGTAATCTCGTTTTGAAAGGAAGTCCTCAAAGGATGGCACGTCGCTGTTGGCAGAAGTTGTTCGGACAGAAACTTTGCCCGCCACATTTTCTTTAGACAGCAAAGCTGGTTTCGCTCTGGATAATATCTACAAAGAGACCTAAGAATAGACATCAATTCGCACGGCCTCTACGTACCATTTATACATACAACTAAATATTGGGGTTAAAAGATTGATTGATGGTTAGTGTTGGTTGCTATAGGAAACGGTGACACAAACATTGTGAATTAATAAAGGTATCATTATTGGTCAAAATTATGTTCAATGGGGGTTTACAGTATATAATAAGCATATACCTGAAACAATAAAACATTTTTTATTTTTTGGACAGTAAAAGTTTATTTAGAAATAGAGGCTGATTAGCAAAAAAATAATGAGCATGTGCGGTTTTAATGGTTTATTCAAAACGATATGATTGTGGCGTGCTCTGTGACGTAATAAGCCCGACCAATCGGCTCCTAGAATCATTCAGATGACATAACGAATTGGCAATATTGCAGGAGAATGTCATTTGTAACTTGTGTCACCTGTCACAGGCACTTGTCACTTGTCGTTCACTTTCGCGTTAAGCTGGATTCACATGAATACGAAATCCGACGATACGATCATCCGAAATGCTTATGATTGGCCAATAATTTAAAATGTGCTTGACATTTCAAACTATTGACCAATCATAAGAATTTCGGATGACCGTATCGTCGGATTTCGTATTCATGTGAATCCAGCTTTAAATGCAGTTAAACATCCGGCAAACATCAGCAGACCCTCGCACAAGGTTGCCAGCTCACTTCTCCGTGATTGGTTGTAGGTTTGCGACGTATTTAGACTGAAGCGTTTCAAATTCGGACTAAAAACACAGCTTTTCAATAATTTATTTTGGGTTTATTTTACTCTCAAGTAAAAATTGAGGACACACGGGTCTTTTTATTTTTAGTGTACTTTGTAGATCAAAAATAAAAATGAAGCCGAGATGATTCTCCTTGAGTAGGTAAGTCAGCGGCGCTGTGGATGAACGATTTACCGGGGGTGGTACATTTTTGGGGGAGTCTTCATGGTCGTTCTTTTTCGATTCCATTATTTATTTCTCTTTTCTAATTCATTTCGAAAACGTATGCTCTTTGCGGCATACGCTACACCTACCTCCGTACCTATAGGTCTTATCAAAAGAAACTGTCGAATTTTCCGTCAATGTGGGTTCCAGGTATCCGGCATTTTGGGTGTCTAGAGATATTATTGGCTAAAAGAAATTATTTTTATTGGTGAAACAGACCCGAATGTCGGTAAAAAATTAAAGCGAAGCCAAGAAAGTGCAACAATAACGAAGATTCTATTCTAACTCTCAGAGATTTTCTCATTTAACCATTAACAGAGTTTTAAGTTAACACTCGTAAGTCACTACCCAGTAATTTTGCGGTTTTTGTGAAAGAAGGTCCGTGAGCAAGTTCGGCACAATTTCATCATCGAACATTTTTATAAGTCGACGCGAAGAATTGCGTTTTGGTAGGAAGAATTACGAGACCTCTATTCAATACTCCAGTTGACCGACATCGGAGAGAACTCTGTATCTTTGTGGCTTAAGTCATTAAGACGCTATAGCGACTTCCTGGATATAGGACCGTATCAATGGTGAACGAGAAGCATAATACGTTTCATCCACTTTGGGGAGGGGACAACAAAAGAAACAAAATAACAATAAAAGTAAAATATACCGATGAGCGAACAAGAGCAACGCGCACTAAAAGATGGAACGTAAAACAAGTTAAAAAAGTAATCGTAAACGATTTACAAAAAGCGCATTTCCACTTGCCTTCATTTCTCATTTGTAAGATGCAACTTCTGTTAAAATCGTAAAAATCCGGCCACAAATATGAAACATAGCGTTGCATAGGAGCAATCAATTGTTGACGTCCTACTTCAATTTATAAGAAGAATTTCATTTCAATGCTTTCATAAATAAGAAAGTTGGAACTGCGCATGCGCAAACCAAAATTTCGAAATTAATGTTAGATTTTTCTTTATTCCAAGTGCCTATGTATCAAATTTCGTTTAAATACTTACTAAATAAAAAAGTTTGCAATTCGGCTTATAAATGGTCGAGATGCGAAAAGGGCACCTGTGAATTTTAAATCCATTCGACTCAACTGTTGGCATTGCGTATTATGTGGCTGAAGCTATGCCCATATTGAATTTCATGCAATTCAGTTCATAACTAACGGAGATGTCAAAGCGATCGGACATTTGTAAACAAAGATCATTCACACGGACAGATAATGGACAGACAGATAAAGGAACAGACGGACAGACCAACAGACAGACGACAGCAATACATAATTATAAACGATCTCTAGGATCGTTAATAAACGGCAAAAGTGTAAAATTTTGGAACATGTATAAAACGTTTTTTTGGTTTTTTTACAATAACTTTTTTAGTAATAAACGCAGAAAAAATTCCTTCCTTGGTGCAAGCCACCGACACCAAAACGAAGCAAATAGCAAAAAAAGTAGAACAATAGCTCAACTAGTGGCGTCTCAACGAACGAGCGGACGGACGTACGGACGGACAAAGTGGCCACAATTGCGCATTTTTTTTATTTTTGTAGAAATGCGCTAAAAAGAAGTCTTAACCTGGATATTTTCACGATCCTATACTGGAAGTCGCGCGCATGTTACAGTCTGCATAAATCAAAGTCTGCGTTTCCTCTCTCAACGTTTCTCATCTATCTCCTTTTCTTTAGTATGTGCTGTAGTGTTATGCCAAACTATGCATCTCCTTTTTGTGGTACCTACACCCTTATTGTTTCTCCATATTCTGTCCTTCATCCTTTATACTCCTTTAACTTTGATGGTATTTGCATCTCTTCCAGCGCAAGTAGTAATTTCGATTAATCGATTTGTTAGTGGTTTCATTTCATAGATAATCACCACTAAACAAAACAAAAAGAAATGAATCTAACTTTTTATTTTTACACGGAATAAATTGGCAATGTTTATCTGGCGAAGGCCAACGGTGTTATATCTTAAAACTATACCGCTTATGGTTTTCATCCCGGCAAAAGGAATAACAAAAAATCGTCCGGTACCTGCTTTGTCGGGGTGACGTGATTTGGGATTAATTTCATGTCAAAGTCATTGATCACGCCCGACCAGTTGGTCGAGGGTTGTTAGTTCTGTCAGATTTATTGTACCGAAAGCCTGTTTAAAAACTATAAACAATATTTCACGATACTACAGTGCGCCTTTTCTATTATTTGCTTGATTATGTGTATAGCGATTGAGATTTGAAATTGTCTAATTCCACAAACTAAACAGAAGGAATGTCAATTAAAGTACCCCCCCCCTGCCCCTTCTCGTATTGCTAAAACAAAAGAGCTGCAGTATGTACGAGATGAGAAAGCAACAAATAGAGCGAAGAATTGGAACTGTAAGAGGTACTTCCTCCATGGTATTTAAAGGGTTATTTTCGACTCGTACAGAGAAACATCTTACTAATAATATCTTCCACGTGAAGACATAAATAGAAACTTTGTAACCACCTGTACATAATAAACAAACACGATTCTAAAGAAAGCAAGAATGCTTCAATAAACAAACATCAACAGGCTGGCTACTTTAATTATTGTTTTCGTCAGATCAATTTCAAATTTGTAATAAAACGGAGTATGTACATACCACCGCTTTACGGTGAAATTGATTAGGATATACTATACAGTCAGGTCAAGTTAAGAAACTGTACAAGAAAATTAAAGAATCAGCTAACTGTAAAGGGTGTAAATTGTGACTTATGTCAGTGTAAACACACCTTTAACCCATAGATCTACTGCAAACAGCTGTGTGTTTGTACTTTTGTAGTCTGTGACTAACCTTACTTATTAACATAATAAAAAGTACTTCAAATTGATCTAATTGAAACGAGAAATCTCCAAAAAATGATAGACAATGTAAAACACATAATCCTGGTGGTGTCTGGAAAGGGCGGAGTTGGGAAATCAACTTTTAGCACCCAATTTGCTTTGGCATTGAAGGAGCGCAACTTGAAAGTTTGTCTATCGGAAATTTAGCTACACTCTATCTACTCTGCTATATTTCAGGTTGGCCTATTGGATATAGATTTATGTGGGCCCAGCATTCCATACTTACTGAACCTGGAGGACAAAAGCGTGCACCAACATGCCGAAGGGTAAATGTGTACTTTGACCTCTTCTCATTACATAGTAGTACATCGTAGGTGGCTTCCGGTGTACACTGACACTCAACAAAATTTTGCCGTTATGTCCATAGGGTTCCTTTTAAATAATCGTAATTCCGCCGTCGTGTGGCGTGGTCCGAAGAAAACGGCTATGGTTAAACAGTTTTTGAATGACGTTCATTGGGGCGATTTAGATTATTTGATTATCGATACCCCACCAGGTAAGTAGGAATATTTCTGTTTTAAGTATGCGCACTTTGTGCTTTCAGGCACATCGGACGAGCACATAACTGTTATGGAAAATTTAAAATCGATCAATTGTGATGGTGCCATTGTTATTAGCTCCCCTCAGGAAGTAGCTATTGAAGATGTTAGGAAGGAAATCACATTTTGTAATAAGACTGGAATACCGATCATTGGTCTTGTAGAAAATTTGAGCGGGTGAGCTGTAAATGTTGTAGTGCTATTTTACAGTATTGTTATTGCAGATATGCGTGTCCGCATTGTTCGGAATGTACGAATATTTTTAGTACAGGTGGAGCTGCGTCGTTGGCAGAGCATACGAAAATTCCATTATTAGGTACATTACCTATTGATCCTAAAGTTGGTACACTTTTAGGTAAATCTGCAGTAACTGAATGTGCTGAATCACAGTTTGCTAAAGTAATGAATGAAATTGTAGATAAAGTTACCAAAAAAGATAGAAATTGATTTCAGAAAGCATATTGTTTCTTTATCCTAAATGGTTTAGTATAGGACAGGACCATATGCATTTGGAGCTTATATTCGAATGATTTATACAACCTCCACTCTCCGCATCCTCTCAACTACTTGACAAAAACTAAAGGTTTACACGATTTAACAAAGGCTGTGGACAGTATCCAAAGACTATTTATTCTTGCTTTTGTTGCACCCTGTACATGCCATGCCAGGTTGCCAGAAGTGGCTTGCATTAGGTACCTACTAAAATCTTGGATCAAAATAAATGGTTGAAAGCTAAACTACCGTCTAAAAAAATG